TGTGACCTCCTGATACCCTTTACAGGTTCTTTTTCGGCTCTTTCGACTGGCTTTGGTCCCCTTTGTTCACCTCCTGTATCAAGGACGTGTCGGTAGGAGTTAAAAAATCCGACTATTGTCGGCAATTGCACAGCGGGCGACAGGATCCTGCATCGGCGTTCAAGCGAGGGATGATCCACCTTCCGTCCAGCCTCTTCTCCCTATCACCCCAGGCTATTAACATGGCTTGTTCATTGGATATCCCGGTCATATCAGAAGTTCACAATTTTGACTTGTGTCGAGGGGTAGCGACAGTAGGCCCTGGTAAGTTGATCCCTACGAGTGCCTAGAGTGAAGGTCATACTCTAGACATGGTTTCTAGTGTGTGGCTACGATTGATTGTCTAAGGACAGTGCAGCTGCGTGCATCAGAGCTTACTCTGTAGACGCAATAGCTGAGTGCTTCACAGGTTGAATTAAAGGACGCTGTCATGCACTTCTATATCGGTCAGCAATGTACGCGCGCACGTAAATCTCCTCTTCAGGTTGCGAACCGGTCTGCTCACGAAGAACACGTCAGACCTTCTATTCTATCGGAATACTAGACTAGCTGAGTTCGCAAATTTCTAGTCTATGTATGCGCTATTGATATGATTCTGGTGGGTGATTCAATTGGGCTCCACAGGTGCAGAGATATATATTTCTCCCGGGTGGGCCATGAGATATGTCCGATATGATATAGAATCAATGCACCAACTTGCAATAGCTGATGCTTCCAGGTCAGCGCTATTGAAGTTTTATCATTATTTTGGATAGCAGCGTGCTCCCTATCAACTGGTCTACTTGAAAATCGACAAGCATTGTGTTCTGAAACAATTGCGGTCGAGCGCATGCTCCATCCCACGTTTTCTTCAATCCACACAAAGCATCCGGGACATTGTTAAGCTTATGCCTATTATTAGGACTACCTGCTATGCTCATATCTGTTTCCTACGATATGGATGCAAGATCCAGGTAAGGCATAGAGCTAACCTTGAGGCTATAGGAGCGCATACAAGATAGCGGATGTGTGTGACGGCCTATTCCATGCCTATGCTCCGCCGTGTGTTTGTTTACTTTTCACTTACCCTCCAATCCCTTTCATACTTCGGCATTGGAAGCCCTGGACAGCGACACACCGCAGTACTACGGAGTAAGTCTCCGGACCCTAGGAGTGGAGGGAAGACAATAGCATTGCGCAAGAAGTATCCTCACGACGACCTACCTTTTCCGGTTGGCCTCTGGTATGTTCACAAACATGCCTCTCATGCATGACAAGACTCCCGATGGAAGAGCACGAAAGCAAGGCCTGAACGGCAGTCTCTTCGCAGGTTGAAGGACCGGAGAGTTCCTCTCCAAGGCCAAAGAGTCTCACAAGGGGTACCTACGTGTAGACACCACATTCTCCATGCATCATCTCGAGTCGGGTGGGAACACAATCCCTGCGATGAACCGGGAGGTCCTGAATGCTGTATCACGTTGATGACCAAGGAGCCACAAACGAATAAACGAATCCTCTGCAAATGTCAACATTCGTCGGAAGTGGGCATCCATACTCTCAATACTGTCTGTGACGTCTGTCCGACAAGGCAGTCGATATACCTCCGTAGGGCTGTAGAAGCTGTACTGGCTGGGCCTCTGCGTCAGTATTTAATGGCACAGGTCAGTTGTCTCGTTTGCAATTCGTCTCAACCCGGATTCCGCTCGAGCAAGTACTATTGTCCGCAAGGAAGAAAGGGGTCCTGTCAGGAGGAGGGCGAAACGAGAGGAGAGTTTGCGAGTAATCCAGGGATGCCGATCCACGCTATCCTGAACTGAAGGAGGGAAAACATGATGGGCTGTGGTTCTCGATTGGTCATATGTATGTCATCTCGAAGAGGCAACTGGAATACCATATCCCTTTTTCACCCTTGGGTGGCCTGGGCACTGTTCTTTGTGCATGATTGGGTGTTCTGTCCTCCATGTAGGAACGCCTTTCTACCGAGAAAATGCCATGTTATTGTTGGCGAACCGCCCTTACAGATGGCTCAGCTGTGATAGAATCCGAGGCACGGCAGCATCATGGAAGGTCTGCAATTCCGGAGAAATTTCAGACTGCAACACGCATCTGCCGGTGTGTACCTCTGCAATGGGTGGAAACTCGATCAAGGAGTGCATTACCAGTCACATCCCATTCCACTTCCTCTTTGGGCTCCGACTATAAACAAGAAGCATTCCGTTCGTTTATTCCCCTTCCTTTTGTTTACACAGAGACAGGCAGCTTCGACGGTTGTACAACATGATACGACTATTCTATATCAAGTTCTACCTTTTTGTAGGTATTTAGCAAGAAAAACAAAGCCAGGATATGTGGATATTCCGCCACACAGACCTGTAGAAGAAGAACGGGCAGACTCGAACCGGCAGATCATCCATAGTCAAGAAGCAAATATTGTCAATCTTCACCCAATTGAGACACTGAGAACGATAATATGCCGCTGCGGCATTCGGTGGATGGCTCTCGTCCGAAGGGATGGAACGTACGTCCGACAAAAGACAGCCGAAATGAACAGTGTTGATCTGTTTATGCAGGAACAGATGCTATGGGTTTGTTGATCGCCCACAACACCATGCACCTTTAAAGCTGGATGCTTTCGTCACCGTCACGATTCTCCTTCAGAAACTTTCCCTCCATATTTCATTTCCTTTTCCCCAAAACTTCCGCTCGTTTCAATACACCAGCTTGATCTGGTCTCTCACTCGTTGCACTCCTTAATTACCTACGATCCTTACAAGTCAAGAACAAAAGAGACACGATGAAGTTACATACTGCTGCTCTCATCCTGAGCTTTTGCGCGACGACATTCGCCGCGCCTTTGTCTCAGCGGCCGCCCGCCGGGCCCGAGCAGGGCGATGAGGCTGCGGAGCCCCAGAATGGCCAGAACCAGGATCAAGGTCAGGGCTGGAGTCCCATGAGCATGATGGGTGGTCAGCAGGATGGCAGCAACCCCATGGGATCCATGATGGGAGGTGGCCAGGGTGGTCAGGGCGGAAACGCCATGGGGTCGATGATGGGTGGCCAGGGAGGACAAGCTGGAAGCCCAATGCCCTCGATGGGAGGTAGTCAGCAAGGTGGAAGTTACCCCATGGGTTCCACGTTAGGAGGTGGCCAGCAGGGCGGCAGCAACCCGATGGGCTCCATGATGGGTGGCCAGGGCCAAGGCGGTCAAAGCAACAACCCCATGGGATCCATGATGGGTGGCCAGGGAGGACAAGCTGGAAGCCCAATGCCCTCGATGGGAGGTAGTCAGCAAGGTGGAAGCAACCCCATGGGTTCCATGATGGGAGGTGGCCAGCAGGGCGGCAGCAACCCCATGGGCTCGATGATGGGCGGCCAAGGAGGACAAGGTGGCGCTAGCCCTATGAACTCCATGCCAGAAAGCCAAGGCAAGGATCAAAACAAGAGATCCGAGTCTGGCAAACCCGCTCCCCAGCAGAACAACCAGCAGGCGAACCCCATGAGCTCCATGTTCGGCGGCATGATGGGTGGTGGCCAGGGCGGTCAGGGTGGCCAGAAAGGCGGTATGGGAGGAATGAACCCCATGAGCATGATGGGCGGACAGGGCCAAAAAGGTCAGGAAGGTGGCATGGGCGGTATGAATCCCATGGACTTCATGCGCCTGTTTGGTGGCCAGGGTCAGGAGAAGAACGCCAAACCAGCACCTGAGCACAAGTCCAACAAGCCCGCTCACGAAAACAAGCCCAAGGAGAACAAGCCTGCCCACGAGAACAAGCCCGCTCTCCCCAAGGACGAGAAGAAGCCTGCGCCTCCCGCTACCGCTCCTGAGAAGCAGGGTCAGAATGGCCAGCAGGCAAACCCAATGAACTCCATGATGGGTGCTGGCCAGGGCGCTAACCCCATGGGCTCCATGATGGGCGGCGGCCAGGGTGGTCAGGGTAAGGGTGGAAACCCCACGGGCTCCATGATGGGAGGTGGCCAGGGCGGAAACCCGATGAGCTCCATGATGGGTGGCGGCCAAGGTGGCCAGGGTGGCCAGGGTGGCATGGGAGGCATGATGGGAGGCATGGGAGACATGGAAGACATGGGCGACCAGCAGTAAGGTACTTCATCGCCTCATTTTCGAGTTGTTCTTTCGTGATGCGGCCTGGACTTAGCCTGCCTATATTCGTCCTTGTCATTTTTTGTCAACTATTTGTTTCCTTTTTTGATGACGGTCTTCGTGTGAGATGCCTTTGATCTGCTATACAAAGCCAATGGGATTGACTCCTGGACTTCAATTGCTGTTCGATCAGTAGCGCATGTTCATCGTATGGAAGGGCTAGTACTCCTGTAAATGATTGTCTGCGTTCCATGACAGCTCGATATTTGGAGTGATGTTCAGCTGTCTTCAATTCATACATCGATCATACAGAGGGAAGTAGACCATGTAAGTCGTCTCCGTGGACGATGGATGGATGTTGTAGTGGAGGGATTATGTCATCAGCGCATATCAATCCTCCCACGCAGTGACAATGCCAACGCTTGGTCCTTGCAACCACCGACGTCTTATCCTTATTATCAGCTCGAAGAATTTAGAGACATGCCTAAAATTACTATATCCAACTGCAAACATACGATACTGAAGCAATACCATGGTTGAAAAGGCAGACTGCACATGGAGCGTGAGTCTTTTTTTCCACCCTGGCAGCGAGTCCTACAGAGATACCGGGTTCGGATTCAGAACGTTGACTCCTAGACTGTACCTTGACTTAGGATCTCGAAAGAGACTATTGTCCACCTCTAGACCCTGCCTTGTTTACAGCGATTGCCTCCGACTTCGACCTCACCGATGCGGCCCAAATCCAGCAGCTACGCGACACACTGGATACCTTGAAACTGTCCGCCTGGGAACAAGAAGATCTACCCTTTGACCCCTCAGGAACCAGCGGTCTCTCGAATACGAACAGTCCCGAAACGGATGCCGTATTATCCGAACGAAGTGCGTCACATAACGGCACAGTACGGTCAAGGGGGACGGATATCACCTGCCTGACGTCGGAATTTTCTGCCATCACCACAAGCGACAGGACGTCAGGAAGCGACAACAATGACCGGTCTGTCTCTCAGCGTGTCTCCTACACTATCGGTGCGGATGGCTCCCTTTCCCTGTCCGGGGCCACCGAGGAAGATAAGATCGGATATCTGATGGAGATGTTCCCTTCCGTCGATCGTTTTACCGTACAACATACACTGAAGAAGTCTCATGGAGATGTCGACCGCTCCATGGATGTTCTTCTTAACTTCACCTTTTTCGACGAGCAGCCTCCGAGTGACGATGATGTCAAAGTCTCCATTCCCAAGGGTGTCGATGGGTTCGAGGAATATTCGAGCGAGGATCCTACGAGGAAGAAGGGTCGCAAACGCAAGCCCAAAAACAAAAACGCCCGAAACACTGGCACTACGTCGCCTTCATGTTTAGATGCTTCGCGTGCTTTGCCTTCCAGTGACGAGCCCCGTGCGATTAACAAATGGGATGCAGCTCAAAAGGATGTCGACTTCGTTCACTCACGAACGTCGCCCGTCCTAAAGAAGGAGACAGTCAAGTCCGCATATCATGCAAGTGGTGCATCGTTACCCGCCACAATCCGATCACTGGCAACGATGCACGCGCCCAAGTGTGAGGACAACATTAATCAGGACCCGGTCATGGCAACTCAAGTGGCAGAGCTTCTTCAGGAGTTTCCCTCTACCCCCACAACGTTACTTGCCGGGATGCTCCAGATTACCCGAGGATCGACTTCAGCTGCTAGTGAACTGACGTCTGCCATGGTCACTGCACCCGTTGCATTAGGGACTCCTCAAGTCTCCGAGATCATCAAGATCACCGCCTCGCCGCTAACCCTTGAATCGGATGACGAGCTTCCAAAGCGGCGAACTACTGAGTCGCGAACCACCCGGGACTATGGAAGTGCAAGGAGCTTTGCCGAAGCTCATTTTGCCGCCGGCGCGGAGGCTCTCTCGAAAGCGTCCGTGGCATATCGTCGTGGCAAGTCCGATCGATACATGGGCGGCGCCGCCGCATACTATTCAGCCGTTGGGCGGGATCATCTGGAGCGGGCCAAACGAAATGCGGCCGCGGCGGCCGATGCATTGGTGGACTCCCAGTCCACAGCAACTATGCTAGACCTCCATGGAGTCTCGGTGCAGGACGCCGTTCGGATCACTAGTGCGAGAGTTGCGGAATGGTGGGAATCTCTTGGAGATTCCAAGTTCATGAGAGGAGGCGGTAACCCAACCCGAGGAGGTTATCGCATTGTCACTGGCGCCGGACGGCACAGTCACGACGGCACGTCTCGCCTGGGCCCGGCCGTGGCGAAGATGTTGGCGCGTGAAGGATGGAGAGTAGAAGTCGGCGAAGGTGTCTTGACAGTTACAGGCATGATTCGACGTCGATGATCTACGCTATTTGATTTATCTGTTGTTGGTTCCCAAGATACCCATTGCAGCTTGTATTTAGCAAGAGCGACCGCCACTTTTTGGATGATTCTGATTCTTTTTTGGATTATCTGACCACATGTATGACTCTGTCTCTTTTTATTTATATGTACATATTCCCTGTCTTATTTTCGGCAGAGTGAGGCAAAGACTGACTGATGACGTAACACCCCGAGCCTCCATGATGGCGACAGTTCAATCTGGCGCATCATCGAGATCTTCACATCACGTCTTCCTGTACAAGAGAATACCTACAGATTTACGGTCGCACAACTAACCCCCACTTTTCCACCCTCAGCTTGCCCCATGAGATTCCAGGGTCTCTCCGCAGCCCTCCGCATTGTCCGCAAACCCCTCAGAGATCGACCCGCATTCGCAATCACCGCGGCATCTTCTCGATACTTCCGCCGTCTGCCCCTCCCGGTCTCCGGCGCAACGGTTCTTAAGGCTGCCCCAGGGATTCCGTTTCTGAGCTCTTTGTTCGGATCCAGTGCAAAGGCACAAAGTGCGAGCGCCGATATGTCTTACCCCGATCAGCGCAGCGACGAGGAGTGGCGCGCTGTTCTCAGCCCTGGTTCGTCGTTATGTGCCTTAGAGAGGTCTTGTATTCCAAAATTATCAACTCGCTGATCAAAAGAATAGAACAGTTTCGCATTCTTCGCCAGAAGGGCACGGAGCGTCCTGGCACCGGCGAATATGACTCCCATTATCCGTCCCAGGGAGTCTACACCTGCGCCGGCTGCAATGCGCCCTTGTACAAAGCGTCGCATAAGTTCAAATCTGGATGTGGATGGCCGGCGTATTTCGATTCCATCCCGGGCGCCGTCAAGAGACACACGGATAATAGCCTTGGTATGGAGCGGACGGAGATTGTGTGTAGCAACTGCGGGGGTCATTTAGGACATGTGTTCAAGGGCGAAGGGTATCCAACACCGACGGACGAGAGACATTGCGTGAATAGCGTCAGTCTGCGTTTTAAAGAGGATGGTGATGGAGATGCGAAGGCGAAGGCATGATGTATGATGTATGCTGTATAGTGTGGATTGGACGGAAGCGTATGGGGATGGACAGAGCTGTCCTTAGGGGGGCATTTTGCCCTTTGAATAACTATCCGGGCTTCTCAAGTAAATACATCTATGAAAATCTTTCATCCCAATCCTCCAGCAAGACATAAGTCTGTCTGATGGGATTCGTTTGCACCTCTGGCTCAACCGGCCAGCCGGACCAGAAAAGGTGCGCTGCCTGAGGCCACACCGCATCCGCCACCTGGAAACAACGACGGCGTTTCAACCTCCGTCTTCCTTCCACTCACCTCCTCTACTCACTCCTGTGTCAACCGGCTCCCTTTCTGCTGTGGTTATGTCTCGCCGCGCGACCCCGTCTCAGGCTGCTCAGAACCAGCAGACCATCAAGAACCTGCTGAAACTCGATTACAACAAGACATGTGCCGACTGCAAGCGCAATAAGCGTGGGTCCCTCCCCTCCCCCTCCCCCGAAGTCCCTTGTTCTCATCGCCTCGGACGTATCACAATCGCCGTGCATGTACATTTTCTGGGTCTTCGAGAAAATGATAATTGACAATGCTCACTTCTAGACCCACGATGGGCCTCCTGGAACCTTGGAATCTTCATTTGCATCCGATGCTCCGGTATTCATCGGGGCATGGGTACCCATATCAGTCGTGTGAAGTCCGTGGATCTCGACTCGTGGACCGATGAACAACTCCAGAGTGTTTTGCGCTGGGGCAATGCTAGAGCCAACAAGTCCGTCTCGCCAATGACTCCTCAATTTCACCATGCGGATACTGACTGGTCTTGGGCAGATATTGGGAGGCGAAGCTGGCCCCGGGCCATGTTCCGTCGGAAGCGTGAGTAGACCATCGCCTGCAAGCCTGCGACTATCGGAATTGGCCACTTACGAAACTGCGCTCACAGAAAGATTGAGAATTTCATCCGAACCAAATACGAATCCAAGCGGTGGGTGATGGACGGAGGGATGCCCGATCCCTCTACTTTGGATATCGGCGATGACGACGTTGTAAGCTCGCTACAGGTCTTCACCACATGGGATCATAGCTGACAAACTTTCTCTTGCCCAAGCCGCTTGCGGTTGTCCAGGAAAAGGCAAAACTCGAACGTTCCGCATCCCAGCGAGTCGCCACAGCGAGTCAGCCCCCCGCGACCCAGCGCCGCCAACAGCCGTCCATCGATCTCTTCGGCGATGACGATATTTCTCCCCCAGTTCGCCCGAGCACTACGGAACCTACCGCCCGCACTGCACCGCCCAAGCAGCCCCAGTCGGCGCCCAAGCCGACCCGTCCTGGAGACTCGTTGCTTGGGCTTGATTTCTTTGGCAGCGCTCCCCCGGCGCCTTCCAGTCGCCCAGCGAGCACCGTGTCGACTCCTGGCGCTCCAACGGGAATGTCTAGACCTGATCTGAAACAGTCTATTCTGTCCCTTTACTCGAAGCCACAACCAGCTCCGGTCCAGCATGAGCGGACTCCGTCATTCGGAGACTTGGCATCTCCTACCCCCCAGTCGGCATCGTCTTCCAATATGGGTGGTCTTACCGACGCTTTCAGTGGCTTGAGCTTCCCGTCGACCACTTCCCCGCCGCCCTCCAAGCCGGCCGAAAAGCCATCGCCGTTTGCCAACCTGACGAGTTTCGCAACCACAAAGTCCACACCTGCAGCGCCCAAAGTTTCCTCGCCGACTGCGTCTGCTAGCAGTGGTATCGGCGGCGGTGGTCTATTTGAGAGCCTTACGTCTCCTACGATCCCCGCAGCCAAACCACAATCGCGTACGACATCGATATCCTCCAACGGGTTCGATTCGGGATTCACCGGTTTTGCATCTCCACCGCCCACTAAGCCGAACCCGCCCCCTTCGTCGTCAATGTCCAACGACTTGTTCGGCCTTTCATCTCCTCCTCTTTCTACAACCAAGACCTCTCCACCGCCACCGCCAATGGCAACGTCTCCCCAACAGGAGTTGAAGTCAGCATTCAATTTGAGCAGCCCTGCACCCCCGGAACCCAAGCCCAGCGTCGCCACATCCACGGCCTCTGTTGCGAGCGCGCTTCCCGCGAGCATAGATCCTTGGGGTGGTAATGCATGGAGCACACCGGACCCTGCTCCTGCCGCGCCCCCGTCTTCTTCCATGATGAAGGTTCCTGACACCTTGACTGCCAATGATATTGGTGGCGGCTGGGGCAGTACCGGCCCTAAGCCCGCACCTGCTGTGACTGCAGACGAAGACTTTGGAGGTTGGGCCAGTGCGGCACCGGTCCCTTCGACGGCAACCACCACCACGAGTACCACGGGCGTTTCGACTAAACCGGCTGGCGGGTTTGGCGGGGCTGATGACTTATTTTCTAATGTTTGGGAGTAGTTGCTAGTGCTACTTCGTTACTTTCTCTCTTTGTTCCACCAAATGGCACATAGTTGGTGTTACATATTAGACTTGAGCGCCAGTTCGCAATGTAATTGTCTTAGTTCATGTTTCTTTCGCATTTGTGTCTGGTTTGCGTCACAGTCACATTGGCATGGGATGGGCTCGCTGTGGACTTCGGACTGTAGATGTGTTAAGGCATAATGATTAAGCGTTGCACTGTGTGCAGTTACTCATGACGAAGCAAACAGATATCCGATATACCGGGTTCAGACTTCACTTCAACGCTGTACACAAAGATAGTCGTAGGTGTATTAATTTAGTAACATTTTGTTGTCATGAATATCGTACAGGATAAATCCAAGGAAGCCCCTCGCCGAAAGAGTGCAAGCAAAGATAGAGGTAAGAAGAAGGGCATCATAACGGACACAAGAGGGAATCAGATAGTGAAAGAAGAGGCGTATTACAAACAGAGATCGAAACAATCCAGTCGAATAAAATAACAAGGAAAGGGGGTCATAGGAAAGAGAGCTTGAGAACCGTCGTGTCGATACATACGTACATAAATAGAAAAGGCACCCCACGCCCAAGGAAAGGAAAGGAAAGGGAAAGAAAGGAAAACCCTAGACCAGATGCCGCACACTCGACGCGTCATCGGTATGCGACGCAAACTCCTGCGAGACGATGGTGGTGACCTTGATCTCGCCGGGGGGATGCTTGCCGGATTCCTTGCTGCTGGTGCTGTCGGGGCGGGTGAAGGACTTCATGGTGTAGTCGGGGGCGGCGACGGAGGCCGACGTTTGGAAGTGGTTGGTCAGGTTGTGAGTGCTGCGGCTGCGCGCGGGGTTGTTGCTCTTGGTGTGGTAGTTGTAGGTGTTGTAGTTGCCGCTGCGGGTGGAGAGGAAGCGCGGCAGGAGGCGCGAGATGAGGGCGCGCGTGCCGGGGAGACAGGCGCAGATGATGGCGACGTTGCATTCCACGGCGGACCAGGTGGCTGCGCCGGGGTTGTCGTCTATCTGGTGGTTAGTGCATGATGTTGTATTGGGGCGGGTGGAAGGGACGTACAGGTTGGGTCTGTGGAGTTGGAGATGACGAGGAGACTCTGAAGACGGAGGATACTCGTGACCAAGACACTGGGGATGTTAGCTGGGGGTGACGGACGGTGGCGGCGCATGAGGCACTCACAATGCGCCCAGGGCAAAGACGGCCATCAGGGCGATCTTCTGTCGGCGGGGAACCTGGAGGTTCTTGAGGACCGGCATCGGGTAGACCAGGATGAGGATGTCGGTAAAGATGTGGATGGCCGAGTTGGAGAACCAGAGGGCCTTCTTGTCCAGACAAAAGCCCTTGACCGTGTCATCCCAAAATTTCGCGAGCGGGAGGCAGTTCAGCCAGGCGCTGAGGATGGTCCATGTACCGTACACGCCGAGGAAGCCGATCAAGCCCCAACAAGCGAGTCGCATGCGTGGAGTCGAGAAGACACGCTTGTATTGGAGGAGGATGGAGGCTTTGGTCACGATCAAGGTCGTCTGATAGATGGGGACCGACGCCCAGAAATACTAGATGCCCGATGTCAGCGAGAGTCGAGCCACACGAGCATGATATTGCACGCACCTTCATTTGTTTTACATAGACGTCATGAGGAATCTTGTCGAGATGCTCACCCATGAGATATCTAACCTCTGGAGGAACGTAAAGTCAATACAGTTACAAGTCTCGGCCTTATCTAAAAGGCGTTGGGCGGGGGACGTCAGCCACACGAACCTTGGACGAAAATAGCAAAGAAGGCCCAGGTGAAGACCTATGTAGATGACTCATTAACAGCCGATACCTATCTTGCTTCCCCAGGCTGAGACATACAAGAGAAACCAGAATGGTCCAGTCATCTGCACCCATCTGCTTCACGATGAAGGCTCGGGTGTAGATGCGGAGAATCGTGAAGAAGGTGGCCAGGCTTGTAAAGACCGCGCTGACGGTCAGAGCGTGTTGGCCTCGTGGCGTCCCTATAGCCATAGTGCTAGGGTGATGAGACAGCAAATGAAGGGGAAGATGTCAGGAATGGATAAGGAGTGTTGCTACATGGACGTGTGCTTGTCCCCGGATAGTGCGAGTTCAGGATTCGCCTAGGCGGATGAGGCACATTTCAAAGGAGTGTGGGTAGGTAGGAACGAACGAACGATGGGGTATTCATGGAGAAATAATAAAAGTGCGAAGCTTGACAGGCAGCGAGCCCCGACTTGAAGGTGGCTAAGGGTCAAATAGGACTAAGCGTAGAGGGGTGGCACGGAGAAATAGACACTAAAGAGACAAACAGTTCCAATAATTCCATCCCAATGGATCGTCATTATTGGGTACGCTAGTCGGAATAAGAACCGTCCGATACTTTCGAAAAGATAGACCAACGACCGGATAGGGTCAGGCTCGTCGCGAAAGAGGAAGCTGCTGGTGCGTGAAGTTGGTTCAAAGAAAAGGTCGAGCATACAATCCCGACATAGTGACCCTTGGAGACCGTGTGGCAGTGGGGGATCCCAAGACTGTTACTGTTCGCTGCCTGGACGGTGGACGATGAGGCACTTCGTAGAGATCCACGTGTGCTTACTGTAGTGACCCTCTCGGTGAGGGCTGACATTGGTTCATGCTGAACACCAACCGGCGACTTGCAGCTCCAGCCGACGGATCCAGCAATCGCCCGGCTCCTAAACCACTGGCAAATGAACGCCGTATTCCCGGGTCCGGGGACTACTCCGTTCGAACTTCAGAAGACAAACTCGTATCATTGAACTGCGACTATCGATTTTCCAAGGCGAGGGGTGGATCCTAAGTTTCCGTCTCGGTGAGAGCATATGAAGCTCGAGAATAATTGCCTGACAAAACCTTACTCTGCGGTTGAAGATATCATGAATCTTCCGGGGATACTGCCCCCTTGGTCCGAGAGCCCCATCTATTGGCATCGATCAGAGGGGCACCCACATCGACATGCGTCCGATCCCAGCAGAAGCAGACGGTCAAAGTCAACGGAGGGGCAAGGACCAGCCGGAGGGAGCTCCGCTTAGAAGCCCACCACCTGATCATACGAGCCCAAACGATCTAACAGAGCCCGTGGCGGTCTTCGCGAAGTCCATTTGGGTAAGTAACCTAGCCGCTGTGGGTCCAACGGTGTCAAAGGCGAGGATGCCGCCTTGTTCATTCGTCAATGGGTTTGTTCGATACATTAGCGTAAAGCCCGCCGTGGCAAACCATGGATCGAGCGCTTTATCGAGTTCGGGGAAGACCCAGAGGTAATTTCCTCCGTCATCCGAGGGAACCAATCCACGAAGTTTTACAGCAATAGTAGTTGTGGAGATCGATCGCGGGAAGACCGAGTTGGACAGAAAGCTCTCAACTTTGGTCAATTCTGACATTTCCGAGACGGCTGTGACATGTGAGGGGGAGGAGACCCCTGGAATTAGGTACCAAGTTGCATCACTGACAGCCGCGAACCCTGGTTCATGAAGACAGCACGACTTGGATAAGTTGATGCTGATCGTCTCTTGGACACCGGGTAAAACAAGATCAGGGTGCAGGTGCCAGTCAATTGGGGGGCGTCTGGTCACCGAGGGCGAGACTCGCCTAATGTTAGCGTCGGTAGTGGTTCAGAACAGGGTACGTACTTCCCCACTCGGAGAATTGGAGCAAACAGATTAGTGCCGCCGATCTGTATGTGTCTGGGTCCCTACTAAGGTGGCAGGGTTCCCTTTGTGGACAAAACGAACAGCACTATGTGGTGGACCTAAAGTCAATGACGCGGGAGATGATGGCGTGCGGAAGCGCGCGGGCTGATTGAATTCCCCCTGACGACCGATTAAACTCCCCAATGCGAGGGAGAAGGGAAGAGGAACAAAGATTGCAGAGGATGGCTGCCAGGATCGACAGGATTCTGCAGGACAGAGGTGTGGTTGCACAGAGAGGCTGATCATTGAGAAAGTACAGTAAAGATGGAGAAGGAGAAGAGAAGAAGAAGATTGTTTGGATGTTTGGATGTTTGGATGGGGAGTTTCGGTTTCGGCCAGGAGTGGTGGCCTTGTTTCTCGGGCAGCCACAGCGGTCGTGCTTTGAATGAAACAGCCACAAACGGCCAACTGTCAGAGAAGTCCTTGTTTTCTCCCACTTAGCCTATTATTACTATTGTCATCGATGCTCTCGATACTCCGTCATACCAAAAGATCCCAAAAACTCCAAAAGTACAAGTACCCAGCGTGCGAGCAAGAGGCCGATGAGTCAGCAGCATCCCTAACTTAGTTAACATGACCTCCGTGATTAATTGGGAGTCAACCATCCGATCCTCTCCGTCCAACACCAGCCGGTGACATCCCAGTTTTGATCTCTGAGTCGGTCCAAAAAATGCGATCCATACGATTCTGAGTTGATCCCCCGCATATCATCCCAAACTTTAGCCAAAAGGGCTCCTGTCAGAGCATCCATGCAAGGCGCCACTATCGACCGAGGCAACCCAATTATTGCTATATCCGCGCAATAATCACCAATCTTGGTTCTGCCAGGAATTGGGGCAATAAACGGCATTTTGCCGGCGATGGCAGATGATCGTCCAAAACGGGCGGAGGCTGGACCGGTCTCCAAGCCCTGTGTCCGATTGACCTGCGAACTGTGCCGCCAACGTAAGGTCAAATGCGACAAGCTCAATCCGTGCACTAACTGCCAACGGCTGGGTGCTACGTGCGTCCCCGTGGAGCGCGCGCGTCTCCCTCGCGGCCGTTCCAAAAGGCCATCTAACAATCCGCCCGGCGATGAGTCGGTGTTGCGAGAACGAGTGTCCCGGCTCGAGGAGCTCGTACGCCAGATGACAGACGGAGATGCCAGTAACACAGAGACACAATCGTCATCACACAGCAGAGTTGCGGCAACCGTAGACACCCACAATTCAGGCCCATCTCTAGGCAGTTCTTATGGGCGAGATGTCCCCAAGCGGGTAAGATCTCGAGCGTTTAGACGAAGTCGTTTGTAGATATCTCGATAACCAGGATATTAGGTATCAAATACTCATGGCTCAGCTGCGTCTACCGTCTATAAACGGCTTCTGTCATTACCAGATAGTCCTCTGGCCGAACACAACTCACCAATTCATCAGACAGAGGGTCTTGAAACCGGAGAGCTCGAGAAGGAATTATGTCGGGTATTCTTCGAGAAAGTCGATCCGTACTTTAAGATCCTCCATAAGCCCTCATTAAGCCGCCTCTTGCTCGCTGGCGAGCCCTATCTGGACTATGTGCCAGGGCACCCGGCACCTACGGCATTAGCATACGCCGTGTATTATGCTGCCAGCTGCAGCCTGAGTGATGCAGAATGCAGTCAGAAATTTCATACAAGCAAACCCGTACTTATTGACCGGTACCAAACAGGGACAGAATCAGCTCTAGCCCGGCTAGACTTCATGGCATCTAACGACCTCACCATCTTACAAGCATTCGTTCTGTTCCTTGTGAGCTTCGCGAACCCCTCCAGACACTCCGTCGACATACAATTAACCTCTCAAACCAGCTCGCCTCCCGGACGCAGGATCAAAGCCGCCGCGTCTGGACGATGCTGAGCATGGCCGTCCGCATCGCACAAGCCCAGTTCCTCCATCGGCCAGAACCACCTTTCCCAGTGCGACCCTTCGAGCGCGAAATGCGCCGGAGACTCTGGGCGGGCATCGGGTTCCTCGATGTCGAAGCCTCCCTGGACCGCGCCTCAGAGCCCATGATGCAGTCCACCTGGCTCACGTCGCATCCGCCGCTCAACATCAACGACAGCGAGATCAGCTTCGACATGGAGACCGCCCCAGCGCAAGAATCCGCCGGCTTCACCGACATGACCTTCACGATGATCGTCTTCAAAGCGCAGTCCGTCTCGCGGCTCCTCACCTTCTCCCACTTTATGGAAAACACTGCCAACTCCATCACCATGCGCCAGCATCTCGTCATCGGCTTCCAGCAGACGGCATCACTGCTGCTGCTGCACGCCGACCCAGACCGCATCCCCTTCCACTGGTTCACGCGCGCCGTCGCAGAATGCACCAATTCCTCCCTGCAGCTGATCACCCTGCGGCCGCTACAGCGGATCCCGGGGTTTGTGCCGCCGCCCGTGCGCGGCGACCGGCTGCTGCAGGTCGCAGTCGACGTGCTGCTAAAGTCCGAGAGCCTGCGCAGCGACCCCCGCGCCGCCCCGTGGCAGTGGGTCGAATACGCATTCGTGCCGTGGCACCCGCTCGCCGTCGCCCTCGCCGAGCTCTGCGAGTGCGACGACCCCGCGCTCATGGACAAGTTCTGGGACCCTGTCGAGCGGGCCTACGAGAGTCTGGGCGAGCTCGTCGCCGACTCGCGCAAGGGGGCCTTCTGGAAGCCCCTGGAGAAGATGATGACCCAGGCAAGGACAAAGAGGACGGCGCTTCGTGGTAAACCCGCTAATGGCGGGTATGCTGGCGTGGGCTTTGCGGCCGTCAATTCGGCTCAGTTGCCTTCTTGTTCGCAGTCGGACATTCGGACGTCGTTGGCGCTGGATCCCGTTGCGGACCAGAGTACCGGCGTCTATGTTCCTGCGTCTTCGGGTGCGATCATGCCGCAGGCTGCTGTGTTTGGTGCCTGGCCATGTGTGTGGGACGCGGTGGATTTCGGGAATGCAGGCGTTGAGGATGAGATGTCCTGGCTGAACTATGATAATTTCATCGGCGGGCTGTCTGAGAACATCGACTACTCTTTGTTATTTTGATAACATGGCGCCTAGGTAGGTAGCCTCCTATGTGCTTTCGATCAAAAGGCAGTGCAATGTCAGATCTTACTTCTGGCAATGGTATCCCTAGTAGTTACGTATAGTACATGTACTGCAATCAAATCCAATATCATTGTAGAAGGCAAAAGAAAAACCGCATTACCAAATCTACCTCACAATCCAGACGCCATGTGGTCAATCACGAGTCAAGCCCCCCATTGTTTTAACAGTCCTTCTTTGTTGTGATCTGTAGATAATAATGACGCCAAATCTGCACCACTCCCGACGTGACTGCATCAACGGTTACATGAGAAATTGAATGGTAGAGACATCACAGCAGTTAAAAGTGATAAAGTAATAAGAGAAAACCCAGGGTATTCGTACATATGTAGAAGAAAGATCAATAATCATGGCAAAGACAATGGAAAATGATGAGAAATGGCTCCAGCAGCCTTTTCAGTAGTAGTCTTCTCTTTCTATAGTCATGATTAGCTCGGTAAGTTCCTTGCGCAGTGATCGGTTGCGATCCCAGATCTCCACAATCTTTGGGCGGTGGCTCAAGAACACAGCCTTCTTCCACGAAAGCCCGTTGTACTGGGGCGCAACTCCATTCGGGAGGTTCTTTGCAAGGTTACGAAGCACCAACGCAGCCTTATAAGCTACTCCGACGGGCTCCCCTCTCTCATTGACCGGAGTGTCCATGTAAAACCATTTGCGCACGATGCGCTCTTGGAGGACGGCACGCTTCGAGACCGGAGGCTCTGCATCGGCGGGGCGCTCTTCAGGGAGATGCGACGAAACATGGCCGGCGACCATCGCAGTGTTGGCACTGGGGCCAGACGAACGGAATTTGGTACAGTTATCCCAGAGACAGGTGTGGATCGGCGACTCTGCCTTGTCCAAATTGTAATGGCCAGGCTTCTCGGTAGGAGACAGGTTCATATGGTCCGAGAAAACGTGGTTGCGAAGATCGGTCGGCGTGGTGAACGCGCGCTGGCAAGACTTGGATTGATTCGCATTGTCGGCCCATTTGCAGTACAGGTACGGGAACCCTTGGAAGGTGTAAGCCGTTTCTAGTGGTCTAATGCCCTTGATGATGAATCTGGTCGATGCACCTGGGCCATTGATGACCTGTGCCTGGGCGTTGGTGAACGTGGTGCTGACGTTCTTGATGAACTCTGCTGCAGGAAGGACACCTCCACCAGGAACTCGAGGATCGGCGAACCGGCTCTGATACGCCTGCCACAGTGCAATTTGCGTGATCTCACACTCCGCATCCTCGACAAAGCAGCAACGAAGCCAGCGAGAGCTGCGTTCGGGCTCTGACAGTTCCATCAGGTCCTTGAGGAGCTCTGCAGGCACATGAGGGATTTCAGAAGGAGGCGGCGCGACTTTTTCGTCTTGTAAGATGGTCTCCTTCTTGGTTGGCCGTCCATCATGGAGTAACAATGCAACCATTCGCGGCACGAAAACGGATGGCAGACTAAATATATCCATCATGTTCTCGATATTCTCACTCGAGAGCGTATATTGATACCAGAAATCGAGCGCGCCACTCAGGATATCCTTGTCCAAGTCAAGTAACGTGTGGAAGTACAACTGCTGTAGAGTATGTTTCGAGATGCGTTCCATGGCTCGGTTTGCATCTGGCTCATCTAGTTCCGTTGAGAAATGGGTCAGGGCCCAAAGCGCGCGAATGACGTGCGCGCGGTCAGGAGACTCGAGAAGGTTGAGCAGCGAAATCCATAGCGGGTCTTCCGCGTCTGTTCGCATGAACTTCGTCACTTCCTCAGCGATGTCCAGCGCATCGTTTCGAATCTCGTTGAGGTAAGCTTGGTTGGGAAGGTTGATGAGAATGACCAAGAAATCCCTCAGAAGTCCCTTAGCATAACGCGACACGTAGAACGCGTTCTCTTTCAACAAGACCATATTTCTGAGGACTAGCGTCGCTTCTTTCACGTTCCGGAGGCGGTGATTGAATTCGTAGGTCTCAAGGGTATCCTGGGGGAGAGTGACAGGGATCTTCCTAATTTTCTCCAAGAGATCTCTTGTTCCGTGGAGGGAGTTGAGCACATTCACACGGTCAGTGGGCTGTCTGAAATCATACTGCAACTCCCACTTAACGCCCGTGCACAAGATGGAGACATCAATGGCCTTTTCCATCAGAGTCTCTGCCAGTAAGGGAAAGCCCTCGAACTTGAATTTATCTCCCCGTTGGTTGGATATTTGAACGAGGTGATAAAGTGCAAAATCGACTTCATCGGGTATTCCAGATTGTAGGCCATAATGAGCTCGTTTGTAGATGTGATCAGCTGCGAAAACATCAGTTGTTGTTGATCTAGGATTCGCACGGCGCTCCGACGTACACTTTGGGACCTCCAGATATCTGAGTGGGAAATACGGATCGTAGAAGTCGGGCTGTTTGGCTGTCTTCCCTCTGTCGTGCAGACTGGCAAATAAGCCCGGTCTATTTCCCGGCGTGGCTACCTCCCGCGTGGACATCGGGACCTTCTGTTCCCGCCCATCCCAGTTATCGAAGTGAGGATGAGGGCTGTTCGCATTGGCGGAAGAGTTGGAATGAGAGTGAACCATGGCTGCGGGTTGTGGTGATTGATTCGCATGGTGCGACCGTCGAACGGGTGCGGTATCAGGGATGAAGGGTTGGTTTACTTTGGGGGCACTTCGCAAGCCCTCTGCTGCTCGTTAGCATATTCGGCATATCAAAAGGGAAGACAAAGTCAACTTTGATACTTGCCTCTGAGGGACGAACGAGGGGTGGTGGTGCTCATTTTAGAAGCAGCCAGGCTGTACAGCGGTCTGTTGACACTGGAGCTTTGATGTCACCGATCACACCTCCTTTGGATGACAGAAAAAAGAGCCGACACGGGCTTTTCTCAATATCAACCGGATATGTCGCAGACTTGAAAAGTGCTGAAACTGGACGGAGAGGGCAGTGTTCCAAGGGAGGGCGCGATAGTCAGACGCGCACAGGTCCGTCGTTCGACTATTTCCCTTTTATGGAGCAGGAAATTTTCTTTGGCCGGTAGGCTGATATGAGCGACGCGAATAGATTGGCCGTTGAAGGAATTTAACGGACGGTCGCAAAGCTCGATGGGGTCTCGTTTCGGCAAAGGCAAATGTATCAGCGCGATCCAAAGCTATCGGAAGTTGGTGAAGGATGATGCGACAGCGCGAAAACCGGACTTCCGCGTCGTACTGTGCAGAAGGACTTGTTGCGATAAATCTGCGCGAGCAAAGGGAGTCGCTGGCGATATAGAGAGTTCGTAGCTGAGCGTCAATGCCTTGGTTGGGCCCTTTGGGGCTCTTGGAACAAGCTGGTCGATCGATCCGTCTTGACATCCCAGGCAAAACTGCGGCTGCCGATGGCCTCAGGCGCGTGTCCGGGTTATCTGTTCTTCCGGCGCTGAGTCATTATTTATGCCTGAAAAGCAAGGCATCAGTTGATGTATATCCTCATGCAGAGTGGTTATGGATTGGAAGTATATATGCGTGTCTATTGTACAGTGGTAGATTGATTGGGTGCATTCAATCAGTTGTGCCTATTTATACTTGCATATGAGTGGCTGTCGTGACTATTTCGTGTATTACAACATCTCATCCTCCTGGTATATATAGTTCCAGGCAGAGGCACCCTCCCAAGCACCACACCCATTTCATCGTACCGGTGCTGCAGCATCATTTGGACCTCTTCATCCGAATTCCCTTCTCCTCACCGGCCCACGTCCTATACATAAATATAAGACATTCCAATTCAGATTACACCATGTCCCAGCGTCCTTTCTGTACGCAGCTGGGCCATCTACCTCTGGCCAAGTTCTCACATACCACCACTTCACTCAAACACAAAGGCCCATTCAACTGGAGCCATATCCCTGGAGAAGGGACTATGATCGGTATATTCGAAAAGGTTTCCACCTCTTCTTCTACAGCCACACGTCTACTGTTAAAGATCGCCCACAACAATCATGTCTTGGTATGCCTGTATCCTCGCAACAGCCCACCAGAGACACAGCTGATCGTTATTTGCATTTGTATTAGGAAGAAGTCGATTTGGCATATTTCACTCGAGAAGCAGTGATCCAATCGCAGCCGGATCAACCGAGTCAACCCAGACCGGTGTTCGCTGTCGTCGTGAAGCTACCCTGTCTCGCTGTGAAATACCCCGATGCATCTGGATGGGTTCGTTCTTCGTAACCGGGAGCTGAAGTGCTCAATAGTCTCTGATGGCTCTCAGGTCCGTCGATTTCAGATCAAGTTTTCCCAGGATGCCGACTACTACAAAGCTCTGTCGATCCTGAGCGACATCAATTGTCCGTTTACAGAGGCGAACACAAGCTCGAAACCACCAAGTCGGAAGCCCGCGTCTTCCCAGTGGCATCCAGGCTCGATTCCTTCTATACATTCTTTCAGCGAAAATATCACGAGTGCTCCAGGGGTGACTGGACATGGACAGCCTGCGTTTCACGCCGTCTTCCCACCGCAACCGATTCCTACTCCAACAGACACATCTAGCGTGACAGCAAGTAGGCTTGTTTATTCCGTCGCAACAATTGAAGATGTCACTCTGACTGATGTCGCTTAGACTCACTCCCTCCCTCATCCTCGGGTACTACTCGCACCGCTCATACAGATTACAGCACATCGACCAGCAGCCAACCACACGCCGGAAGCCTTCCATACCACGATCCCGCCAGCTTGGTGACGAACGGACCAAATAGCCTTGGGCCAAATGATCTCGAGAAGAGGCCATTCACATCGATAGCCTATCAGGACCCGCAGACCTTGGACAATATCCTACCCCCCAAACGGGAGCTGCCCTTTTCCAACCCGCCAGCGAAGAGGTCATGCACAGACATAGGGTGTCTATCCACCTTCGGCCATGCTGCAAGAGAATATAGAACGGTGCCAGGTATGGTTATCCATTCGAACCCCCGAAAAATATACGTATCGCTCACTGAATCTACTCTCTAGACATATACAACAACAGACCCAACACGACCACACCACGCACGACCCACGATGTCACCCAGCCATACCGACCGAGACCACCGGCAAAAGACTCAAAGATAGTCACACTCAAGTATCCCACCTATTCATTACCGGAGACAGACTCGAACGGACAGTCTGCCATTGCCAACTCCAACCCTTACACTTCGTCACTGACAACACCGCCTCTGTGCCTCAAAGGACCCTCGATGGCAAACACGGAGAATGATACAAACGGTATCCACACTCGCGACTCGGCTTTACGCAAAGTGCACCAGACAGCCCCGTTAATTTTGTCGGATCTTTCATCGTATTTGTCCGCTCCGACTAGAGAGCGTACGATCCAACTTGAGAACTGGATTTGCGCCCATATCGAAGACGATGGATTTCTCCAGCTTTGTCAAGATGTTGAGGGTGTATGGAGACGAATTGCACTGGGAATGTGATCTGAAGCTATTCTGATGAGTTCCCTCTGTGGGGAGCATATGGGATTTCGTTTGTCTGATGTGTGATATGCGTCCAGTTCATGATGCCGAAAGACGTGACCTGTTATATAACTAATATTTCCTCCGGGTGAAGGAGAGTGAGAAGGCTTGAGTGATACGGCAATGTGCATTACTACAGATACTGTGCTTAGGGATACCTTATTGAGAGAAAATGAGATTTCCGCTAGCTTTTTTCCATCGCTGACGGCAACCATACTAGTACACAATAGTTGGCACACCCGCTATTTCTCAGCCAGTGTGTAAGAAGGGAATCGAAAGACATAAAAATAAGAAAACAAAATAGACAACGAGGCTTGTAAACAAACGCCTCTCATAAGGTATATTGATTTGCTCCCGCTCAGCAATTTTTCATTATTTTCGCCCAGGCACAACTACTCATCAAGTAGATGTGATGATTAATTCCCACGAGATCGACGATAGATCAGACCCGAAAACACGTTCAAATAACCTTCCTTGGTGAGAAGGGTGAAATCAACGACCACCCGCCCTTGCGGCTGCGAGACTGCACCGAGATTTGGCGAGGTCGTGGGCATGTTGTTGTCCGTCGAAGAGATAGCTGGAGGCGGAGAACCCGCGCCCCCGGAAACAGTTCCTTCAGCACCAACAGCCAGATCAGCAAGATGCTGAAGAGAACGCTGTTCGTTAGGACCCATGACTGGCGGAGGGCCAGAACCGTTCTTCCCGAGGCTGGGATCCTGCAGTTGACTTTCCTGCGATTTCGTGCGCCTCCAGTCTAAGAACAGGCGGATCTTAGCATCCCATCCGGGAGTGGCGAATATGTCGCCAAACTCTCCTCCTTCTGTGCTTCGCTTTGCGCGATAGTCGAGGATCTCCTCGGCCTTCTTCAGGGAATCCCAGCATTCGTTGGCGTGTTCCGGGAGGACGGTAGCCTCGAGAAGTGTCATAGAGGCCAATGCGAGACTGTGAAGGTCGAAGGGCGTGACAGGTCGAGACTGAGAGATTCCTTTGTGCATCTCATTGATGACCTCCTGCGCACTATAGATGATCTCATAAGGGCTATACACAAAGATGTGTCGTTTAATCAGTAGGCGCAGGGTCCAGTAGAGTTGATTCTGGAGGCCTTCGAGGAAAGCCTGAGGTGCAGCCTCCTCCGGAATCTCGTTGGGTCGGCGAAAATCCTCGATCTCTCCTAACCGTTCGAGAGAGGAGATCATGTTTGCGGCAACCATGCCACCCAGACCACTATTAGTCTGACATACATTGTGCTCAAGAGAGGCCAGAGTGACCATCTCCACAAGGAATGTAGAGTATGCTGTAAAAAACCAAGTTAGCAAGGAGATCAGCTTTGGAGATAGGAAATTGCAGAACGTACAGCCAATTCGGGTTGCGATGGAGCCAAGGACTCGTTCATCCTCACGACCTCCTATCTCATACATTCCGAGCGCACTTGGATCAGCGACACTGATAGCATACCAGCGAGACATGATGGCGAGCGAAACCCAACTACGCCGCACGAGGTTCGCGTCCGAATCAACGTCCGCATCTGACGACCTTTTAGACTTCAACTGACCGAGGTTCTTGGCCAAGTCGGACCCAAGCTTGCTCGCTGACTGGATCAAGGAATGCTTAGGGACGCCATCCTTGAGAACAAAATTGTCCGGGCCCCTCGAGTCGCAGTCTAGAATCATCAGCAGTATCGTCTGAAGCCAGATGAGGTTCACTCCAGTCGGGCGAATAATAGCTGGTTGTCGGGTGTAATACAAGAGAAGGTCCTGGGCGTTATCGAACGAGGTCACTCGCTCGAAGTTGCCAATCAGACGCTCGATGTTTGTGCGCGTGACAGTGTAAAGGCTGTATAAGAAGATCTCTTGTACTTCGCGACTGCACAAGTGGAGGAGCGCGTGGAGGCGCTCGCTAGAGTGCGGCAGAATGGGGAACCATGGGTGAATCTTGGAGTAATAACTGCGATTGTGTCAGAAAAAGCAGCGCATGACCATAGGATGGTAGGGATAACATACGCGTTCAGGGCGCCCTCATCCACATTCAACGGCGTCATGTCTTCCTCCATTTCTTGCTTGGGGACGTCGGACATGGCAATCCCAGCGGGTGGCTCGTTATCATTGCCCGTCGACCAGAAGAGGTTCCCAGGTTTTGGTGCCGAGCTGCTCACAATGGCCGGATCAGTCGTAGTGTCTCCTGTGTCTTTGACTGATCAGCCAGGAACGTAAAAATGGGGTTGACAATACGAACCAAACGCATTTTGTGGACGAGCACCGAATTGTGGTTGTGTAAAGGAGGAACTAGGAAGTCCCTCAAACACCGAATATGTTCTCTTACGGCCCATTGATCCACCGTCCATAGGTGGCGAGAACTCCTGGTAAGCGCGTGGAGAGGACACCTCGTTCATAGCCTGGTATGGCATGTCGGGGTGCACCATGGCAGGCTGCATTTGACTTTCGAGGGTATGCAGACGTTCTGCAAGTTCTTTGATGTACCTAGAGTAGCCCACCCGTCAGCTCGTACAATCCTTGTGGAGGGCCAGAGTCGGTCGCGTCTTGTTGTCCTTACCCTTTGCTGGGACCTCGCTTCATAGGGACGCGGCTGAACTGACAGACGACACCCAGTCGACGACAGTTCGAACATGTTTCGACACCCGACTCAGAGCTCGCGTCGCAGCGGACCTGTATCACCACCACGTCAGCCTCCCCAAGCGCGTCGCGTCCGACAAGGAAAGACCTACCTTCTTGCGTCGGCACTCATCGCAAGCGCGTGAAATCTTAGACCTTTTCCTTCTTGCGCTTTGATCACCATAGCTCAGGTCATGATTCGGATCGACGCCGACTTGTTGGCTCGGGGTGAACTGCAACATGTGTTGTTGTTGATGCTGGTCGGGAGACTGAGGACGACCCATGTCACCGCCACCGGGGTTTGACGCGCCCAAAACCATCGATTGACCATGGTGAACGCCATTGTTGGAAGCATCGGGCAGACCGTGGGTGGAGGTTTCGCGCGAGAGTTCAGCGGAGAGAAGTTCGTCGGCGGTCAACTGGCGGTTCGTGTAGTACTGCATGGCACCTTGACCCATCTGCGCCGCGTTGGGAGACGGGTAAGAAGTGGTCGGAGGCATATCGGAATGCTCGCGGGAATTCATCGTGTCGGAAAAGGCGGCATGCGCGTGGGAGGGGGAAGGGTGGATGGTGGAGCGATGCTCCGGATGGTGGTGGAGGGAGGAAGTTGAAGGACGGAAGACGCGAGGACTGCAGGCAAGGTTTTACAGGCTAAAGGCGGAGGGGAGGGAATTTCCAAGGGGTTAGCGCCGAATGCCCTCGGCGCTGTGAGCTGTTCGGAGGAAACATGTTCGCGCAGTCGAACATCAGAGACGTCAGGGTTCTGATGTTCCTCGAGCGCATGCGGATGATACTTTTCGCTTGATATTGGGATGATCGCGCCAACGCGGAGGCCCGGCTTTTTGTTTCTGCGTCCAGCGACGGATTAATACTATTTCCCACCGGCCCAGACTCGACCAAACCTCGTCTCGGACCAGCCGGTAGATGGTTTGGAAGAAAGGAGCGAGGTAGAGCAATCGATATAATGTCGAATTTGAACATCGGATCTCCTTTTGGTGTCGTTATGTCTGGTCCTTGTCGGCGCTGTGTGTGGACTGTATATGTGTCTATATGAGGCAATCCATGAGGGCAACATTGTCGCACCTCCACGACATCCTATCAACTCCAACAAATTTCTATCGAATGAACAACTCTGGCTGATTTTCTTTCTATTGAATTTCTCTTTCTACCTCTTTAACTTCCGAATTAAAAATTCTGGCGGGCTTTCATGCATCATCTCCACCTGCTCTCTTGTCCACCGCTCTATTGAGTACATCAGCGACCACCGACTATTGAACACTACGACCTCAGCGACACTCTCTGGTCGCCGTAGAAGGCCGAAAGTATCCATTGAGAAACTGTTTGTCGGATTGTTATCGGACATTTGTGACGCTGGTCATATCTTCCTCAGGAAGCAGGTTGCATTAGATCCGAATGGATGTAGATCTACTTTGGACTATGAAACCTGACAATTTAACCCATCAGCTGCCTGGAATATATGAATGGGTTACTAATTGCAAGATTCGCTACTGACACTGTTCTCAACGCATTTTTCTGCCCAGCGATAATACATAGAAAAGACCATGGCCCAGTCGGACAAAATCCCCGAGCCCATAGATTGCATGGATCCATTCGTAGCATTTCCCAAAACCCTGACCGGTGACACGGAAGTAGAACTACTAACCTGGAACTCAAAAGGATCCCCCTCTGCTCCATCCGAAGTACTGGCATAGGAGCTTGTCACATAGGAAAGTCTCTTACATTGTCTAGGCCACCGTAGACTGTCAAGACAACTATCCATGAACATCGGTACATCGTCGGGCTACATGGGTCTCGGAAGATATTATCTTCCGCAAGAATACCGCAGCCTGTTACAGATCGCCATAATCCAACACGAACCTGTGGCTGCCATTGGATCTGGCATCCCAGAGCCATGAATCGCCCAGCCTACTCCATCTCCCTCCGCAAAACGTATAGGACCCCACTGTTTGAACAGGGAGCTACAATTCCTCTGTTTGTGGTTTGTTCAATCCGCCCAACAGTGACTCCATAGTAGGGAGTAGTGATCGGAGTAGCTGGTACTATCCTTGAAAGCTAACTATGTATCAACGGACCTCCACAACACGGGCACGGTCCGTGTGCTTGGGGGCAGACCGGCGCGTAATTAGTAGGCTGAAACAGATCCACCGGTGAATATGCGGGTACTCCGTATGTGTCATAGTCGTATCGTAGGACCGGCCCGGTTCGATCTATATTAGGTTAGTCGATGATATCTACTCCATAGACGATTCATGTTGCGCGACAGGGGGTTTTCCATCTCGACGAGATCTGTTTCACCCCGTTGCGCTCGTTTATCGAGCGGGTTGGATAGGGGATGATCGTCTCGCCAAAGGCCACGGATGATTGTGTGGGACTGTCTGGGGATTGGACTTTGGCGTCCGAGATGATGATCCACATTCGAGACCAACTCGGGCCAAATACCATGATTGTACTGACTAGTAACAATAGGTGTGCGGGCTTGTATGGCTGGTAGTATGTACGGAGTATGTGGGCGTACGAACGATTGATATCAAGGGGTTCCATCAAGGCTTTGAAAGAGGATTGTGCGATTTCATGATTGTTGTCATCAGGGTAGCCATCTTTACCGTACATATCGTCTCGCTTGGTACATACTAGGCATAGGTATACGAACGCCCGATGCAACGCTGATTCAGCCCACGGCCACGGCGCCTCGTCTGACAGAGGCGTAGAGGTGCACGACATAATCGGCGAGTCCGTCGCGGCTGACGAAGGGAAAAAAGGCCCCGAAGAGACCCGGGTAGGAGTTCGAGCAGGGCGAAGGTCATTCATTGGTGGGAGGAGAGATCCACCAGCACTGCGCAGATCAGGCCCCGCCACAGCCAGATGACCGACGGGGCTTGGACGAAGGAGGCCGCTGCAAAAGCCCCAAACAAGAAGCTGTGACGCCATTCCGCAGTGGCATGCGAATGAGTCGTGACGGGGGGGGTCCTGGATAAAAGGGATCTGAGGCTGGGTTAGCACAGTCCGAGAGTCAGCGAATGACCGGTGATGTAAATCATTTCCATGTATTTCTCTGACGTTGTGTTATGATGCGTCGATCACACTTGGATTTGTTTTTTTAAACCCATCCTGATCTCGCAGGGATGGGTTGCATTGATTGACAGGTTGTTATTTTCGTTATTGGAGGGAGGGTTGAACGTGCTGAGAGGCCGCCAACAACGCCTCCGTTACAGTACAGGACCGTACGGTACGTACCATATACCCGAATTCTCCCAACATCAGATGCGCAAGACCAGGCTGTCACGTAACTAGATAGACCCCCTCTATAGTTGGGCTAACCCTGTGGTGAACACAACAGTGGACGATGTGTTAGACATGAACAGCGTCAGTGGTCCTGAAAAATTGGTCCCTGATGACATGGCTGTCTCAACTGAGGCATGCACGACCCCCCTACAGACTGCTGATTCACCGCACCAGAATGATGGACCATGGTCCAATGTCAGTGCCTGTCCTGTCGCACGTTTCCACATCGACCAACGTGCCAATGACTGGGAATCCGGTCTGCATAGAACCCAATGAAAATGTTCTAGAAGGCGAGGTGGCAAGCCAGAGAGCGTCATTTCTCTGGTACTGCCAGTGTGTCCATCTTTAAGGGAATATCGACTTCTCTCTGATGGCAAGGAGGATTTGGAGTGTACCTGCATTGTTCGGTTGGGGTGTACCCAGCAACCGTGTCAACGTTGACCTACATGTCAAGTAAGGAAGACTGGTATGTGCATGACTGTCGATTCATGCGACGGGATCAGTCCGAGATGACGAATATGGATCGGGTCTGGGCTTTCAGAGGGTTGGAGTCAGTTCTTGGTATACACAGACGCCGTAGACCTCCTGGTTAGAAGTTACGTGATGGGATAACCTCGTTCAATGGGAGTAGTAAGTCGAACAAAAGACGTCGTCCAGCCAAGAATGTCAAGTAAAATTCGGTCTGGAAGAGACTGCATCGACCGGCTCGGATGCCCCAGAATTTCGTAAGAGGATCCACCGACTAGGGAAACAGAGTTAAGAGACCAAGACCCCATCCGGTCTGCTCCATTCTCCAGTTTTTGCGTGAACCCTAAGACCTAATGGGGTTCACGATCCGGAGAGTTCAGGCGTGAAGCGCGGTAGCCACGACATCAACCAGCCTTGGGACACAATGGAATCATTCCGCGGCAGACTTGACTTGATTCTTCCGAGTAATCGAATGATCCCCTTGCTTTTGGATACTGGGTGCAAACCAGGTACATACAGTAAGATACTGTCAGGGTTTGGTCAGTCAGGACTCCCGTCGAGAATCGTCGGCCAGGGACCTTCGATCGCATTACCTCACTCTGTCCTCCGTTCCCGAGGCTAGCCCACTGAGCCAAGTGGTTTCTCCAACTTCAAAGGATGTAGTGGATGGGGTAATAATAATAGCCACGTAGAAGAACGGACTGTGGTGGACTAAGAAAGAGTCGGGTCTGATCGGCATGGGACCCTCGGGGTAGCCAAATCACCATTGTGACGGCCTGGTTTATCGCAATAATATGTAGATAGTCTGTACGACACTACAGTGGCTTGTGGCATTGTTGGGAAGATTCTCCTTGAGAAAGTCCGATGACGGAGCACAGGATGGACTCGGTGGCTCTCACTGGGACGACACGCACGAGGGTTACAAGGCTGGCCGCACCACCAACGTAAAACTTAAAAACAAAAGAATCGATAACGATGCCACCCAGAGGGTAGGTTGAGGACGAAAAGAAACAGGATGATGATCTTGGATTTGGCAAAAAACCCTTCAGGCAACCAAAGACGGAGGCTGTACAGACTGTAATGTAATTTTGGTATCATCATCCATGGATACAGGTTAGAATACAGGTACCCTTTTGTGGAGCCGCCACGACGCATTCCAGGAGTTGAGAGTTGAGTGCAAGACAGCCATAAAAATGGACAATATCAGGTGACTGGATACTTTATAGAGTTTTCTCTGGCAGTTTTCAGACCTCAAGTTCTTCTATCGCAATCTATATTCTCTCTATCAACCACTGCTCCAAGTCTGTGGTAGCTTGAGGTGTTCCACTCCAGTTACCTACTAGGTACCAACAGGGTACCATACGTTACTGCATACGATACCGTCCCGTCACGTTTCGACGACCGTCTGGTTCCTTTCACACTTCCCGCCTTTGACCCCCTCCCGCCTTCTGGCTCACCATTTCTTCCCTCCTTTTCCTCCTCTTCTTTTCTTTCTTTCTTTCTTCTTCTTCTTCATCGGGTTCTGCAGTTGGCTCTGCCTTCAGATCGATCGCCTTTTCCCTTTATCTTGGCCGCCACAGCCGGTATTTGGTGTCCTGTCTCACGGCCGGCGCCAAACGGTGCGTAGGCTTTGGCCCCCCTGATCCTCTTCTTCTTTTCAATTGTGTCCTTTTTGGCTTCATTTTCCATGTTCCCTGGGGCGCTGTATTAGTTCCGAAGTGACCACCTCTTCAATCCGCTCCTCCTCCTCCTCCCTGATACTCGTTCTCAATCGAGTTCTCCCTCGCCTTCGATCCTCCGCTTCCAATTGAACAAAGGTTCTCTTACAGTGTGACCTCGGTTGCGATTCGGCCCTTTACAGGTGAAACGGCGTTTCTGTGACTTCGTTGGGTGCATTGGGATATTCGTTCAAGATACCCCTGCTTTGTTGGAGTTTTCCTTGATTCCTGTCGATCCGATCACTTGTGACGGATCGCACATCTATACCTCGGATCCTCGCCTTGACGGCCTTTTCGTTCCTCCCGACAGGTTCTCCTGTTCGGCTGACTTGATATACTTTCAAACTTGCAAAAAACAACCACCCATCCAACCAAAAAAAAAGAAAAAACACCCCCCAAAAAATCTCCCCGAGAGTGTTTGTTCTATAGACACTCTCCCTGCTCATTTTACACTCCGAATTTCGGTCTCTCTCGTCGCGAATCATCGCATGGTTTCTACCCAGTAAACCGCGGCAATGCTTATCGATGGCGAGAAGTGGGCTTGTGAAGCTTGCGTCCGGGGTCACCGGGTCAGCAGCTGTCACCACAGTGGTAAGTCGCATATCTTGTATGACCGCTCCGCGCTCGATGTATTGACTTGGCTCTCCCTATAGACCGCCCTTTGACCCATATCAATAAAAAAGGCCGTCCAGTCTCTCAATGCGCTCACTGTCGCGGCCTACGCAAGTCACGGACAACCCACACCAAGTGCGAGTGTGGTGACAAGAAAAAGAATAGCCACAAGCATGATTCAGATCCCCATGTCTTGGACAAGCGGGATCTCAAGCGTGAGCATGTTGGCGATGGTACCCTGATTCATTGTTTCTGATCTGGATTTTACAGAGGACTCCCGTCCAAGATGTGGCTGCAACTATGGACAGCGCTGTACCTGCGCGCTGAAGAAGGAACCCCACCTAGATCCTGTCCCGGAGACCGGCCTCCCGCCGCCTCCGCATTCAGTTCTATCGGAGCTGCCGAAGAAGCCTCAGTTGACCTCCACGAAGTCGGAAAGCACGCTCACCATCTTCCGCGACGGTCACCATAAGCCCGCGCACAAACACAACGACATGGCGCACAAGTGTGGCTTGCCGTATACCATCCCCCGGTCTCATACCATCCATGCGACCTCCGATACGGCTCGCCGGTCAGTCGATCATCTGCCATTGACCCAAGCGGGCTTGGTTAGCGAAGCGTTCTCCGCGCAGCAACTTCCGGGACAGCCGCCTCTTTACAATCCTCAGCGCCGCGTCAAATCCGAACACGGATCGCCTGACGCTGCCCCGGTTCTGCCTTCGGATGATGTCCCGACAACCGTCCCCCCACTTGATCTGTCCGCCTTCTTCCCTCACGGTCTGCAGTCTATGGATAAGCCCACCGAAAATGCGGTCACACTATCGATGGAAAAGACACCTCTGAATCATGTCATGACCAGTGTGCCACCTCTTGACGTCAATTATTCTTTCCCGACGACCACCGCGTCTCCCGTGAACTGCATGGCAGTCCAAGATCCGTATAACGAGGCTTTCTTCACATCATCGGATGGAGATGTCGCTCTGAATTCCACGGCATTCAGCGCGCCACCAGTCGATTGGTCAAGCTTCCCGCTGTACTCCTCGGACGTTCCGGCTGCGACGAGTACACAGGCGCCTTCGTACGCAAGTTTCGACTACAACGCGATGGGACCTGGGATTGCCGCCCCTTCTTCGTCCGGTGATCTCTCGGAAGTCGAGGAATACGCTCCGTTATCCACGCTGCCGAGTGATCTTCACGACTTGCATAGCGGAAGCGAAGGCTCTGATGTCGATCAGTACCGTATCAGCTCAGCATCGTCGTTCATTGGTCTCCCGCAGGCTCAACTCCTGTCGTCCAATCACCTGGAGTCCATCAACATTGATGACTTCCTCAAGTCCGCCAATGAGTCGACAGCAGCGCTCGAGCACCAGCTTCAGGCCAATGTCGGCATGGATCCCAAGCCTCTGTCTTCGCAGGATGCTTATGCCATGTCGGACGCCCAGGCTTTCAAGTCTATGACGACAGCGACCACGAGTCTCCCGATGACGGCCTCAGCTACGGATCCTGTTTGGCCAACGGCGCTCTTCGATCCCAGCGCGCCTATGGATGAACATAACAACTACTTCGCCTCGCCCTGGACGCAATAACGTCCGGCGCAGGTGGGGTACGTGTTATTCTGGCTATGCGTCTGTTTGCGGCACCTTACCACCACCTCACACCGTCTTCACGACCTTGATGAGAGATGATGATAAATGCCTGATTTATCTTGTTCCATTAGCCAGTCCTAGTGACAATATATTATAGCATTCGATTTACAAAGAATTTGTTGGCTTATGTTCCCAGATGATTCCACGTAAACATTGTATTTTCTAAAATGCATGTAGCCAGACAGGGGATGTCACGAGTACGAGGATGTGTAGCGTGAACAGCCTCGAGCGAGTTGGTTGATGTCACTGTCTGGAGGCTTGTGCGATGTAGCGGTGAGATCGAGACATCTGGCGGTGTAATTGCGTGGCTTGCGTGACCGAGTTTTCGTTAGTCAGAAAACCAACCTTGGTCAAAGAGGTAGAATAAATTACATCCAGGTCAAGACGTCGTCTGTCTCATCCTGGTCCTTGCGACGGACTACAGACACTACCTAGGTAGCCTTGCTGCGTAGGTACGTAACTATGTCTGCATCCCTTCGACATATTCAACCCCCCTGCCTACCTAGGGAGATATTGTAGTCACCTACGGTATCTGAGCAGCAGCAGCATCCGTAACAAACCTGTCTCCTGTACAGCGTACGGTATGGGCAGGACGCATGCACACACACATGCACGGATGCTCTGCATGTATGCGCGTCGGTGCTCCGTTACATATGTACATACCTACCTGCCTGCCTGCCTCTCTTTTCTGGTCGGGAAAGAGTTCCTGCCTGCAAGGGCCTGTGGGCAGCCGCATGAGGGATTTATTTCCTAGATACAGGGCAGCGGCCATGCAAGGGATGCGGACCAAGCTTTGCGGCCAAAGGCTTGTTGCGACTTGGCTTTTGGTCTGTGTTGAGCGATGGGTGCATGCATGCATGAATGCATGTGAGGTGCGACAGGGGGGTGGAATGTTGAGATTTGTTTGTTTTGGGGGGCTCAGGGGTGTCCTTTGTACTGGCGGTGGGTGGTGGAGCACTGGGTCTCACAACGGCCTAGGTCTAGCGAGGTACGGAGAACAAGGTGGGTAGACTGGTCTATCGATGACGTTGCGAACGTATCCTATTGATGTAATGTAGATCATCTGACATGTAAAATGTGATAATACACAGGAACTGGAACCAATGTCAATTCAAAACAGTGCCGCGGGCACAGGTATATGTCTATATTCAAACGTAACGGATGCATCGATCGGCGGTGTGCATATATATTTATTTTGGGTCGTTTCTTTATTTGTACTTGGCCATGAACTCGGAGTGGAACTTGACGATGCGCTCCACCCAGTCGGTTCCAGGGGCCAGGAAGGTCGTACGGAAGTGCAGCGTGTTCTCCTTCTGACCGAAGCCAGAGCCCGGCACGACACAGACACCCGTGGCGTCCAGGAGACGGAGGCAGTAGAACTCGTCAGCGGCGCGGTTCTCGGCCTTGGCGGCCTCGACCGCCTTGGGCGGGAGGGTGATCGTGGGGAAGAGGTACATGGCACCCTATATTAATCATGTTAGTTGGATCGAGCAAGATAAGGCCAACCAACGACGAACGGGAAGGGTACATACCTGAGGCTCCTGGCACTCAACTCCCTCCATCTGACGGAAGGCATCATACAGCGCGAGAGCGCGCTTGTGCAGACCCTGACGAATGCCGTTGTATTCCTTCTGGTAGAGCTCATAGCTGGGCTCACCCTCCTTAGGGGGGTTCACCATGAGCTCGAGCAGACACTGACCGATGACGGGAGGGCACAGGCCAATGCTAACGAGCTTGTAGATCTGCGCCGCAACCTCGGGGTCGAATCCCACCAGCTCGAAGTATCCACCGCGCTGACCGCACTCGCCGACCATACCCTTGGACACACTGTGCAGGGAGGCCAATTCAACGTCGTCGTACTTGCCGGGGAACTCGTCCTGCAGTTGACGCAGGCGCTTCTTGAACGAAGTGAACTCGCCCTCGAAGACGTTGGTCTGGTAGACCTCATCGGCGAGGACGACCAGCTTCTCCTCGGCGGCGAGGTCGATCACGCTCTTGATGTCCGCGGGGCTAAGGGAGGCACCCGTGGGGTTACCCGGGTTGATGACCACAATGGCGCGGACGTCAGTGCCAGCCGAGCGAGCCTGCGACAGCGAGGTGCGAATGGCGTTCACGTCGGTACCCCAGGCCCTCTGTTCCTCGAGGTGGTAGGGGACGCATTGAGCGTTGAGGAGGGCGAGGGTGGCAGTGTACAGGGGGTATTGGGGAATAGGGACGAGCACGCCAGCGTCGGGGCCATCGCAGATGACGCTCAGGAGGGTGTTCACACCGGACGAGGCACCGGCGCACAGGAACAGGTCCTGAGGGTTGGCGGCGTAGCCATCACGCTCCTCGATGAAGTTGGCAACACTCTGGCGGATGACGGGGGCACCCTGGCTGTGACTGTAGGCGCCGACGCTCTGAACGTCGGCCAGAAGAGTCTTTGCGCGGTCGAAAACATCTTGTTGGTACCCGAAGGTTGTGCGGAGGGCGTCGGGGTTCTGCAACAGCTCAGGGTTCTCGAGAAGACTGAGGACTTGACGGAAGAAGGTGATGGGCTTCTGGTCCAGCTGCTGAGGGTTTCCGATGTTGGCGAAGATGACGCTGTCGAAGGGCAGAGACTTGTCTCCCTGGGCGAGTCTCACGCGGTACTGCTCGGCCTTGACGGCCAGCTCACCACGGACGGCATACTTGGCCTCCTTGACCTGAGGGTTGATGTTGTCGATGTGCAGGCAGCGGGGGGCCTTCGCGGAGAGGGAGCGACGAGTGGTGTAGGTGACCGTCATGGAGGATTGTTTGGCGGGGACTATGTTGATCGGAGGAGGGTCAGTGATCTTAGAATGAAAGATCGGAGCCCGAGGGGCAGCGACAGCCGGCACATTTGTACTCCCGTCACAAAATTCACGCAAAGTGGGTAAAGAGGGAGTTGCCCGATGCCATGCGAGGGGGGAAGCGTGGGTGGATTCAGAATAGTGATTTTTATTATTAAGATGGGGGGGCGCAGAGAGCGTCTCTCATCCAATCCACGGCGAACGCGATCTCGATCACCGCGCCCCTCATCCCAAACCAGAATCCGGAGAGACATGGGGGTTGGATGTCCGGAGCCCCAGGAAAACCAGCAAACACATACCTGACGTTGCGGAGAAAGCCCGCGGAGTGGTGTGATGATGGCGGGCGAACCAGGCGCCATGAGCACTATTCGGCCGGGAAACCGCCAGGCGGCCTCGCGCCAACGGAGTTGCCCGTAGGTGGGATGCGAGCTTAACTTGCCAGCCGGACATGACAACGACGAGGAATGTTCTCCACCGTGGGGGTGCGGGGGATGACGGCGTAACGGGACTAGGGAGTCCTGCAAGATGATTTGCACGTCGCGACCCGGTTTGTTTCGAATGATCGAACAGCGCGCAAAGGCCCGAAGAGAATTAGGAAAAAGTTGCTCCGAGGGAGAGAAGCGCGAAAAAAAAAAATATTGTTCCGGGTGGGCGGTGAGATCCGAGGCGGGCCCCGACGGATGACTCATCAGGAACCGGTCTGCTTCCTACGGGACATGTCCGTAGTATCTTTAACACCTGCACGCTGTGGACTATAAAGAACATGAGCTGGTAAGATAGTATAAGATGCAGTCTCACGTCAATCTACAAACCGACAGGACCTGGTCTATACTGCGACAACCCATGTCAATATCAAGGCCAGGCACCAAGCGGAGACCCTGTGTTCCTGATCCAGCCTCGCCACGTGCCCAGCCCGGTCTCTTCCGGCCTTCGGGTACCGGCGGATATCGAATAGACGCAGACCGACTACCCTCCATGATTGACAATGTGAAGTAGATCAGCACGTACGGAGGAGTCTACAATAGCCACAATCCTGCTCAAGTATAGTACGCTCTCGAAATCCATCATGATCGCCCGAACAACCCACTTTATCGACTACAAGACAGCTAAAACGTTGGTGGATCCACCCTTCAATTAATTTAATCGTGATGAACTGGCCTGCCGCAATGCGGAGGCACTAATCACTAGTCACGACGCTACCATTCTTAGGCTGACAGGAAGCCAGGTCACGTTGTCTGTCGTCATTAATGTATGATACAGCAGCCTTGCTTGCTTTTGCTCTAATTTAGCCCCAAGTACCAGAGGAAACAACCCTCTGCAGTTCATACAGCATGGCGACTTCTAGGATCGAAATACATGCCACTCCAGATTTCAGCCCTAGCTCCTCAGCTCCGTTCGCTTCCGCGCAGCCGCACCGCCTGGCCGTACTTCTGAAGCTTCGTGATCAGTGCATCACCATGCTTCACCACATCCGCATACTGCTTGTTCTTGTCATCCGGCCGGTTCGTCTCGATAATCCCATTCACGCGGTCAATCGTGCAAGCAATGCGGTTGCTGGAGATGAACTTGGCCAGGTCACTGTGATTGATCGTCAGCTACCACTGTTCATCTGGATCCCTGCATGTAATTCGCCGTAACTTACCGATCTAAGAAGTCAACAGTCACGCCGAAATCGTTGGCCATGCTGTTAAGTCCGACCACCCGATAACTCTGGAGCAGCTGCTGGTAGGCACGCAGTCTCATCTCACGCACAAACCACGCACGGTGCTCATACAAGTACCGATCCTGGGTCAGGAAGTTGTCTTCCACCGCCGCCAGTGCCACAAAGAAGGAGCGGTAGTTGCCGCTGTACAGACTATCCACCAGGTTGGCCAAGGGAGAGAAATCCACGGGGACTTCGGCATCCGCTTGGATACCGGATCCAGCTCCCAGCGTGGTCAAGTTCACCACCGTAGTAGCGTTCCTGGGGGTAGTCTTCGACGTAGTAGCATCCTTCATCTCCTCGTCCTGGGCACTGGGTCCGGACGAAACCTCCCCGGTCAACGCAGCCAACCGATCCTCAGCAGACCCAAGGATAGCCTTAATCTCCGGAGCATCGACAACCTTTGCCTTGAAATCAACCCGCTTCAAGGACAGCGATCCCGCGAGAACGGAGTAAATCACCAACGCAGAGTAGCTGCAAAGCTCGTAACTCGTAAACGTGGACAAGCTGTCGAGAAGAAGAGGGGCTGCCAGGCTGTAGGAGCGGATAGTGAGCAAGTGCAGTCCCTTATAAGCCTTGAGGCGGTTCCTCCGATCCCAGTCACCACCACTCTCGATGAGCGTGTTTGCACGCTCGATGCTCTTCTTGACATATAGGGTGTCGCCGAAGAAGAGACCAATCCGGATCATAGCCAGGACCAGGTCAATCTTCGTTCCGAGGAACGACGTTTTCTCAAGGAGCGCTTCGTGGGATTCGATGGCTTTGTCCTATTGTGTAGTCCGGTGTCAGCAAGAACCCATATCATCAAAACTTCTGAAAGTTATCAAGCAGAGCAAACCCACCTTATCACCAACACGCGCCCAGAATTCAGCACGCTTCCCCCGAGCAGCCAACACCTCCGTCTCGCCGGCGGCTTCCTCTGCCTCATCTTCCTCCTTCTTGAATCCGTCCAGCTCTTTCTTGTTCTCCTCCACTAGCGACTGGTACAGGGACTCATCCCAGGGAAAGTCAATGTTCTGGGGCGATTTCCGGGATGCAAGCATATTCGAGACGATCAAAGGTTTGGAGCTGCCTTGATGCTGGGGCACACCTTCACCGGAGTGGTTCAGGATGCCTTCAACAGGGTGTGCGAGGTACCGGTAGAACGGAGCCATCTTGTGTTCGGAGATGGCCTCTTGGACCTTCTTCAGCGACGACTGCTGAACCGACGGCGCGCATGACGGATTGGAGAGGTTGAAGACATGCTGAGCGAGGGTGAGGTTCGGGTACTTTATGTACTGCGGATCGGACCCCATGCTGGCGATGGGTACTTTGATATGCGATGCAGGAGCGTCCCAGCAATACAGAGAGGCCCGGTTGAGTTAGATGGGGGGGATTGGCGGCGATAGATGGGAAAGGGTGGTGGATGGGATGATGAATGGAGCGAATGCATCATCTAACTCATCTACGTAGCTGACCTGAGCTCAGCTGGCGCAATGTTGTTCCGTCCCGAAACCACCAACTTGCTGACTCACCTCCATTCTATCAACAACTAGTTACCTTAGGTTAGGTACTTAAAAAGAACTCTTCCTCTTAATGGCCCTAGAATCTGAATTTTCGAGGACGAAGGTTTAGAATTTCCGAGATTCCCATAAGCACAACGAGTGATCTCCATCACTAACGTGCATTGCCTGTCTTTCATACAAATAATGAGTACTCCGGGGCACTTGCCCTAGTCCCGTTAAGTCAGAGAAGCATGGTCGTTCATCACAATTCAAGCTTAAGTCGATTGCTCGAAGATGCATGTCTGTCGCAACATCACTCCCCATCATCTAGCAGTATATTACGACGATTGGCGTAATTTCGGTAAGTCTGGGCTGTCGGACGAGAGATACAAGTACGCTCTACCTGAGCCGCGACGAGAGGCAAGAAAGGCAATGCAGCAAGGCTGGTGAAGGACGCGCCTTTGACAGCGAACAATAAGACCACAAGGCTAGGTAATCCGCCGAGATGCATGCAACCAGCCATATCTCTCGGCACGGGATCATGCGCTGCGTGCCATGAGCAGGCGGCAAAGAGATATCGTACGCGAAGACCAAATCACATAGAGATAAACGGGCAAATATGCGAGTCACGGTAGTAGCCTATCTCAGAAAAACTCATCCCGATCCTGGAACGGCCAGCCTCGTTTGTTCTTTTCCAATTCATCAGCGTTAGCTCCCTCTGAGAAATGGGCCTCGAGCTCGTTCTTTTCCACTGCCAAGTTATACGCTTCTGTGTGGACCTATCCTTCCTCTGACAGGCCCGCTAGCTCATCACGCCAGTGGGCCACGAGCTCATTAAGATTGTACCACATCGGCTCGTCTTCAGCTTGTTTGGTCACTTCCTCCGGTGAAAATTCAATAGGACATGCCTTGTCCCCCGCTGGCTTTCCAGGCACAGATGGCCATGCATTGCACATGTTTATCAGTGCACCTCGTAACGCCATGAGATTCCCCATCCACTGGCGACCAGCGTGTTTCACTAGGTGCTGACGCGTAAGTACCGGTGGATCTGCAAGGGCGCTAAGATGTGTTTTGTTCAGACCTCCATTGAATACGCGGTAGAGATAGAACAAAGGCTGGCGTCGGATAAGTTCATCTGCTTGAGATCCCGCTTCAGGGTCCATGTCATCATATATTTCTGGGTATCTAGGGGGTTTTAAGTCTTCCGGGATAGTGGAATCGGGGTTCTCAAACATCCTCGGATGGCCAGCAGCAAGCAGTGGATGGGTAATGACCGTATGCTGCCAGTCAACAATACTTTTGATCTCGAATGTATCAGGACTTATGAATACGTTTCTCGGTGTGAAATCTATCTTTTATCAGTATAGTGACCACATAGCTCCAATACGACATAGACTACCTGGGTGGTGGATAGTCGGTTTTTTTCAACAGATCGCGGATATCGCGGGAAGAAGAAAAGGTGCAATTCTCTGGTACTTCTTCAGAAAAGCGATGTACTCCTCGAGCGAATCCAAGGAAGAGGGAACGGTATTATATGGGAAATCGCACTCTAAGGGGCGCCCATATATCGCCGTCCGCTTAAGTTCCTTCTGGGCGATGGCGTTCAGGTATTCTTTTGGATCAGTCCCTATACTTTGTTACTGTCAAATGGCAACACTTTGCATGTTGTAGTACACACTTGGTCCTCTGATCAACTCTAGCTCTGCCCGCTTCCCATACCAGAACATGTAATCAGCGATAGGCCCAATACAGTAGACTTCAGAGTCGCCGTCTGTATCCTCAGCGCCCAATGTATAGAGTTGTCTCTGTAGGTGATCTGGGACATCCTGCTTGAAGCACGGGCTGCCAATTGAAGCGAAGGAAATATCGAAGAATTTATTTTCGGTATCGACGATACCCGTAACAAACATTCGCATCCGGGGTTTTGTTATGTCCAACCAACGTGTATCCGCAGAAACTCCGGATGCATGTTCCATAATAATATACTCCGCATCGACTGGGTTATCGGCTGTAGAGCACCAGGTATACACTTCAGGCACCAGAATGCCTTTTTATCGAAGAAACGTGAGGGTGGCCGCTTCACTAGCGGTGGCATACTTCCTAGGGACTGATAACCATTGGTATATGGAATCTTCACAATTGCCTGGAAATCATCCTCCATAGTCTCTAGGAGCACTCGAATGAAGCCACCTTCAGCTAAGCTCCTAATAGATTTAACCTGAGAATTCGCCGGTTTATGTTTCTGAACACCGGTATATACTTTGTAGCGAGGCGCTCTGATTTACGCGGCAGCAGAGGTAAAATTTTATACGACAATTATTTGGATTGTTCGAAAGCTTACAGTAGATGTTTCAGTAGATAGCAGGAGATTCGCACGCGGTTATTGGAACTCAAAACTGTACCTCATAATGTCTTGGGAGGCAAAGAATTCTCAAGTATTTCGATGGGATTCGACTGCGAATTCCTCTATATTCGATCGAGTACCATTCATTAAGACCGGAGGGATGGACCAATGACAAGAGAGCTTGGGGAAAGCTTAGCGTCGGCCTCTAAGGCGGGCCCACTTAGGTAGAAGTATGGTGGACTTGGCGATAAGGGAGTGCGACCTTGGAAAGTGTAACTAACCAACTGCCTAGGTAGAGACAAGGGTTAACTCGACCAGGTGATAATAGTGAGCTCAGCTTGACCCTCATCAGGTGGCCCCTCCAAGAATCCTGCATCTTATCTTTCTCCAAAAAGAAAAAATTTTCCCCTCCTCCGATACTTCTCTTTCCCTCCTTCCAACCCCCTTGAACCCGTTAATTTACCTCCAACCTCTACTCGCCGATCTTTCCCCGTTTACCTACAGGACGCGCATTCACGTTCTGCTGCACCTCTCCTGCACCGCCTTGTATCTCTCACAACAGAAAGAGCGCCCTCTCCACCATGGACGCCAAAGAAGACCCTCAATTAGTATCGGCTGAAACTCCGTCGTCCGAGAAAGTCGCAACTTCTCTGGATGCTGTTCCTGTCGATGTTCCTCCGTTAGACAGTCCTCAGCCCAAAGGCCGCTGGGAGCGTAGCTGGCCTACTATCGCCTGCGGTGCGGGTCTTTTCTCCGATGGTTACCTCAATGGGGTACGTATCAGCTTCAATGTCACCTCGTCAAGTCGAGTCTCAACGTGCGACAAGAATATTTCTGATGCGGTTTCCCTAGGTAATCGGTCAAGTCAACACCATACTCAGCCAGCTCTACCCGGTCACATACAACAACTCACCGGCCAGCCAAAATGTTGCCTCAATCACCTTCGCGGGTACTGTCCTCGGACAGCTGGTCTTTGGCTATACTAGCGATCACTGGTCGCGCAAATGGTCGCTAATGATCTCGACCATCATCCTCATCGTGTTCAGCGCTTTGTGTGCTGGTGCGTACGGTCTCCACGGCAGTCAATATGGTCTTTTTGCCGCCCTCACTGCGTATCGCTTTTTCCTAGGTACGACAACTTACCAAGTAGCTGGTCGTCGCGCTTAAGAACACTGACTGAACTGTCAGGTCTGGGTATCGGTGGAGAATATCCGGCCGGCAGCGTTGCTGCGGCCGAGAATACGGGTGAACTCAAGAAGGGCCATCGAAACCGCTGGTTTATCATGTTCACCAACTTCCAAATCGATTTTGCTTATGTCGTCTCGGCTCTTGTCCCAATGATCTTGGTCCTGATTTTTACCGAACATCATCTTCGTGCCGTGTGGCGCATTGCGCTGGGACTCGGCGTTATTCCACCTCTCAGCTTGTTCTATCTGCGGTTGAAGCTAGAGGAGCCGGAAGAGTACAACCGAGAGCGCATGCATAAATTCCCCATCTGGTTGATTATCAAGTTCTATTGGAAGCGTCTGGTAAGGTTTTCCGGTGGTCCTATCATCATACCTGCAGGATTAACCGACATGCAGACGGTGGTCTCGCTCATCTGGTTCATTTACGATTTCTCGGCATATTCGTTCAACATCTACTCGTCCAAGTGGCTATCCATCATTCTGGGTGACAATGCTCCGCTTTGGAAGTCCTTTGGTTGGACTACTGTGACAAACGCGTTCTACATTCCGGGCTCCTTCCTGGGTGCTCTGGCCAGTGACTGGATAGGTCCTCGCAATACTTTGGCCCTCGGTGTAGGACTCCAGGGGATCGTCGGTTTCATCATGTCCGGCTGCTATGAATATCTTGCAACACCGAAGAACGTCGCTGCCTTTGTTGTCGTGTTCGGGTATGTTGTTCCTTGGGGTCAAACTGTCTGGTTGCTAACTTCCATGCCAACAGAATCTTTTCCGCTTTGGGTGAGTTCGGCCCCGGTGACAATATCGGCCTCTGTGCGGCCAAGTCCAGTGCAACTGCCATTCGAGGTCAGTACTACGGTATTGCTGCAGCAATGGGCAAGATCGGCGCTTTTGTCGGTACCTATGTGATTCCCATTGTCCAGAACAACGCTCCCAACAAGGTTCGCGCTGGGCAAGACCCCTTCTTCGTTTCAAGCTCCCTCTGCATCTTTAGCGCAGCGTTGGCGTATTTCCTTTTGCCCAAGATTGGACAGGTACGTTGATGACCCCGTCATCCTTCACAGTTGGTCAAGGGCTTTGCTGATAACCAGGTTATAGGATACGATTACGGAGGAGGATGCGAAGTTCCGCGCGTACCTCGAAGCCAACGGTTACGACACCTCTACTATGGGTAACCCGGAGTCTGAGTAGTCGATTTTGCGACCGAGCCCGCATATCGCAGGTCCCTATTACCGCATGCCTTCTCCAAAGTGATTGCCCGCCCGAGACCAGCCCGCGCAGCATCGACCCTTTGCAGCAATTTCCTCCCTTCCGGTAAAAAAGAAAATCACTATCGGCCCTCGCGACAAAGCAGTGCGATTAGTAGACGACGGTGTGAGAGATGATACCGATGGCAGCAACCCGACAAGTCGTTCCCACTCCCGCAGCAGTTCGTATGCAGAGACAACGTCCCCAAGCAGCCCCACGATTTGACAGCCCCGAAGCGAGATGATAGGTAGAGGTACCGGTAGTTTCTGTTTGGCCTGATGTTATTGACGTATATGAATGATGAATGTCATGCCCGCGATATGTGGTGGCTAGATGTTATGTGTTACTTTTTTCTCCTCATATAAACGATAATAAGATACTGATGTATTCCAACCGGGTAATCATGACGTCTGGAGAAAAGGATCCTGGATTAAAAACTACTAAGGTAGGTACAGACGACTGTTGCTGGTCACGTCACATGATACTCCCCCATGCATTTATCAGAGAACGGCAGGGGCGACCGGGGGAATTTCCCGGATGGGGACCTCCACAACTCCTCCCATCAGCCGAGGTTCCGACTCGACTCCACCCGCTCCATCACCGGCCATCGAGAATTGCCGACCCTCGTCCTCCTTTCTACTGTTATTTAGCTCTACTCACTTCACTCCACTCCGCCGTCTTTTTCTACCTAACCCTTGTGCTTTCCCCCCTCGTGGTAGAATTATCGCTTCAACTACCTATATCAGCTGGTCTGTTATCTCTTCCGCTGCTCTGTCCTGTTCCTATTGTGCCAACCGGAACCCAACTTCCGACCGACCTCGCCTGAAATATCATCCTCATACCCAGTTCCGGGGATCATACAACTCTGTGAAAATGGTTGCGGACGCTCTGCTCTACCACCCTGCCCTGGCGCACTACCTGCGCTTTGTCGCAACGACTGGTAGGTTCTCCTGACCCCGTTTGTGCTGAGGGGTGGGCATGTCGCGGGGAAGTGAAACCGATGTAGACGTGGAAATTCCCCTCTTTATCGGCTCGATTTGTTCCATGGGCTTCCTCTCGATGACCGAAGATTATACAACGATAAAACTGCATAAGGCGAGCCATTCTCTGACGAAATCTCTCAGTCGGTCGGGATAAACTCCTCCGTACCCTGCAGTACTTCTCTCGCTTCTACGCCTGGTACCTGTACCGCACCAACCGTCCCCAGTCATCCATCGAACCCTTCAACGCCATCAAGAAGCAATTTGGCACGACGCGAAAGATCCTGCGTATCGGAAAGTTCATCGAGCATCTCAAGGCGGCCGCCCTGGCCGCCGACAACAAGAGCCCCATCGACCCTGTCCTGCGTTATCTCGCCGTTGGCCGCCAGCTCGGTTACGCCGGTTACCTAACCCTCGACACCATCACCGTCGTTGACGCCATCGGTGTCCGCAAGCTCGCCTCCGCCAAGCGGCTGCAGGAACACGCCTACCGCGCCTGGATGTCCGGACTGGTCTGCAGCGCCATCGCGGGTGTCTACACTATTTGGAGACTCCAGGAGAAGGAGAAGACTATTGACCGCAAGGAGGGTGAGGGTGTTGTTGAGGCAAAGAAGCTCGAGAAGTATGTCCTCTGGTGCGGTTCATTGATCGATTTCCGTGCATGTTACTGACTCTGTGTTATTTCCAGGGAGCGTGCGGCTGCTCGCATTCAGCTCATCTCCGATATGTGCGACTTGACTGTCCCTCTGTCTGCCCTTGGTGTGTCCGCTCTCGACGATGGTCTCGTCGGTATCGCCGGTACGGTCAGCAGTTTGATCGGTGTCTGGTCCCAGTGGCGCAAGACGGCCTAAGCGGACTAGTTAGGGGGAACCGTGGCTATTTCGAGAAGACTATGGGCGGTACAACTGCCAGAGAGACAGTTTGCCCAAGAGGCCATGAAGATGCAGTTATGGGATGACATTTAGTTTGCGTCTGCAGTTGACAGCTCAATAGCAATCGGCGGTTTTTACTGCGTTTCTATGCACATATGTATCTTAGATATCTATTACCTTTGTTTTCTCTTGTCTAATTGACGAAGTTTTTTTCTTCTCTAGAGTCTACATGTGTTTGTTCTTGATTATCTAAAGTGGGACTAACATGTGAATGCAGTTGCACTGTTTCACATGCAAATTTCTGAGACTGTCTATCAAGCAATCAGGAGTTAATAACCTTTTTTGAAAACATGTCCCTTGGAGAAAGAATTGGTTGTCGGTATAAATGAAGGCAATTGATGTCAGTCCAGTATAATTGTTCTTGTTTAGTTGCTCTTGATGAACATAAAGGACCGATACATAATAAGTTTGATATAGATATCAGACCATGGACATTAATACTTGGGTCTAGGATATCAGGCCAATACCAGTATGATTGTCAGGGTCCATGAATTGACCAAGCTATGTTCATTTTGGCCATGCCCGTTGTTGGCATTAGACCTTCCGACAGCTCGTGATTTATGTTTGTCTGACTGTGACATTACAATAGAAGAACTACGGTAATCACAACCACCCAAAAAGCGGTGGAGAGATACACCACCCTGGCAAGGCCCTGGTCTTACCTTGAAGGATGGTTTTCGCCCAAAGTAAAAGCATAGCAAGCAGAGGTGAACCCGACCTGCCCACGATAGCCGGAGAGCGTGCTACCTGCGGCCACGCACATTCCCGCTCCGCACAGCTATAGGAAAACATGTAGACGAAGCACCGAGCGTGGACAAAGGTGATCGAGATAGCAAAATTCACCCACTGGGGAGGGCACTCAGACAAAGCAGGTGAAGGGCATTTGTGGAAAGCAGCAATATACATGCAACTGTGAGGCAGCTATACAGGCATTCCCACGCCGGAGGTGGGGAAAGAGGTAGAGGATACAGCAATCGTATCACTGAGTTCTTACGGGTTCTTCTTATCTCTGAGGTAGCGCCACCCACTAAGTCTAGGAAAGTTGCATGGAAAAGCCAGATAGATACGGGACGGATATGGATATCGTGCTTGTCGTTAGTATGGTCTTATGGACAGGGCGGCAAGGCAGGGCAAAGACATGAAACCTTCATTTCCAGCACCTTACCCGGAGGCGAACCCAGCGAATGAACCGGGTCATCGATGTTGGATGGCTTAGACTCACGCATGTCCGCCTTGTAATGAGCCTGCCATGTGGCTACATTATGTGCCTGGTCAGCATGGATCCCATGTCCAAACCCCGCGGAGGTTACTGTCTTTAGTAGGACTGGCGCCACTGGCGTACGTCGTGGTGAGCCGCATTTTATGGGCCAAACCAGTTGTCAAGAAACCCACAGCCTGGCCATTAGCACACCAGCCTCTGGCGTGCTCCTGCTCAGCCCTCTAAGATGTCTATCATGACATGTATAGATTGGCTGTTGATGCAAGTACTAAGGCGCCTTGGTTAGATGCGGCGATGGAGATAAAGCGGGGTATTCTTTGCTTTTTCTTAGCCTTTACACGTAGACAGTCGGTTGGACATTTGGTTTTGTCCACAAGCGGACCCCTAAAGTTTGCTGTCAATCAGCCTCGATAGCCAGTCGAGGAAAGCGGGTTAGACCACCAATGTTGAACGAGGCAGAGAGTTGGGGCTCAGCAGCGGCAGTTCAGCCGAAATATTTAAGTAGAGGGGTCGAAGCTAGTAGCTTCCTCTTTGACTCTACTATTTGGCTATCGTACATCTTGGTGGACTGACACACGCGGCTAAAATCGAACGTTTCTTTGTATTCCAACGATCTGCAGCGACGCTCATGCCTCTTTGATCTAACCATCTTAAAGATCGCGCATATGCAAGCTGGGGGAGAATGGCGGAAGCTCTCGGAGTGGTCGGCCTTGCCTACCCTATTGTTAAGGACCTCCTCAAGGTTGCGAAGAAGTTAAGGAGACTGCATAAGCAGATCCGCAATGCAAAAAACGAACTATCCAATGTGATCGAAAGAACTATAACAGTCGCCCGAACATACGACCTTTTCAGGGAAACAATGGCAGTTGCGAGGGGAATTCAAGGGCTAGCACCCCTGTTCAAGCGACATCAACAGCTCATCAAAAGTATTGATAACGAATCAAAGCGAACTATTGAAAGCCTGAGGCATATTACCCGCAGGCTTCGCTCTCTCAGACGCGGTAAACCTATCAGTACGGTCGAAAGATTGATCGCACAGTTTGAGTGGACTAGAGAGAGCAAGAAGACCGTCCCCTCACTGTTCCAGAATATGGAGGTGCTAGAGAGGTCTATGAGAACAACCGCGACCTTGGTGAACATTCAGCTGCTTTCTCAAACCTACCAACAGGATCCATCGGATGCGGTCCTGGCACAATTGTACATTACAATCACTCCCCCAATTGACAGATGATGTGGATCTCTATACTGACTATTGGTCGGCAGCGAATTGTCTAGAAAAATGCTGCGTATCGAATTCGACAAGCTTCAGCACGCTCAGCAGGTCCAAAAGAGGCTTATGATGCAGCAACAGATCTCACCAAGTCAACATGTCAAGGCCGAGGAGTTTGCCCAAGAAATAATTACGATTCTGAAGAGAGAGATTCCTCAACTGAAAAATCACCAGCCCGCTGGGAGCCAGTCCACATCTGATTCCCGGTCGCCACCAACCTCACACATATCAGACGAGCCTTCGCCCATTACGACGCCCTCTCTCTCTCTCCCTAGCCGTTCTGAGAGCCAGTCTGTCATCAAGCCAGAGCAGGATGGCGATGTCCCAGGGCCCAAGAGGCAGATTTCGCGGAAAAGGAGAACGCGGTCAGCGCCTTCGGTAAGTACAATAGATCTACCTGAAAAAAAAACACTTCCCGGGTGTATAATAATAATACGAGTAGCGGATTCCGTCAGAATCGTCGCCCCCTTTCCCGTTTTCAAGTGACGCAGAACACAACAACCATGATAGCCAAGGCGCTGGACTAGATATGCACGATCAAAACTTAGGTGAAGATCAAGGAGGCGCATATATGCGGATGCCCCCTTTTGGATCACCAAGACTGGTCCCTCTCACGTCTGTTAGACGACCCTCGCCTGATCGTCCAGATGCATCCAGCGATACATCCAATCAGCAACGAAAAAGGCATGGTGGTGGCTCTCATCCAACTCGAAGACGGCGGAACACCAGTAAGATATCTGAATATGGAGATGGAGGTGAGGTAACTGCTACGCATAGGACGGGCAGTGTTGGTCTACCATCAGGGAGCTGGAAAGGAAAATCAAGGCCGGATCAGTAAATAAATACGAAGCCACGAGATACATCTACTAATACATACCCAAATATATGCTGCATCTTCTCACTTTTAATATAAGCCATCTCAGCTGTTAATACCGTGGTAAATTCTCGTGAATTCGTGATTTTGCTAGTAGGCAGCTATGCCTCTATCTGTTACCCAGCTGGGTACTAGGGATCTACTGCACTACCTGCTCCAGGCCTGGGTCGGGTGGGTTCTGCCAGTGTATGCACTTCTAGGGGTGAAATCCTTATGTAAGTATCAGCGACGTGGTCCTATATCTCGAGAAGGGATAAGGTTTCCAGTAAGGACAAGGGCGACGAATGATATCTTTGTCTATTGACCAGGTTATTTCGCGATGGCTTGAATTGTTTGTCTTTATGGTGCTGAATGTTTAAACTAGATTCTGGAAAGGGACTGGAAAGGGACGTACGGGCTGAGCTTGGCCGATCTGTTCCGTATGGAGCAAAGCGAGATATTTTTAGAGGAAGTACCTCCCTGCCATTTACTTCTATCATAGAGGGAAGTATGATGAAGGGTCCTAGGTTACGTGAAACATGAGCTCATTTCCTGAATGTCTTATACTTTTGATGGATGTGCTGCAGGTTTCTTCTCTGACTTAGTGATCTACAAGGAAGCTTCATTTACTATTGGTTGATTGATTCTATCTCAATACGTAGATACCAGCGGTATCATGACTAGCCCCTTGTTGTTACAAGTAGCACAACTGAACTAAGAATAGGTCTATGGTGGCTGAAAAAGAGAGTCCAACTTTGGAATCTCACTATCAGCGACACGTCATTGGATCCATCATGAATTGTGACAGGACAGATAACCCTTTATCCCTGTCTTGCATGTTTGGTTCCCCGTCAACACAACGCGGCCCGCATGTTGGATCTTCCGTAGATCAGGGGTCCTCTAAACTCAACTGTCCCTAGACGACTAAGACACGGGTGCCATAGCTCCGACCCCATCAACATACAAAAAGCAACATCGACATCACCGGCCCATCAGGCGCCACCGATCAAGAATGCTCATGACCTCGCGAACCGTCGATCAATGCCGCAGGACGGAGCCAAGCTTTGGAGCTACGACAATGGTTTCGGCAGGGGCGCATATAGTTCTCCACCACGGTATGCACTGCATGTCTGCTGAAAGCTAGGACAGGGAGACGGAGCAAACAAAGGGATGTCCCACCTCAGTCTGCCGCCGCTGGGTATCCTGGTGCAGTCCATTCTTCGCCACGAAGTCTGGTCAAATGACGACTTTTATTCTTGCCCCCCTCGCTCGTGGAAAGAGGACAACCCCCTCAATGCCAACGACGCCAAGCTCGATTGTCTCACTGCCCGCTCTCTGGTGGCTCTTGATTACCCTCTGCCCTTTCTGGGTGCCTGGATAACGTGGTGTATCCGCTGGTTGCGAGGGCACAATGTTGCATCCGATTCTTGATCTCAGCAGTTTCAATGTTGTCATCGCTGTGTTAGGTATGGGGGCTATCTGATTGACGCAGGCATCTGGAGACTGACTGGCTGACCCCCTTAAGGTCTCTTCGTCCTCATCTTTGGCTACATATCGCTGCAGCTCAAGCAACGATGGTATGTCGGTGAAGCATGTATGGCTTTGAAAATCCCCGTCTACTGGATTGACACTGATCTGTTGAAGTACCTGCCTTCCTTGTTGGCATCGCGTTTGGGCCCATTGGTACCAACTTCTTAAACATCGCTGAGTGGGGTGGAGATGACGATGACACGGGCAGTGAGATAGCTTATGTATGCTTCTGTCGATGCATATCGGGAAACTGGACTGACGTATCCAGGACTTGGTCCGTCTGGTCATTGGCATCCAGCTTGTAAAGGTTGGATATCAACTACCAAAGCGATACCTGAAGCAGCGTTTTGTCGAACTGATAATCTGTCTACTCCCACTCATGGCGATTCAATGGCTGATAACATCTGCCTGTATCAAGCTCATGATCCCGCGCGTCTCCTTTGTGAGTCCCTTCTACTTCTTCTTCCTCTTCTCGGAGAACCGACAAACAATCTAACAGGCAGTCCCGTACCAGCTCGCAGCAATGATCATAGGCGCATGCGTCACCTGCACAGATCCAATCCTCTCTCAGGCCATTGCGAAGGGCCCCTTTTCCGACAACTATGTTCGACGACCACTCCGTGAATTTATCTCCGCTGAAGCTGGTGGAAACGACGGCTTTGCGTTCCCATTTCTGCTGTTGGCCGTTGCGATCCTGCGGTATGCCGAAGCACCGGAAAACACTAGAAGTTTAGCCGACTTCGATCGAGCCAGGGATGTCCCCGACTTTATCGGCGCTCCGGACGTGGGACGTCTGGGAGGAGGGGCTGGTCGGGCGTTGAAACATTGGGTGGTCGAGGGCGTTCTATATATGATCGTGCTGGGCGCTGCGTATGGTGCGACGGTGGGGTTTATCTGTCGCAAGTTCTTAGGAGTGGCATTGCGCAGGTATGTTTTGGACTGATCGCTGCGGGTTGCCCTATACTGATGGCTTGCAAGGAAATGGATCGACAACGAGAGCTTTACACTGATACCTCTGGCTATTGGGGTACGTCTGGCTGGCACATGAATCATAGAATGACCACTGACGGTTCCACCGCAGCTGTTTATCGTCGGTACATGTTGTTCCTTCGGCTCTGACGAAACGCTGGCCTGTTTCGTGGCCGGGAATATCTTAAACTGGGACGGTGTGTACCACTCCGAGATCCAAGTCCGCCACGACACCTTCAACACCTCGATCGAGACGCTCCTGAACTTCTGCGCATTCATGTACCTCGGTGCGATCATCCCGTGGGACCAGTTCCACGCGCCTGCTCTGAACGGGATCACGATCGCGCGCCTTTTCGGACTGGGGTTCTTGGTTCTGGCTCTTCGCCGCATCCCGGCTATCCTGATGGGGTATCGCTTTATGCCGAAAGTCTGCAGCACGTGGAAAGAGGCGTTGTTTATGGGCTACTTCGGGCCTATTGGCATCGGCGCGATTGCGTATGTCGAATATGCTCGCCGGCTGTTCCCCGACTTTGGGAGCAGCGATGAGGAGATCGATACCCTTACGGCGGCGATGGTGCCGGTTGTCTACTGGCTGGTCCTATTCTCCGTCATAATACATGGTCTGTCCGTTCCGCTGCTCAACTCGCTCTACAAGGCGTTTGGCGTGCCGCGGGTCTACGACCACCCGGTTGAGGTGTTGCTGCTGTCTGAGAACGAGCCGGCCCCCAACAACAGCACCGTGAATCGCCAGCGACATTCTGTCATGGTCAACAACCGGTTCTCGCGGTCCCCGGAGAGCGAAGACGAGGGAGAGGGCGAGCAAACACGAGAGGAGGATCAGGTCCAGATCCTGAGGACAAGCGAGGAGAGACGCTCTGTCGACAGGACCGTGACACTGGAGTCTTTGGACCCGAAGACGGACCGCACCGTGGACACGCGAGACTTGGTATAGTCGTTACTCTAGCTACGTATGGTCTACGAAGCACGACAAAACTCATCAAAGGCTTATTTGATTCATTCACTCGTTCATCATTGTCAACGCCGTCCAGCACATTCCCTTATCCGTCCACCCTCCTCATGACCATCGGTCTCCCACGGTCCCAGTAGGCGGATTAGTTGGGGCAAGTCTATGAGCTGTCAGCGTGCTGTCCCTGCAGAGCATGCCGGCTACAGGGTACTCACGGCGCCACAGGAGCCGCAGCTTTTGTTATCTCCCTGGATTTGGGAGCCACACTTGGGGCAACTGGGGTGACCGGACATGGCGAAGATGCGAGATTGAAAATGATACCTAGGGCCGTTAGCGATACTTCTGACGAGCGGCGGGGACCTCCTCTCACCGGAACTTTCGAGCAGGATGAAGAACTTGAGGATCTGGAGGATCTGTCAAGAGTTGGAAGGATGATAAGCCGGAAAGGATGGCAGATGATTTGTGTCGGTGGTTTTATTTACCCCGCCCTAGAGTGATCAGCCCCGCTCTGTTGCACATGCACCATTGGCTGCCTTGTCAGTATATCTTGTATACCTCGAAGCAACTACCTGAAGGAGTTGAGACGTGAGCTCCTTGAGATAGTAATTGCTTCAGGATGTGATGAGGATGTTAGATTGTTGCTATGCTGGTCCATAGGGGGGTTCGCATGGTTGATGATATATCTTCGGAGTGGCGCAATAGATGACCATAGAGATTGGGGCATAACGGCCTCATTCTAAACAACAACTCATATCCAACTCTTGCTCCGCAGAAAATTGCCTTAGAAGCATCAAACTGGCTATGATCTACTTCTTCAGCACAGGGTATCCTATGGACCAGTCAGGAAGACACGGTAGATACGTATGTTCGTCAGACACGCCTGCTTGAATTCAATCACTTGACTTGAATCTTTACAGCTAAACAACCAGCACATACGACCATAGGGTGTGGAAAACAGGGCTTCCCGTCCGCTCAGCCGTACTTAAGCCACACGCCGGCCGGTTAGTAGTTGGGTGGGTGACCACCAGCGAATCCCGGCTGTTGTATGTTTTTTGTTTCTTTTATTTGTAGGTGTCCATGCGTAATTTGTAGAGAGTAACATTGAGCTGCATGTTGAATTGCTGCTACCACTAAATCACAAGTAACATCAGGAGAGTTGAGCCCTTGGATAAAACAAGATAGCTTTCATGAGCAGACATCTGTCTCCGTTGTCAGATGTTTGGATTAACGGACGATAAAGGATTAACTCACTACGTCTAATCACTGAAGATAGCCCCAAGCTGATCAATATCCGCGTCTGCCCTTCCATAGAAGCCATATAGCTTTCTACCATGAGCAGGCTGAACCTGTTTGTCACCGCCGGTTCCTCCAGCCTCGAAGTGATCCCTCTCGTCCTGAGTCACCAATCTTAGTGAATCAACACGTGCGGTTGATGCGTATATATCCATCCATTCAAGAGGATCATCTCCGCCCCGTTCGAAGTCAAAGCTGGTATGCAGTATTCTCTCCTCTTCATCTGGAGGGCAAGTCCCGACAGCGTCTGAATATTCACCCCCAGCCCATCTGACTTGGAGGCCCTTCAGGACAGTAAACTTGTCAACATCAGAACCATGGCCTGCGCCGTACCATACATCCAGTTGTTCTATCGGTTTATCACGGCGGAGCTCGAATGGAGTGCCACCTTGACCTCCAGCTGCACGGCCCTTCTTAACCATAATGTAAAGTAAGGTTGGAATAAGAGTTTTCTGGATGTATATATCCAAAATAAAGCCTGATGTTTGCTTGTTTCTTGTAAATATAGGATCTCTTCCAGCGGAGGCAGGGTTTCTAGTCATATTTATACCCTCAGGCGTTCCCGCACCAACGGGAGCAGCTTAGTACTCGGCCGCCTTTGCTTTTCCAGTTCTTTGCATATGTTGCGTTGTTTCGTCATATTTTCTGTATTCTGTCTCATGATTCATCAAAGAGCTTGGACGAAGATGCATTCAGTAATGTTACACGAACCACAACCATCAACCATCAACATATTAAGATGGTTACGTGAAAATGCATCATTGCATCTGCATATATTATGTTCTAGGCCAATCCATTGTATCTAATTGGCACAGTTGGATACTGTCTTTTCCATTTCTCGAAGCTTATAGAACCAACTGCTCCCAAAACTTCGAGAATAAGTCCCAGCCAAAGTGTTGCATATAAGGCAATTCCGTACCAAAATTGTCTATGCTCCAGCCTCTAATGATGCAACGTAATGCCTACCGCAACTGGGAACTAATCCCGCCTGTCTGCAAGTTCAGTTTTGCTTAGATCCGCACCGGCTGCCGTAGGTAGTGCCATGGTTCCATCTGCAGAGCAGTCTACGTCAATGAATTGTAAATTAGCTAAAGTTTATTCATAGTAAGGCTTTACCATGATGTTCTTTATTCGAATACAATGGATATGTCTGGAACCTACGCAAGCAACGGTTGTCCTTTTCCATAAAGTCCTATCCGTTTGTACCTCCGCCGAACATTCTAGTACTAGTAGAGTGACTTATACTCAGCGATCAAGTTGCTCATCCGCCCTCTAGTAGCAGACTGTACTGTGGTTAAGTCCTGTGGCAGCGAGAAATAACATTCTCTACTTAATTATTATAAATGACCATACTTATCACGTACAGATGAAAACGCTGTAAATAACTGTTGTATTTTCCAGCGTCTACAAAAGGCTTGGTCCGAGTGATTAGAGTCTATGTATTCAAAAGAAATTGCTCCTATTATTTGAAGCCTTGAGGGGATCGATATAATCTATATACACAAACACATATGTTACGCAATCTGAGGGTAAGGCATCTCGCTATATATAATGACGAAAAGGCCAAGGTCATGCTTGAGTTGAGTCTGTCTCTGTCCTTGATGACTTCATCTGCATTGCACTAGACGGTACCGCGGATGTAAGTATCAATGAGGGTAACGGGAACAACGTCAAACCCCTTCCCCCCACCTCCCCACGTTCAAGTATATAGGCAAATGGAAGGACAGAGAGGGCTATGACCAAGGAAATGTCAGGCTCTGAGACGTCGATGGGGATGGTAGAGGTGATTACTGTGTGGCAGCCGAGAACAGCGACATCAGCTGCTGGCGAAACGGATGAATTGGTAAGCGACAGAAGGTCATTTTTGGTGGCACTGTTAGATTGACTATTGCTTAGATGATACGCCCAAATACTGACAGGTGCTTGGGAAGAGGTTAGGAAGGAGTCTTTTTAGACTTAGAAACCGCTAATGCCCAGTCCACAGGTGTCAGCAGCCGGATTAAGGTATTTCCCTGGCTTTTATTCCCCTCCATTCACCCCGTTGCTTTATCTCCACCTTCATCGAGACAGCTCGCTGGCTAGGTAGATACTCTCGGCCTACATACGGCTCACAGGAGCTGGGAGTGACAGTAGCTGTAAGAAGGTAAACCACCTGTCTTTTTGTCTAGTATCTTGCTACGGTTCGAGGGAGAGGGTCGATTACTAGGAATATTAATGTTGTCTATTCTGTTTATTCGTAGCCTCCATACTGCATCAATCTAGATAGACCAGTGTCCGATCACGTGGGTGAACTTGTCCATATCGAGAACGCATCTAACCGACACGTGGTTAAGCTCGGGTGATCCTCGTTATCGCGCTACTGAACCAACCCGACGATACGGTAAGTGGCAGGATGTCATTGGAAGACGTTATCTGGCGGTCAGAAGCATCAAATTGAGATAGCGGGAGTACCTGAGAATAGATGAATCGGAAGTGAAGACTCGGGACAGAAAGGGGGTTCCACATCTTTTGATCGGGACAGTCTAGACGTTCTCTGCAAGAAGACCCGTCTAATAGGGGTATGGCTTCCGGACTGGTGCTTTATTTAGACGAGTGGCAGCCTGCATCTAGACCCCCCCCCCCCCCCCCCACCTCCCCCCTGAGACAATGCGGCATTTTTCATTTCAGGGATGACTGGTTTCATGGAAGAATGTTATCATCTGTCATATTTGATTTTCACGATGCTTCCTAAATCTTCCGGATTGGGAACCTGGAGTATCCACATGCCTGCCCGACCATAGTGCACTAACACCTGTGAATGACGACAGAGCCTGCTCTGCCCGATGTGTGGATCGGACCGAAACGAACTGAATTTTCGTTGCTGATACGAGTTCCGAGTGTATACGAACTACATCGATCTTTGAGCTGGGATGGTTCTCCCATTATTATTATTTGGAACTCTCTCAGCACCGACGCCTGCCGAGGAGGATGCTCAGCTGGCAGTCCTGCTCCCTCATTCCCGACCGGGAATAGTGAAGAGTTAGGGTCCGGGGAAAAGGCCCGCGTGGCCCAGGCGCCTCCTCGGATGCGGGGTACAGACGGGAGGAAGATAATGATAGCTAGTAGGAGATAGGTGGTAGCCACGGATAGAGTGCCATTGGATGCTCTGTTGAATACATGCTATACGGAGTATGGAAGGAAGTCGGTATATCGTGGCTGGTATTGTTCTTGGCCCAGCAGCTATCCCATATCAGTTGACCTGGCCGGGAGAAAGACGCACCTGACCTGGCCATGCCGTCAGGGATGCCGGGGGATCCTGGCCAGCGTCGGAAGTGGCTGGTTGATCGTGCAGACGTACGCCCGAGTTATCCCCAGAACACTACTCCGGATATACATACCAGGAGTCGAGTGCTTTTAGCAGACGGCTCGACGGAGGCCTCCGCACGGCAAAGACTTTTGTACACAGGACGGATGGCAGTGGCGATAGTTCACCGTCACAAGGGTCTCGGCCCTCCGTCTCGAACGGTTACGTTTGAGACCGCGCCCGATCCAAGGTGCAATTCGTTGTTCGAACCCCCCTATTCGCGAAAACGACGGCAATATGTTCTGCCCACGGCTCGTGACGTTCGATTGTAAATCGGGGCCGTGATTGGCCGACGGACGGCTGGGCCCGGGAGACGATGACTAAGGAGTTACCCGAACGGGGATAGTGTGGTCGAAAAGACACCCGAAAGTCGCAACCGGATTTCGTCATGCTTTTCTTTTTCTTCGGATGGCTGTTTGCGGAGGGAGAGACATCTCTTTCCATTGAGATATTGTTAAAATACTATAGTATCGATAAACACAGAATCCAAATCAAATACAATACAACCGCACGTACTGAAGAAGTGGATATCTATCCATAGTACGAAGTATGTACTTGGATCGAACATCCCGAGGTCCATGTGGTCTCTCAACCGGGTATAGTCTCTAGCCGAGAACCATCGTTGCCCTCCCCGCAATTTGAGCCTTGTTCTTGTCCCCCTCCGCCACAAGCCTTTTCACTCTGAGATCATTCGACGTCATCACAACTCCGGATCTTCCATTTGTCCGTCACTTGGAGGCGAAAATCTGGAGGAGAGAAGCTCTCTGAATAGCGAAGCAAACGTAAAAAATAGACTTTCCTGTAGAACTGGCCACCGGAAGGAGAGGGATAAATAGCCAACGAATGTTTGCGGGAAGAAACAGACGAGTGAATTGGCAGAATCGGCATTCCATTGAAGCCTCCCCAAAAAAAAGCCATCGTAAAATAAAAACCCGCGCTGACGAGTCCGACTGACTCCTGCACGATCTTCCTTTCACCTGCATTTGACTCACGGGCCAACCAGCTACTGCATGAGCCATTTCTTTTCCTCCCTGTCTCTCTGTTATCATCCAGCAACCATTTTCCTCCTCCCGATCTTCTCTTGTTCTCGTCGCTAGTTGGTGCGCACCGCCTCGTTCTTCCGGAACCACTTCGTGCCCACATCTGGGGTTCGGGACTTTTCGGATATCCACGCCTTGCATTCGCCTCAATCTACGGCAACCACCGCCGCCTCGACTCGGTCCTCAGCCCCGACATCTTCCGCGCAACTGTGGAGAAACAAACTTCGCATACCAGGTCGAACAGTATCATGGCCCCTGCTGAAAACATTAATATACCCCCTGGTGCCCCCTCCGAACCAGGTCCTCTCTACTCAGACTTCTTCCAACAGCAAGTCGCAAAGCAAAGGAACAACAACTATCATTCGACGTCGCTAAGAAACATGGTTGCTACTTCGGTGAATCGTACTGCTCTGCACCCTGGTGGTGTCCAGTATGTCTTCCTTTCCTTCCTCTCTACTGTCTCCTCTCCTTCGCTGGGTTCCTGTTCCGCTTCATGTTCTTCCATGTCACCGTCGCAGGACCCTCCACCCTACACTCAACCGCCCTGAAGACCTCAAGCTAACACCAGACAGGCCCGGTAAGGGACACACCGAGCTGGAAGAGGAGCTTCACGAGCATGCCCACATTGACTACGAGCGTGTCGCTATCGTATGTTCTCCCTCCTAGTCGCGGTTGACTGAGTCGCTAACTAATCCCAACAGATTGCCAACCCCTCTGTCCCCGCTCTCTACGAAGATGCTCTCGTCTACGAGACCGGTACCGCCATCACATCCAGCGGTGCTCTGACGGCCTACTCTGGTGCCAAGACTGGTCGCTCTCCCTCTGACAAGCGTATCGTCAAGGAGGAGTCTTCCGAGAAGGATGTCTGGTGGGGACCCGTCAACAAGCCCATGACCCCTGATGTAAGTGTGATCCGCTTTATTGCCTGCCTTGAGTTATGCATGTGCGATATATCGCGCATCCCCCTTGCATCGAGATCGTCTGTCAATCCTTGCGTCAAGAAGAAACCAAGCTTTTCCAGTGTGGATCACAAGCGGGTAAACGGAATCAATAATGCTGCGGAATATCCCTCATACTCGCTGTCTTGAGGGATTTTTGCCTCTGGCGCTGTCTACCTGCTGTGGAACATGTCTAAAGCTGGCTTGTGTTACGTGTGTTGCTGCTGCTGTTTGGATTGTTCTCGATGCCACACGTGACGTCATCTGCATAGGGCTGATTAGCTAACCCTCTCCCCCCATAGGTCTGGCGGATCAACCGTGAGCGTGCTGTCGACTACCTCAACACCCGCAACCGCATCTACGTCATTGATGGTTTCGCCGGCTGGGATGAGAGATACCGCATCAGCGTCCGTGTTGTCTGCGCTCGCGCCTACCATGCCCTCTTCATGCGCAACATGCTCATCCGCCCCTCGGCCGAGGAGCTCCAGCACTTCCACCCCGACTATGTCATCTACAACGCCGGTTCTTTCCCCGCCAACCGCTTCACTGAGGGTATGACCTCTGCCACCTCCGTCGCCATCAACTTCGCCGAGAAGGAGATGGTCATCCTGGGAACCGAGTACGCTGGTGAGATGAAGAAGGGTGTCTTCACCATCCTCTTCTACGAGATGCCCGTGAAGCACAACGTCCTCACTCTTCACTCCTCTGCCAACGAGGGCCAGAATGGCGATGTCACCGTCTTCTTCGGTCTCTCGGGTACGGGTAAGACGACTCTGTCTGCCGATCCCAAGCGTGCCCTGATCGGTGACGACGAGCACTGCTGGACGGACCGTGGTGTCTTCAACATCGAGGGTGGCTGCTACGCCAAGTGCATTGGTCTCTCTGCCGAGAAGGAGCCGGATATTTTCAACGCCATCCGCTTCGGATCCGTCCTGGAGAACGTCGTCTTCGACCCCATCAGCCGTATCGTCAACTACGACGACTCGACCCTCACCGAGAACACCCGTTGCGCCTACCCCATCGAGTACATTGAGAACGCCAAGGTGCCCTGCATCTCCGACAAGCATCCCTCGAACATCATCCTCCTCACCTGCGACGCCCGTGGTGTGCTCCCGCCCATCTCCAAGCTCACTACCGAGCAGACGATGTTCCACTTCATCTCGGGTTACACCTCCAAGATGGCCGGTACTGAGGACGGTGTGACCGAGCCCCAGGCCACCTTCTCCTCCTGCTTCGCTCAGCCGTTCTTGGCCCTCCACCCCATGCGCTACGCTCGCATGCTGGCCGACAAGATCTCCGAGCACAAGTCCAACGCCTGGCTGCTGAACACCGGTTGGGTTGGCGCTGGCGCTACCACCGGTGGCAAGCGTTGCCCTCTGAAGTACACCCGTGCCATCCTGGACGCCATCCACAGCGGTGAGCTCGCCAAGGCCGAGTACGAGGTGTACCCCGTCTTCAACCTGAACGTGCCCAAGAGCTGCCCCGGCGTGCCCAGCGAGCTGCTCAACCCCGAGAAGAGCTGGACCGCGTCGACCGGCTTCTCGGACGAGGTCAACAAGCTTGCCAAGCTCTTCAATGAGAACTTCACCAAGTACGCCGACCAGGCTACCAAGGAGGTGATCGCGGCCGGCCCCGTTCCTCAGTAGATTGTTTGCTTAAAATTGTGATTCCCATTTCCTTTGTTTTTCCTTTATTTGTTCATATATTGCATGGCGTGCTGCGTTTGAAACAATTTGGGTCATTTGTTGCTTGTTCTTCTGTTCTGTTTGGGAAGACAAGCCGGGACATACCTGGGCAATCATGTTCTGCTTGATTTGGTATCCTGGCCATTGGCCAGGGGGAGTTAGATCCTAATGGACTCATTTCAATACTTGTTCCTATTGTAGCATTTGGATGTAGACTCCCACTGGTAGTCACCGCGCAGGCACTATTATCTTAGCTTGCAATTCAGGCTGCCTGTCCACCATCCAGCATAGAGCTCTGCCATTCTTGGTTGGATGCATGATACACACAAGGGCGAGGATAACTTGGATAATCCGATGCCATTAGCAATGCCGGTAGCAGGTTCAGAATGTCGAATCATGGAAAAACAAGATGAGACTTGCATTTTAGAACTGTATGGCACGAGCTGATGACATGTTAAATACTTTCACGGAGGACAGTCGTCCGGACAGAATACCAGCTACAGTGTATATCCTCCGGGACTACCAGTCAGCATCATGGGCGAGGTCCACTGGGTAGAGCTTGTGTGTTGTCCTCGGATGCGGTGTCGGGGGAGGCTGGGTCCTTGCACCAACGTTGCCTATCCTGCATCTTGCAGTTACGTAGCATGTACTGGATACTGGTATGGAGTGGCCTCACCAAAGACGAGGCAAGGGGGACTACATGAAGCGTTGGGATGACGCCTTCTAGACTAGTTAGATGCTGGGCTGTGAATGTACAAGAAGCTGACCAAAGAAACAATCCACCAATTAGTCCAACGCTGCAGATTGACAGGACCAGTACCAGGTAGTCTACTCAGATACAGGATATTAGCAATTGTACGAAGTCTCCATAATACCTTGGTAAGCAGACAGGCAATTGACATCCCAAGAAAGGACAGACATAGTAAACAACGCCAAACCGCCGATATGGCAGCGAGAATCGGCGCTTGCATGATTTGCCGGGGGCCATCCGCTAACGAAAAGCTCCTCCCAGCGGACCCAGTAGCTTACTTTTGCGGACTCCCGCAGTAGTCGACTGTAACTACCGACGTTCCCGCCATCACTTTCCCGCTTCCCGTCCGCCGTTCCGCCTGCCCACCCGGGCTCGTCCCGAACAACACGCGCAGGCTGACGAGGCACGCTGGACGCTTCCGAGCAGGCTGGCCGGGGGACGACGCCGTAGGGAGGTTCCGACGTTCCCTGCCGCAGCGACCAGGGTTGCCGGGAAGTTTCCCGCGGGTGGTCTGTGGGTTGGGGTGGGTTGGGCTGGCGTAGCCGGAGGGAGCTATGGTGATTACCTAGTTAGGGTTTGGTGAGGACGAAATACGATGGATGGTGCATTGGGGATGCTTGGCCGTTGGGTTTTCCGGTGGTTGTTGTGGTTTACCACTTCTCGCCCGAAGGGGATTAGTGCGCCGTCTGGATGGTATGGCAGGGGGATGTGTAGAGGCATGTCCGCCGACGGAATACTTCCGGAGAAAGACGTCTCCTACTGGATGTTTCTACTCCGGAGTATACTGCAAATCCAGATATCCGGCGCGAGAGGCTCGGTTAGGGGGATGGTTACTGCTGACTGCGTCGGTTCAGCGTGTTTGAGCGCAGTCCGCCAGACCGAGCGGTAGTAGTGTGTCGGAGGAGTCTCCTCCGGAATTGATAGCCACGGTTGTCCGGCTATGCGAGGATTGGACGCGGTGCCAGTTCCCTGGTCGTCAGAGCTTTCTGTTGAGATAGAGGGATTGATGGATATCAGGACAGAAGTGCCGGTTTCGGCGGTAACTCGGAGGATGCACGCGGGATGTGTAGAAGGAGAGCCGATATGAGCGGAGGGATGATGGAATGTATATGTTGCTATCTACTACAGGTTGGTTGTTTGTGGCATGGATATTGTGCATACTGCCAGATGGTGGTGTTGGTCTGGACTCTGGTGTACCGTTCATGGTATGTAGATGCTGAAGTGCTGTACTATGATACCGTAGATACTGAATGGACCGACTACTTGATCTGGAGCCATAGTAATTCCACCGCAACGATTGGATCCCGGAGCGCATCCCGAAGAGAGCGGAAGAATATTACTCAGTCGATCAAATAGCCGATCCGGGGAGCTCCTCGGTAGTGGTTATACATATAAGCAGATTTCAGAAAGAAGAACAATACCACAATAGATAGATAGACAAATTATAGTGAGCAAAATGCATCCTATATACTACCTAGTAGTACTAGAGATATAGCACTGCGAATACAGGGCACAAGAAAAGAAGGGAGAGGAGAATGTCGGGTTGCCGGATTCTCGTGGGTTGCCCAAACAAGACTAGCGCATACGGCCAGATTACTGTACTTACCGATGGCTTCCCCACCAGACACTGACGTGGGCATATGCAGTATGGATCATGGACGATGGAGTTCTGGAGAACTCGAAGATGCGACGGAGAAGAAAGAGATGGATAGGATGGTCAGACATGAATGCGTCCATCTGCGTCTAGCTGGCGTTGACATGGTGTGATGCGGACGGTGACATCGGCCAGCGATGACGTGCAGACCTCCCCGCATTTGTAGCTATCTAGCAGTACTATAGTTACTCTGTACAGTAGATACTAGACAGCAGTAGTGCTCTAGACTACTCCATAATTGATGCCCGAGTGGATTCCCGATCATCGCTCGCAGCTCCAGCTAGCTCTTCATCGCGCGGTTAATCAGCTTCAGCTCGGAAGACACGTCGGTTCCTGCTGTCCTTCTCTCGTAGCAGTATAAGAGAGTCAAACTTTCCATCCTCTCCCTGTCCGTCTCATTGGGTGCCTTTTCCCTAGTTCCATCATCTGACCGTGGTGTACCTTATTATATAACCCGGCCTTTTCCTCCTCGTCTGCGCTGCAACTCTCCCTCATCTCCTCATCTCCCCCTCTTTTCTTCCTGTTCTTTCTCGTCGTCTTCCGTTTCTCCATCCTTCCCCTCTTTTGCCCTTGCGCTGCTATATAGCTCCCTGTCGACGTCTTTAGACGGTAATGTCTTCCTCTCTCCGCCCGTCCGTTCGTCCGATGAACCCCTTCTAACTATAGGTACTCCCTCTCCAGAGGTTCATTCCCGTCGCTACTCTTCTTGGTCAGTGGATGGTCATACTCTCTTTCCCTCCTCTCACGCCTTTCATTCTTGCCCCTATCTTCCACCCAGCTGGCTTGTACCACTCTACTGACTCCCTCCAGATCTGGTGTGAATCCTGCTTCGTCATCAATATGGCCTCCACTCCCGCCACAAAGGAATCCCAGCCATCGGTGGATTTCCTTCACCACCCGTATACCCGGGCCGCTCTTCCCTTCATCAACGGTGGTCTGGCCGGTATGACCGCCACCACCGTCGTCCAGCCCATTGATATGATCAAGGTGCGCCTGCAACTCGCCGGTGAGGGTGTGCGCACCGGTCCCAAGCCCTCGGCCTTTGGCGTCGCGCGCGACATTATCGCCACCGGAAAGGTTCTCGATCTCTACACCGGTCTGTCCGCCGGTCTCCTGCGTCAGGCTGTCTACACCACCGCCCGTCTGGGTTTCTTCGACACCTTCATAAAGTCTCTCAACAAGAACGCGGAATCTGCGAACCGCAAGGTCACCTTTGCGGAGCGTGCCGGCGCCGGTCTGGCCGCCGGTGGTATCGCCGCCATGATAGGCAACCCGGCCGACTTGGCCCTCATCCGGATGCAGTCCGACGGTCTCAAGCCCCCCGAGGCGCGCGCCAACTACCGTTCCGTGATTGACGCGCTGGGTCGCATCTCGAAGAGCGAAGGTGTTGCCGCCCTGTGGGCGGGTGCTCTCCCGACCGTCGTCCGTGCCATGGCCCTCAACGTCGGACAGCTTACCTTCTTCGCCGAATCCAAGGCCCAGCTCAAGGCGCACACCAGCCTGTCTCCCCAGAACCAGACCTTCGCCGCGTCCGCGATCGCAGGTTTCTTCGCCAGTTTCCTGTCGCTGCCATTCGATTTCATCAAGACACGTCTCCAGAAGCAGCAGAAGGACCCCAAGACGGGCCAGCTGCCCTACCGCGGCCTGGTCGACTGCGCCCGGAAGGTTGCGAAGGAGGAAGGATTGTTGAGGTTCTACCGCGGATTTGGCACATACTATGTGCGGATCGCACCCCATGCGTTAGTTGCCCCCACTCTCCGCGCCATTGCTTATCGCTGACCCCACGGCTCCACTTTTTAGCATGGTCACTCTTATCGTCGCCGATTATTTGAGCCGCCTCACCAAATAAATCACGAAACTCCCACTGGCATTTTCTGCGCCCGACCGATAGACGCCCTATCTACGAAAAGTATGGGTGGTGACAAATGTGTTCGATTGGTTTCCTCTCGTTTCCTATCAGACCCGGTATAAGCGGATGAACGGTTTATAAAACGTGGTCAATCGCTGCAACCTCGGACCGCGGAGTGCTTTTTGCTTTTTCTGATGAAATTGAACTCACCTGGAAAGTGCGGCGTCCAGGCATGCGCAGCGATCTCATATGGACTAGCCGTCTCGGTGTTTATATGATTCGTGATAGAGTATTTCCATCACGCGATGAGTTGCTCGGCTGGACATCTCGGCAGCAACGTGCTCCTCTGGGATGGTATCGGCGCGTTGTATACTGTCAGGAACAGATACCACACGCGTCTCATGCCGACCAGAGCTGAACAGACTCTTTCCTTTATGCTGTCGCCAGACGGACGATATACCCTTGTTTCTTGTCTTTGATTTCGGTTGTGGCTTTGCGGTGCACAAGGCCGGAGTTTTCATTTATCCTGTTTTGTGTCCTGATGCAGAAGGGTTCTGCGCTCATTCGGTTAAGCCTAGTATACCAGTTATGACCTAGTCCTGAGACAGGTCCAATGCAACAAGACTATCAAAATGATCATTACATACGAGTGTATTCGCTCGAAGATCTAAGCGACCCATACTCAACCCTGCTCATTCGCAGGCGTAGACATAAGCCGTTCCCGTTTGACCCGCACGGGGTCCGGCGCCGCCCGGTGACGGACAGAGCTCTCCTCCTCCACAACATCATCGCTCCCCAACATGATCCCACCCCGACTCTTCCGCCGTCTCTGCCGCCCGCCCTCGACGTCCAGCTCCTCCTCCTCCGCCTCACGCCGCGTCGCCGCCTCGGCCCGCCGCACGCGCCGCAGCAGCACCGGGTCACTCCGCAGATCGGCGGCCGTGAGCACCTCCGAGCACACGGGACACTTGACGGAGCGCACGCGGCGCGCACGACTCCCCGCGGGCGCGGGCGCCGTGGTCGCACTCGACGCGATCATGCCCTCAATCGCCTCACGCTCGAAACTGTGCGGGCATTTCGTGCTGGTCACGGGGTCGCGGAACGGCAGCAGTGTCAGAGGGCACTTGAGCGAGATGCGCTCGCGCTCGATGGCGATGTCGTCCGAGTCGGCGGGGGACGCGCTGCGAGCGCGTTGGCCACCCCGTGTGCGCGTGCGTTGCCCGTGCTCGTCCGCGGCGGCGCCGGCCGGCTCTTCCAGGTGCATGAACCACGTCGAGGCGTGCGGGAGCGGCGGGATGTCGTCGCCGGGGTGTTTGGCTTCGTGGATGATCCGGTAGAAGCCGATATAGGCGTTGTTGGTCGCGTATCTGGCTCGTTAGTGCCTGTGCGTTCATGTAAGTAGGCCGGGGAGCATACCTCTCGGTCAGCGACAGTCCGTCCCAGCGGGCGTTGCTCTCCGCCAGACTCGTCTGCAGCTTCTGGCTCGGCGCCTCGGCGCCCTCGCCCTCCGCGGGGTCATAATCCGCATCATCACCGTCGCCGTCGTCGTCTCCATCTTCGTCCGCATTTATGTGCCGTCTCGTCCGCCGCGTCGCCCGCCGCGGCGCAAGACTCGCCTGCTCTGCCTCCGTCTCGAACCGCCCCATAACGCCCGCCAACGAATCGACCTTCACCTCCGCATCGATGGTCCTGCGCATGGCAGCTTCCAACTGTCCCGTCACGCCGGTCACCTGTTCCTCCAGCTGCATCAGCCGCTCGTGCTCCTCGTCCCCGTCGTCGTTGTCGTCTGCGTCGTCCAGCGCCGCGGCCGCAGACTCGGCCTGCTCGCCGCTGTCATTTTGCCGTGGGCGACGAGCGCGGCGCCGCTCTTTCTGCTTCTCGTAGCGCAGGCGCGAGTCGGTGAGACGCTCATTGACCTCGCCGGCGGAGTCGGTGAGCTTTTCCTCGGCGTGTTGGAGGTGCGTTTTTAGTTGGCGGAGGGATTGCGATTTCAGCAGCGTGATTAGTTTGGCGTGGCCGGTGTTGTGGAGGGGGATAAGGGGTGGTTCGTAGGGGGGTAGAGGTGGGGTAGTCGATCGGGGACGGCCCCTTGAGGGTGTTGCTGTTGGCATTTTGCATTGGGTGGTGTGGTGGTTGTGTCTTGAGGTTGGGAGATTGATGAGGATGAGGGTGAGATCGATAAGAATGGACGCGACGCGACAATGCGCTAGCCGTATTGGGTTATACATGTTGGTGCCTGGATATGGGGGCACGAACAACGCTCTTCGCTTGGAGGTAGCTTCTTTGATTCTATTTTACATTGTAATTTGTATTTCTCAATAAGATCCTAGATACCAATACTCGAACTACACCTTGTAGAAGCAGAACGCGTGATAGAACCCTGCACATCAGTCAGTCAAGCCCAGACATATCCTTGGATACAGAACTCACCAACGGCTTCCTTTTCCTCCTCGGTCATGAGTAGCGCTCCGGTGTTGCGATCGCGGACGCCCATACGTTCGCTGAGGGGACCCAATTCCGGATCGTCCTTCTCATCTTGCCAGATATCCAAGAAGGGCTTGCGGTATTGCAGCTCGAGGTTGTAGTCCTCCGTCAGACTGCCCAAGTTAGCATCTGTATATACCCAGACAAGAGTCACTCACGCTCGGAACGCCTCCCACGGCACCACATATTCTGGGATCTCCTCCACGGCCTCTTCCATGAAATAGCTGTATCTCCAGCCGAACGGAGGCCGGAACACGCCGTCTTCAGGCGTGTCGCCCGGAAACCGGACGCGATAGATCGAATTTCCCCATTCGGTCTTGTTTTCCTCTTCCACCTCTCCATCCTCTGGCTCTGCGTCCTCCTTCTTCGCAGCCGACTCACGCTCCTTTCGCTTCGCGTTCTGCTGTGCCACTCGCGCGCTGATGATATCCGAGTTCGGACACACGCCGATGAACCGACCTCCCTTCTTCAGACACCCGGCCACATTGCGCAGCATCTGTCGGGCCTTCTCTTCACTCTCAAACGCATAGTGGATGGCAAACATGGATGTCACCACATCGAAGCCACCGCCGCCCCAGCGCGAGCTCATCACCGACCCTCCTGGCCCAGCATTAGGATCAATCCCGACTTGTTGGATGATCTCAATGTCGCCCAGCCACTCCCCGAAGCAATCCTTGGGGGCGAACTCAGCGTGGAACAGACGCGGGCGCCGACCGCGCGGTCCCCGGCCGTTCCTCATCCCACTGTACCGCTCGCGCGCCTGGACGATCGAAATCTCCGCAGGATCCAGCCCAACATACAGGTCCACAGGCTGCGGCGCAAGCTGCCACTTTCCCAGGTCACCACCCTTCCCGCAGCCGAGATCCAGCACCAGGAGCCGCTTCTCGTCCGTCTGCGGCGGAGCAATGCCATCCGCCCAGTCTTTCGTGTCATTAAACCGGGCGACAAACTCCTCATCCGGCGAGAACTTCTGGATCAAAGTACTCTTCACCCAGTTGTTGAAGCTGCGTAGACCCTTAATTTTGCTCTCAGTTTTGCGCCACTCGCGTCCACGCTGCGGCACCGCGTTGTAGTGCTGGCGGACGATGTCGGTCACGCCGCGACTCTGCGAGAAGCGCATGGCGTCCTGCTCCTGCGCGCGCTCGCGCTCCTCCTGTCGCCGTCGCAGGGTCTCCCGATCTACGAGACCCATTCGCGCGCCGCCGCCGGGTCTCTTCCGCTTGCGGGCTTGCGATTCAGGCGTCGGCGACCGCGGCGGAGGCACTGGGGACGGGGATCGGGTCGATTGGTCGTTGCGGGTGGGTGTTGCGCTCGGCTCGTCTCCATCCCGGCGGGAGTAGGCGGACGGGGGTGTTCGGCCGCGTCGGCGGGGCTTTTGGTGTCGCTCTTCCATGCGTCTGCGCTTGGGCAGTGGATGCTCTGCGGGTGGAGTGGGCTTCTGTTTGTCGGCGGGGGAGCCGTTTTGAGCTGGAGCTGGAGATGCGGTGGTGTCATTGTTCTCTTGTGAAGGTTCCGTGGGTTCTGGGCGTGGAATGGGTTCTTCTGAGTGCGGTGTTGTGTCGGCCATTGTGAGGTGAGTTGGGGTGAGTTTTTCGCAGGCGAAGTGAGACCGGGAGAAGATTTTGAGGGAAGGGTGATGCGAATTTCAGAGGGAAGGAAATAGAGGGCTCGAAGGAGCTCTCGAGGTTGTATTTGACGTCGTGGACTCGGAAGTAATCGTCTGAGTCTATCCTGTTTGAGATCTAAAATGTTCAGCTAGCTTCGTCTTCGAGGGACTGGCCCCTCGAGTCAAATGAAGTGAGTGATTAACGTGATCTCAGCAGCCGAAAATCTTCAAGGACAATGTATCGCTCAGTTGGAATGAATGTAGTCGATCAATAGGGAAGTGAGTGTAGGAGAAAGTTGTCTCACAGGAAGCGAAGAGGCGGCCGGAGCGGAAGAAGATGCTCCCATGAGTCCCGTGCGCCGTCGTACACGTTCGACCACCACAACCTAATGGCCAAAGTGTTATAGATTGGTGATATTCAGATTGACTGATTGGGTTCTGCTGTGGTCACTTGTTTTCTGGTTTCATACTATACAATATACTGCAGTCCACAGCTTATTAAAGGTAAGCCTTAATGGACATCAACACTGCTGTCTAGGTAGCGATTACATATTGTCATCCGCAGGTGAAAGTACCAAACCAGGCGCCTCGTGTTTAGATCGGAACTGCAGCATCCATCTACAGGTACAATAGACTCTTTCCCGATCAAGCGCATGCATTCGATACCACAATTCTCAACATCTTGACTCTGAGATGGTTCGCTTACAGGCTGACGCACTGCATAAAGCCGACGTCTGCCGGACCACGCATTTTATGTACTAGTGGTGGCTCCACGGCAGTGTACTCCGTACTTTGCAGCGGAATCCACCCGACAAAGCATTCTTTAGACAAACTAACCTTGGATCAGTAATAGGGCCGAGCTTGCTGACTCTAAAAATATTAAAGCTGAGTGCCCGGGAAACAGAACGCCTTCGCTTCTCACCTTCCTCGTGGTCCACAGCCAACGAAATCCCTGACCTGCATGTCCGTGGACACCTTGGAAGGCTACAACGCAAACTTGCAGTGCAGTAAGCCCGCAGATGCTAGTGCGCAGGGGGAATTGACCTGTCACGTACTTAACTAACGGCGTGGCTTGCCGCTGGCTTTTGTTCTCCATCTTCCATCGAAGGATATCCTGCACTTCGATATAATCATTGGTCACACCGGTCGATCCGTGGATACTAGAAGACACTAAATAATGCAATCTATGTGATCATTCCCTCATCGTGTGATGGACCTCGCTGAGTCTAGAACTTGATATATTGCCTGAATTACGGATACTCTTTCGAATGCTGGACCATCGCTGTTGCCTTTCTATTTTCTTCCATTATAACTTGACTAGAATCCAGGTAGAAGTATTATGTATATATGGCTATCAAACGGGTCGATTCTCTATTGAAAAGAGTCTGTGACAGCTTTTATGCGATCGCCTGTGGGCGTCGCCTTAAGTTATGCCACTAAAACAGGGAACCCCCCTGGTCTAAAAGATCTTCCAAGACAGTGGGTACGGAGTATAGCAAACAAGACCAGGTTCGAGACACGCGATTCGAGCGAATAATTCCGTGTAACGCCACATAATCATGGGTCTATCCTCCAGGCTGCGCCCCTTATAATGTTTCCTTTCTTTTAAAAACTCATATTTACCAGAAAGCGATCATTGTGTGTCATTGACCAACATCACAACCGCATATATGGACAAACCCAGTTTTAGGGTAATCATCGTCGGCGGCTCTATCGCCGGCTTGACTCTCGCACATTGTCTGAGACAGGCGAACATCGACCATGTCGTTCTCGAGAAAGGTGAAGACGTTGCGCCTCAACTCGGAGCTTCCGTTGGGATCTTCCCAAACGGAGGTCGAATACTCCAACAGTTAGGGCTGTTTGATGAAGTCGAAGCATTGGTTGACCCTATACGTGTGAGCAACACCACTTTCCCCGACGGGTTCATGTGTCGTTCGCTGGTGTCTGAGCGTCTAGAAGAAAGGTACGTTTCCGTATATCTCCAGTAATCGAAGACTGTGTCTGTACTTACGGATGTGACACTAGATTTGGGTTTCCTGTGGCGTTTCTAGATCGGCAGAAGCTTCTCGATATACTGTATAGAAACTATCCCGACAAGACCAACATCATCACCGGGACAAAAGTGACGGAAGTTCGCAAGGTAGACAACGGCGTTTGTGTGAGCACTGATGATGGGACGCTGTATCACGGCGACCTCGTCGTCGGGGCAGATGGAGTCCACAGTCGGATACGGTCTGAGATGTGGCGTTTGGCAGGTGCTGCTCGCAAAAGTGTCGCCAAGGAGAAGGAGAGTAAGTGATTTTGAATCTCCGAAGCTTCCTTCGATTCATCTAACACTGCACAGACATGACCGTCGAATATTCTTGTATCTTTGGCATCTCATCCGTTGAAACAGGCCTTGAAACTGGCGCAATGCTTCAGGCCCTTCGAGACGGACTCACCGTTCTCACAATCCGCGGAAAAGACAACCGCATCTTCTGGTTCATCATACAAAAACTGGGCCAGAAATATGTCTATCCGGATTGTCCTCGGTTCTCGCTCGACGACGCAGCGGAGGCTTGCGCCCAGATTGCAGATGTCCAACTCTACAAAGACCTGCATGTGCGGGATCTTTGGAAGACGCGACTAGTTGCGTCAATGACGGCACTGGAGGAATTCCTGCTGCAGACGTGGCATTATGACCGGATCGTGCTGCTTGGAGACAGCGTTCACAAAGTATTGTTCCCCATTGACCTTTCTGCTGCTTCCCCGGTATACGCTAACACTGTTCAGATGGCGCCGAACTTTGGGCAAGGGGCAAATTGCGCTATAGAGGACGCAGCGATTCTCGCCTCCCTTCTGCACGAACTGGTCAACGTGAACAGCACGAGTCAGCCTACAGACCAGCAAATCGACAACGTTCTCACGGAGTATCGTAAACAGCGGCACGAGCGGGCGAGCAATATATGCAACACGTCAGCGATGACTACGCGAGTTCAGGCCCGGGATGGTCTCTTCAAGAAGTTTCTTGGCCGGTACTATGTCCCTCGTGCGGATAAGTTGGGGGCTTATGTCATGTCCAAATTCTTTGCCGATGCGCCGGCTCTGGGGTTTCTTCCTCTGCCCGAACGGTCCGGCTCGGGATGGACTACGTATAGAACTGAGAAGCGATGGATAGCTTGGGCCAGTGGACTTGCAAAGAGTGCGTTTGCGGGTCTCCTAGGGTGCGTGTCCTCGCTGTACTCCACAGAAAAGGGGAAACAGTGCTAATCTCATATGGCGTTTTGCTTTTATGTGGCATATATTTCATGTGATTAAGTGGATTATGGTGAAGACATGGTGTAGTAGTTATTATGTGTAAACACAGCGCAATTGATCGACTGATGCCCTGGACGCCTCGCTAACATAGCTGTAATGATCATGTGGAATCTCTATAAACATTATCTGAGAAGAAAAGCACCTTAGATGGGGAATCCGAATCATTGAGGATTGGGCTTTGCTCTCTTTGGAGATTTGACATTCAAGACTTGCCTCATTCGTCGGATCTTTGCCCACCATTCGCGGTCGCTAGTCTTCTTGGCTTCGTGGTTCGATTCGTCAACGGTGAGCCCATCGGTTGAAGGAGCTTCGGAGGCAGCGCGGCTAGGACCGGACGTGGTTGATCTGATATGTCGGCGATGCTTCACCTTGAGCGCTTGGGCCAAGAGCTGCCATCCACTCATCAAATACTCCTTCTCATCTGAGGCCTTGCCTGTACCGCTCTGCGCCTTACCGCTCACCCAGGGACAATACTCCATGTGTTCTTGGACAAGGTCCAAGGAGTCATGTAAAGGCGTACCCCCGTTATCCTTGGGCTTGTACATCCAGAGCCCCAACCGTCTGAAACATGCACTGCAGCCTAATAAGCCAGCAGTGGCATCCGAAACCGTATCCCATCCGAAGAATGCCAGCATAAAAGCTGCTTTGTTGACCGATGGCTGAGTTGCGGATGGATTTTGCGAGGAGTCGTCTTCGTTTTCGGGGGTCGAGTTAATGCTGTGCGTTTCCGCGCCGTCTGCTTGTGTGTTGAACTCTGCTGGGAGGACACTCAGTATTTCCTCGAGGTCAAAAGACGCGGGTGTCTGGAGAATGTCTTGTGACGGCAGTTGGTCCGCCAGCTTGACAACATGGGAATAACGGGTTTCGAGGCCAGTGATCGCTGTGTCATGGTTTGCGAGAGGTAAGCGGTGTATCGTAGCTAGAGCCTAGTTAGCAGTGTTTGTCGATCGTGATTCAAGAGGACATACCATCGCAGCCTCGGTTTTTCCACGGGCAGTTTTGACCATGCCCTTGCACGATGAGACCGGCGTATTCATCGACAAGCTTCGAGCCTATACCTTAGTTAACCCCGTACGTTGAACGAGATACAGACAACGTCAACATACGGACTTCCTTTCTCTCCTGGACCTTCTCGATATCATAACCATCCAGTTCGTCCAGTTCGTCTGGTAACTTCACCACGACGGAACCACCACACACACCGGCGCACGTTACGCGGGACACATCTGTACAGACCCAGCCCCTCTTGGCCCATTCCACCTCATTAATTGCAGTTGGTTTCGGCGACCACCAATCCACACGGCGGAATGTTTCCAACCGCTCCAGAAAGCGTTCGCGATCCCAGGGAACGAAGGTCGGTCGTGGGGACGACGTTGACGAGCCCCGAGAGCCGGATCGCGTGACTTTAAGAATCGCTTTTCGCGCGGTAGCTAGCTCGCCATCGGCTTGAGTACCCAAGCGCGGTCTTTTGAGTGAGGAGTCTGGTGCAGAACGATCTTTCGTCGTCGCGGAGGATTTGGTCGCGGAGTCGGGGGTTGAAGGTTTGGTCAGGGATTCGAGGACGCGATGGAATTTGCGCTTTTTGGTCTCCACTGCGTATGACATTTTCCAGTGTCGCGGGGAGGATTGGAGGAGATAAGTTAGGACGATGGAGAGAACAATGATTGATGACGGTGATCGTCTTGCTGCGGTATCACCGGCACTAAGCTCAGATAGGCAATTCCATAGCTTGTGCCTGAGGAAGCGATCATTGCCCTGTTAACGCAGCGCCTTGTTTGGATCTAATTCACAGACAATTGCTGTCTCATCACTCTCCACATTGACCACCGTAGCTGAGGATGGGACCATCTATCGACGATGACCATTGTGAGCTCGCTGTGTGGTCTGATGCCGCCCTCGGGCCTTGGCGCTTCCGAATATCCGAGCTTCCAAATATTCGAGACCTTCTTTTTCTCCTCCACCTCTGCTGGAATGCATCTGGCATTGCTCTACCCCTGCTAGCCTTGTCAGAATGGCATCTCTGGGGTCGTCTGTGCCTTTGTTGCGGAGGTTCACTCCGCGACTATCCAAAGAACTTTTCACCTGTCGCCAATGTCTAGTCCGCAGCCAGAGTTATGCGACCAAGTCTCCGTTCCGCAACCCCTCTGCAGCTTCGCCCTTTGCGCGCACCTCTCGGACCAATTCTCCGACCTTGTCCGCAAAGTACGGGTCGCCTTTCTCGTCGGTATTCAGAAGATCAGCATCGGGATCGGCAGCTTCCAATGCCGCGGAGGCCGAAGCATCCAAAGCGAAGTCGAGCTTTCCGCAAGTGAGCGATAAGATAGTAGCCTACTGGCTGCTGGGAAGTGCAGCCAGCGTCTTTGGTATCGTTGTTTTCGGAGGTCTTACGCGATTGACGGAATCTGGGTATGTGCGATCCCAGTTGTTTCAAGTAAAAGGACGATGAGCTGACCCCATGAAGCCTAAGCATCACAGAATGGCGTCCCGTCACCGGATCCCTTCCTCCCATGAACGCCGAAGATTGGGAGTCCGAATTTGCCAAGTACCGCAACTCTCCTGAATTTCAGCTGTTGAACCCGAACATGACCCTCTCCGAATTCAAGTCGATCTACTACATGGAATGGATTCACCGTCTCTGGGGCCGCTTCGTCGGATTGTCGTTTGTGATTCCCGCTGTCTACTTTGTCGCGAGGAAGAAGGTTGCGAAGCCTATGGCTCTGCGTCTGGCCGGCATCGCAGGATTGATCGGTTTCCAAGGATTCATCGGTTGGTGGATGGTCAAGTCCGGACTGAAGGACGACCTTTTTGCCCCGGGAAGTCACCCCCGTGTCAGTCAGTATCGTCTGACGGCTCACCTGGGTGCTGCATTTGTCTGCTACGTCGCCATGCTCTGGAACGGTCTTGCTATTCTTCGGTCCCATCGCTTGCTCGCTGATCCCGAAGCCGGTATGAAGCTTCTGGACTCGCTCCGGGATCCCAAACTCAAGCTCTTCCGCCGCTCTGTTGCTGGTCTTGCCGCTCTGGTGTTTGTCACGGCGATGTCCGGAGCCCTGGTTGCCGGTCTGGATGCTGGTCTCATCTACAATGAGTTCCCGTACATGGGCAACGGATTGGCTCCGCCGAAGGCCGAGTTGTTCGACGAGAGATACTCGCGTCACGAGGATCGGTCTGACCTCTGGTGGAGAAACATGCTCGAGAACCCTGCTCTGGTGCAGCTGGATCACCGTATCATGGCTATGACGACTTTCACCAGCATCATGGCTCTGTGGGCCTACACCCGCGGGTCGCCAGCGATGAAGCGCCTCCTCCCGCCTGCTGCTAAGAAGGGCGTCCACGGAGTTGTTGCTTTCGCCTTCATGCAGGTCGGTCTTGGAATTTCCACCTTGCTCTATCTTGTTCCCACTCCCTTGGCCTCTGCCCACCAGGCTGGAAGTTTGTTCCTTCTGACCTGGGTGCTGGTCCTGGGAAGCCGTGTCTGGCATCCGTCGCGGACCGCGAAGCTGCTCCAAATGGCTGCGAAGGCTCGAAGCCAGGCTGCAGCCAGTGCAGCTACCCATGGCCCTCGCCGACTGTGAAGTGTATACTATGTGCTGTTATAACTATCTCGACTTCTCCATTTGTACAATAGACGAAACTTTATTCTACGTTATTAGAAGGTTCTCACCAAGTTTTCATTACTTCATCTTATAGTGTCTTGGAAGATTTTAGATTACAGTACACTGGTTTATATCCTTTAACCTATCTGCCCCTTAGCGAGACTATATTACTAGCCTAAAATGGTCGGACTGTTACGTCTACTCGATGAAACGCGACTTCTTCCTCCATCAGTCTAGCCATGTCGTCCTTTCCAAGCATCCCCAACTGGGTCCAAGTGTACGTTGATTTCTCGGCTTTTGATACTGGCTTTATCTAACTAGGTTATTTTCAGTCTTGGGGGCCTCGTCACCGTCCTCTCGTTTGTTCCCCAGCTACATCAGACCTGCTCAACAAAAAGCAGCTCCGGCCTCTCCCTCTACTATATCTTGTTCCACCTCATTCTCGCAACAGAGGTGACGGTGTCGGGCCACTCATATGGGTCGGGAGAAGATGCAGATGGATGAAGGTTGTGTTCAAGAGGGAGAAACAGAGCCGTTACTTAGCCAACGGCAACACCCGAGAGTGGATGCCACGGAAACAACTTAGATGGTTGTTGTCGTGGATCAAGCAAAAGGCCCAGCCCAGGTTGATCTCATCCCCACTGTCCCGATACAGTCGATGGATCTGCTGTTGCATAACTGGTTCATTCATTATCAGGCTTTCTATATACAGTGGATTAGCGAATAACAACTTTCTTCTCTCCCTTCTTGTTCGCTATGAAATTGTCGATACAGACTCCCACAATCCTGTAATCACCTGCTGGGTGATTTCTGCATATCAGCAAGTTCCCCGAGCCACCCGTCTGGACATAGCCGTCTTCCTGAACATAGCCGCCGGTTTGGATGTATCCATAGTCTTTCGTCATGTCGGTTGCGGCGTGGGTGAAATCGTCCCTCACAATAGCTCTGCCTCGAGGCCAGGATTTGGGTTTCGACTTCACTTCCTCATCCTTCTTGGTGCTCCTACAACTAGACGCATAGTCTCGGTGAGCGTGGACGTCGCCTTCGAACGCCACAATGTGGAATCCCCTGCCCACGTCTCCAGGCTGTATCAATCCCACACCGTCCTGCAGAATGATGCGGTTGTCCTTGTCGAGGCCGACAGAGATCTTGCCGAGGAAGCTCCCTTGCACAGCAATGATGGCTTCCAGGATAAAGTAAAACGGGGCAACTATGGTACACCCACACTCGACCCGGACCTCGCACGAGATGTCCTTGGTGGCGTCGTTATACAGACGGGATTGGCAGTCACGGAACGCTTGCAGGTAGTAACTCGCGGAGAGGTTATGCGCCCGGACGTGCCCAAGCTTGGGATCTTCCCAGGTGGTGCCGCTCACACACCTGTCAATCCAGCCTGCGGGCTTCGCGTTGGGGTCAGAGACATGCCACCTAGGTTGCAATTTTTCCAACATTCTCCGTCGGTATTCGGCAAGGTCTCCGGCGGGATCAAAGAGGGCTCCCAAGATGGTCGAGATTTGCGCCAGGGTCCGACCGGTTTCATCGCCAGTAACGTTTCTCGTCTGGTCGTGCAAGGGGATGGGCTCGGACTTGAAGGTCGAGATCTTGACCTTTTTGCCTGCGTTGCAGCCTCGGAAAACAAAATTGAAGCCCCAATTCTTGGCCTGCTGCTGGGGGCGGAATGTGATGTACTGCCGTGGTGACCCCTGAAGGCCAGTGACGGCGAGCGTCTTGACTCGGCCCTTTTGTGTCAAGAACCCCAGGTCGACGACCCCGGCAAAGATGTCGGTGGTTCTGATGCGCTTGGGGGTCGCTGTCACAGGGATCCAGTCCCACTCGCCTCGACTTCCGCTCGTAATCGCCAGACGGGTCCAAGCACGCTCCGTTTTGAGGGACAACTGCTTGAAGAAGGCAAAGGCGATGGGCTCGATGTCCTGGCTCTCGCCTGCTAGCTGCTTGATCTCCTCTTCAGTGAACAGGCCACTGAAGACGCCCAGGAGGCCGTAGAAGATATCGGCGCGCCTTTCGCACTTGCGCGGCCAGATGGAGATCGCGGAGAAGACGTTGCAAATCCCCTTGTAGTTGTCCTTCCACCAGTACGGGCCGCCAGCAATAATATCGGTCCTCGCCGAGTTGATGCCTTGGACCTGCGTCCGCAGAAATGTGAGCCCTAGAAGATCCTCCTGGATGACCTGCAGAATAGCGTTGATTCCTGTGGTATTGAGCTTTCGGCACTCATCTATCCAGTCACGAAGCTTGACGGCCTTGTCGCTGGCGTCGATAGCCAGGTCCATCCACGTGCCGAACTGCCCTATGCATTTCATCTGCTCCGGATTGACACCCCAGATGGTGATGTTCTTGCCCAAGACCATCTCCTGGAACGTCCAGACGCGCGAGAAGTACAGATTGCGAAACAGCGATCGCACGTGGCTGACGCATGTCGCATAGCAGTTCAAGATGCCTGGCTCAACGGCGGCGGCCTTGACGGCTGCTTGGGGAATGCGAAAGAGCCACGGCGCTTCTGCCCAATCCGACAGCTGGTTGATCACGTTCTTGGTCAACAAGGCATCGGTGGCCCGCGCGGCGCCGACCATGTGGTGCAGGATGTGGTCGAGGAACTTCAGATCGTCGACAATGGTCTGGTGATCCCAGACGGGGTTGTGAATCATGCTTGGGGCTCCAAAGGCTTCATCAGCGTCGGAGTCGGATTCCGCCGCCTCCACGGCCCCCTCCTCCTCCTCGCCCACGTCGACGTCGCGGGCAGTCGCGATGTCATCTACGTTAATGATGATGTGGCACTTTTCGGCGCTCTTGTAGTACTCGTACATGCGACTGACCTCGGCTGATTTTTCCGCCATGTTCTCCTGATCGAAGCAGACACAGTCGGCCCATAAATAATCAATGTCGGCCTCGTCCATCAGCCGCAGGATCTCTTTTAACTTGGACTTTCTAACATTCACTTTCCAGTTGACGCCTGGGAGACCGTCCCAGTCCTCGCTTGGTGGAGCGCAGTCCCATGGTTTCGCCTTCTTGCCGTAGAGATACGAGACGATGTCAAACTGCTTTACGCCGAGTTTGCGAGGATCGTCGACAAAGAACTTGGTTACTTTGTGGGGTTGATCTGTGCCTTCAGTCACCCAGGTAACATCGCGACAGATGACTCTCAGTGGTAAAACGACAGCCATAACAGGCGGTGCTGGCCGTAGTGGCGATTGTAGGTGAGGGAGGGTGAGAATGTGTTGGGTACCTAGTAGGGAGACCCTCGTATTTTAAGCCGTCAAATCGCTTACCTATTCCTTCACTTTGGGCGCTAATGAGGGTCAGCAATGGCTAAGTCAACGGCACCTCATTCGCTCACGGCGCGCCATCCTCGTTCAGCTGTAGTCAGGGGCCAGAAGAGCATAGTGTCAGAGTAGCAAGGCTGGCACGGACATCGTCCGAAGAAACTGGTTTCGCTAAACCCGCCGCTTCAGCTTGAAGCAAAGGATCAAAGCGATTGAATTGAACTGCTGGTTAGCTTGATCTCCTGATTCAAAGTTGTACGCCTGTAGCAAGACTAGTTGGAATTCCACCCTTGATTAGAGGAAAAAGAGAAAAAAAGCAGTGGACACTGATTGATAAGTGCCAATGCTCTTTGCTTTTGATTTTCGAATTAGCCGACAAGTTTGCTTTTGTTAGGGCTCGTATTGGCTCCACGAGATTGATTGACAATCTGCAAAAGCTATGGGCAACAGACGACTCGAACTCATCTTGCATCCACACTGAGCATCTGCGGAGTGTTAAGAGTGAAGAGCCCTGAAGCTTGGCCATTGATGGTTATTAAGACAGTGTTATTATTGGAAGTCGGCGTCTATATCCCTCTGGTAGTAGGTGTCGGAGCCTCAGGCTCCTGAGTTGCCTCTTTAGGCCTAGCGCCTGCCTGCCCTAATATCTACTATAGAGCCAGAGGTCTTCAGGACCTCACGCACAATCAACCCACTTCAATCCTCCTTGACAACTTCCCTTAACGGTATATAGTCTACTGTATACCTTATTTACTCCTTCTTCGCGACCATCTGGTGATACCGCCTTGCTCCCATTCTCCGACAGGCCTTTCCCTTCCAGATGAAGAGAATCCCCGAGTAGAACACCACAAACGCCAGCACCCCCACGATCACAAAGGTATCTTGCAGCCCACAACGATCGATCCACGGGCCAATGCCAAACGTCATGGCGGCGCCAATGACGTTCCGGATACACACCAGCCCGGTGGTGGCCTCGCCGGCCAGCGACGGATAACTCTCACTCGCATACCCCAGTGTGACCTCGCCGGCGATGGGGAGCCCACTTCCAATCATCGCCATGCCAATGATCGGTCCCATCCAGTGGACTTGGTGCGCGGCCCCGGCGCCGTACAGCACCAGCCCGCCACACATGATCGGGCCGGCGATGAGGACTGAGTAGATGCGCGATTCGGCTTCCATGACGCCCCCATTTCGGCGTGCTTTCCAGACCATGAAGCGATCGGTTCCCGCACCCCCGGCATAGAGCGACAAGCAGGCGCCCACCCAAGGCGCGATATTCGTGAGGCCGATAGCAGCCGAGGAGAAACCATAGTTCCCGAACACGGTACTCGATTCATACGCCATGATGGTGAGCCACGCCACGCCGAATCCGTATGTGATCCCACACCACCAGACGATCGGTTCCAGAAGCATCTTGAAGGGTCCGATGGCAAGCTGGACAAAGGGCACGGGGCTCTCGACGTGCGTCAAGGGCTTCAGGCGGTGGAGTATGCTCTTCCGCGGTCCCTGGGTAGGACTCTCCCTCTCCACCGTTGGGAGGTTGTTTTCAGTATGCCGAACAAAGGCGGACTCTTCGAGAAACAGGAACATGAGGACGGCGGAAAGCCCCAGGAAGATGGCATACCACCAGTGCATCCCTAGAACAGCAAATCAGCAACCAAGCCATCTAACTACCTCGAACCCCAGGACCGTCTCTTACATCTCCACCCCATGCTCTCCGTCACGAATCCGGATGCGACGGGCCCTAAAAAGGACCCAACGTTGAGAGCGAAAGCATACAACGAGAGGCCAAATCCTCGACGGTGGATGAAAAACTGATCATCGATGGTCAGCGCGGGCAGTTGCTCAAAGGGCGCCGCTCCAAAGCCCAGAACGATGCGACCCGCCATGTAGGCGCCCTTGGACTTCGAACTCGCCGCCACAATGTTCGCTACCATACTGATAATAGCCGATGCCAGGTACACCGGACGCCGTCCGAATCGGAGGGCCTACGTTCAAGTTAGCCGTCGAGCTCGTCTTCTCCCCCAGAGGAACCCACGGCGCGCTCACGATTGGGTTGAATACTAAATTCCCCAGTCCCAACAGAAGCAAGGCGACAGCCGCCGCAATATTCAGGTAGTTCACCGTCACCCCCATCTCCTGGATCAGGGGACCATATGTGACCGCGGGCGAGATGGTGGCACCGCCTAGCAGTACGACCCAGAAGCAGACCAGCAGCATGGACGTATACTTCCGCACCCAGCTCCAATTGAGCGGATCATCCGGCGAGGCACTCGGCCGGGGCAGATAAACCAGGTGGGTGGCATTTTCATCCACCAGAAGTCGCGTGCCTGGAATATCCTCCACCACCGTGCTGGTGGTCATGTCTCCCTTTATCGTGAGGGAGTATGAAGTCGCAGGTTTCAACTCTTCCATGCTGACTGCTTGGATATCAGAGGGGGCCCTCCTGGGAGACCAAAGGCGTGTCCGCTTTTTATAGTCATGCTACGGATCGGTTACCTGGAAGACCCCACAGTCTACGGCACATGCCGAGGGGATCGATTGTATGGGGTCCCCAGGTTCTATCCCCCACTGTTCCACTGTTCGGCAGAAGCAGCCATTCCTGAGGTACCGAAGGCGCGAACTCTCGGCGGCGAAGGGAATCGCCCTCGGGAACCGAGCCTCTAAGCTGCTCGAAATACACTATCCGCCAATTGGGGCTGGCGCGCAAAGGAAGCTGGATTTACGACGCTGTTGGAGCGAGTGGGCGTTGATTGGTGATGTGAGCGTCCGATATTAAACGTCTCCTGCCTATTCGAGAAGGTCGACCCTTCCGCCCCCAGACTATATGAGTATAAGCTGCCGACTTTCGATCCCGCTACCACAGGATCTTGATAACTTCATGAGCAACGAGGACGATGACGGCACATTGGAGCGGTACCTGCTGCTCCTCATCGACCATTCCGATCCTGGAAAGTCCAACCTGAACCCCACGGGGAAAGCATGTGGCCAGTCGGGGATCAGTAGCATGGTCGGGACTCAAATCCGGGGAAATCAAGAAATGGGTATATTAAGTCACCTAATTTCCATTTGACTCCCCGTCGAACAACCCCGTCTGCTCCAGACGCTTCTCTTCAGGACAACATGTATCTTCAACGCTTGCTAAGCATCACGACGCTCTCCTGCCTGGCTCTCCAGGGCTCCGTCGCACAGGGAACTGCGCAGACGAGGACCTGTAGACATACCACCGTGGCCATCCTGTAAGCTACGCGGAGTGTCATTTTTCGGGCGCCGTGACTAGAGGCTGATGCGTTCCAGGGGAGGTGGGATGTCGGGAATCATTGCCGCGGTAGGTCCGTCCCATGTTGGGTTTGGTCGGTCCAAGTCTAAACGGTGCAGCAAGCTTTACACAATCAATCCATCTCCGACTTTGTCATCGTGGAATACCAAGGTCGAATCGGCGGGCGGGTGAACCATACGGCTTTCGGACAAAAGGCGGACGGCAACCCTTATGTGGTGGAACTCGGGGCGTACTGGGTACGATGACTATGCGAGTTCTCAATGCATCTGTGTTAACCTTACCGCAGGTGCAAGGCGCCGGTGGCACCAATGGCCCTGGTAAGCATTTCATTTCCGGAGTGAGCGAGAGAGTATGACTGATCGGTCCCCAGTGAACCCCATCTGGACATTGGTGAGATCGCGACATGAAGGAACCAGAAGCAGTCGGGCAGGCTAACTGGACAAAGGCCCAAAAATATAATTTGACCACAGCACTCTCCGATTTCACCTCGGTGCAAACCTATGATCATACCGGCGCCGTGGATTACTCTTATCTATTCGACGAGTACAACGCGGCGTCGGATAAAGTGTCCGAGATCGGCTCCAATATCCTCAAGGACAACCTCCAGGATATGAATATCCGCCAGGCTATGGCCCTGGGAGGATGGAAACCGAAGGTGGACGACATGGCGGCCCAGGCAGTGGACTGGCTGAGAGGCGGTTGGTCGACTTCTCCGATGACTCGTTGCCCCGATCCTGTCACTGACCGTTCTAGACGTGGAAAGTGCCTCCCCGGCGGGGGAGAGCTCCTTCGGCTTCAGTACCTCGGCTGGGGCCTTTACCTTTGGCCAATTTGGGCCTGACAACTTCCTCGTCACTGATCCGCGCGGATACAGTGCCATCATCGAGGGCGAGGCCGCCACGTTCCTGAAGCGGAATGACACCCGCCTGCTTCTCAACACCCAAGTGACTAATATCAGCTACTCGGACACAGGCGTCACTGTCTACAACCGGGATGGCACCTGTATTAAAGCGGACTATGCTCTCTGCACCTTCTCCCTGGGCGTCCTCCAGAACCAGGCGGTGGCTTTCAGCCCCGAGCTCCCGATGTGGAAACGCACGGCGATCCAAAAATTCACCATGGGAACCTACACCAAGATCTTTATGCAATTCAATGAGACCTTCTGGCCGGCAGGCAGCCAGAATCTGCTTTACGCCTCCCCCGACCGCCGAGGTTACTATCCGTCTTTCCAGTCGCTGGATGCCCCCGGCTTCTTAGAAGGCTCGAATATCCTGTTTGTCACCGTCCTGGCGGAGGAGGCGTACCGCGTGGAACGCCTGTCCGATGAGGAGACCCAGGCTGAAATCATGGCGGTTCTGCACCAGATGTTTCCGGGGACCACAATTCCGGAGCCCACGGCGTTCTTTTACCCACGGTGGAACAAGGCGGAGTGGGCGTACGGCAGCTACTCGAATTGGCCACTCGGCACCAGTCTGGAGATGCACCAGAATCTCCGGGCGAATACCTCCCGATTGTGGTTTGCAGGCGAGGCCACCAGCTCCCAGTACTTTGGCTTTCTGCATGGGGCTTGGTTTGAGGGTCGGGAGGCCGGAGCGCAGATTGCGGGCTTGATCCAGGGCCATTGCACCAATGTGACTGGGGAGGAAGAGTGTGGGGGGCGGAAGTACTACGAAACTTTGGTTGGGACTACGCCATCCACTGCGTATACGGTCGAGAACGGATGGCCTGGTGGCTTGCCTTACTAGACGACCCAGTGCGTGTGGTCCCAGAGGGTTACCAGAGGTGTGAGAGCTGATTGCCGAAGCTTGTCTGCTACCAAGTCGCCAGTTAACTGCATACGCTCGTTTTGCATATCCGATTCGGGACTGCAGTGCATGGTGGGTTGGCGATGGCATACCCACGTGTGTCGCGGATGCAAGGTGGTGTCTAGTTAGATTGAGCTGGCACTGTATTGACTCCATTGTTTACCTGATCGAGCCTCGATTCACAGCACTGAGAAATCAAATTGTGTTGATCAAAACGCCCTCTCGACTTTTCCATATTACGCTTTTCCTCTGGGAGTGATTAGCGATTTCCGTTTTTGATGGATCAGCATCTCCATTAACCTTAAAGTATTCTTGCTAAGATCAAGTCTTGATCAGTCGCCACTGGTTGGGAATGTGACAGTAGTCTAGCTGCATGTTCACCTATTTGGTCATTGCCTAAGCACGTTCGCTTTCTACCAATAATTGTATTAGGGAACAGTACGTAACAGCCTCCACCACTACAGTAAGGAGTGTCTGCTTCACGGAAAGATATTCCGTGCAACAAGTCAAAAGGAGGAAAAAGTGACGATGGCATATTCTCTACTAGGTCAATGCGGCGAAAATCAGGGCTTACAACCAGGCCTAAAAGTGGAGAAGACAATGTAGCTTAAGGTATAAAGTATGCCCTAAATTCATAGAAATATCCCCCAAATATTTATACTGGGAGATAACAGGCGCTGTTTCTGTAGTGCTATCAGCCCGATTCTTTTTCACTTTGCCGAAACAATCTCACTCAGGTCCAACCAAAGAGAGGAAAAAAAGCGACAATGGAGAAAGCCCGTTCTCAACCTGTCTCGTTGCGCACCAGTGCCAATCTCGGAATATTCCTTCCAACGGTCCCAGTGTCTGACCTGAGTGCAACCGACACCCCCGCCGACATCCCCGTCGAGTGGCTTCCTTCAGCTCAGGTTTCCGCCGTTACAACGCGCTTGGTCGGATTGGACCTCGCTCTGAATGACCTGGAGGCCAATGCTACTTCCCTTGAGCAGAGTGCCACTGTTATCAGTGCAGAAGCGCGGTCAAGAGGAGCGCCTGAGTTAGCTGAGCAAATTTCTGTCTATACAGAAGCCATCTGTTTCGCAGCTCGGCATCACTCTCAGGAACCAGAATCGCGGTTTTGCGTCGCAATCTTGCTTGCTGGGTGCGCGATGCTGGCAAAAGAGTTGGTTGCTAGATTTGAACAACACCTCCCCAACTCGGACGGACAAGATCCACGGTGCCAGCACTCATGCACCCGTCATGGCGGACAGACCCAAACCTCGTCTGGCAGGTGGTTGCGGCCTTGGGGGAAGGACGTACTCCTCAGTGGCTGGAGTATCTATAGACACTGGCTGACGAATGATGGGGCTCCAGCGTACCTGGAACAGCGCATTGGCGATAGCGCCTCTTTTGTCGAATATCCTGGAACAGATGGTCGGCCAAGCATGCGCCACGATCGTTCTGAAATGTTTATGCGCTACCAGGACCAGGTCAAGACCGGCGGATATACCTTCCACAGCACCCAGTTGCTATTCGGCGACTACAAACACTGCATCGACAACATTGGCTTTCTCCAGTGCAGAAGCAATGGTGCGGACCTTTTCTGCTCTCCGGTCAAGTGGGATCCATTGCACTACTACCAGCTTAACGTCCACGATGGGCTCATTGGCGCTATCTGTTCTGACTACGGCATCACGCTGAGTGACCAACTTTTGGCTAGCCTGATTCTCCTCCGCATTTTGGATGATTATCTGGATGTGCAGCATGACACGCCCAATGGTGAGAGATACAACTTCTTCCGTTTAACGGGCCGCTCCTCTACTGAAGCATTGGCTACCGTGGAGAGTTCTATTCGGTCATTTGTGTTGTGGGCGGCCCAGTCTAGTGGCCCTGCTGCAAGGCTCACGCTCTGTACTGCACTGTGGTACATATGCAATGGCAGGCACGAGTTCGCGGGATACTGCAGCTGTCCTCAGCCAAGACCGCCCTCTGTCGTTGCTCCGATGACACCAACCCAGCTTCTCGAACTGTTAAGGAAGGGTGACTCGACACCCTTCCCTCGCCGGGGTCCTCTTATGGATAAACTGGCCGCCCCTACGCTAGTTGGCGTAAAAGCGAATTCTTTGCAAGATTTGTGGGACAAGTCGTGGGATGATGATAGCTTGCTCCGAGAAACAGCAGTCAGAGGCTGGGTGAGGAGCAACTGCTGGGTTCGTTGTCCTCCTCAAGCTTGCAGTACCTACAACGACCGGGCGGCGTACTAAATCATTCACTTTTGAATGGTTCGAGTGTGTGGTTATATGGCAGAGGCGGGTTGATTCGACAAGGAACATGACTTCAATCAAGATCAGTATATACCTTGTTCACCAGGAATGCACACGATGATTCAACATCATCCTGTAAAACTACTAGATGATATCCGAATGTACTTATATATTCTGCAATTGCTGGTTCATGGGGGCTTTCTGGATTTCTTCGATGACAATATATCGCTATTATACCTTAGCTATCTTTCATAAACGAATACAGTGTTCCTGGCCCGAGCAGATCGAGATTATGGCCAAGTTGAAACGATCGCACATGCTATACTGATAGGCAACCTGCCCATCATTGGCCGAGACCTGTCATATCTCGGGTGATACTTCTCTCACACGAATAGGTAGATAGTGTAGTTAATATCGCTTTTTCAGTACCGACTGTGGTGTGATATCCTGGGATTGAAATCCTGTAGCCAGCTTATTCTGATCACTTGTAGCATAGGGAGGCTGTGCCTCTCTATTACTATGCGTAACTATAATGTTATGTCGGCGATTGCTATGAAAACTTTAGTATTTGTTTACTTGTATATGTACTACATATTGACTGTGGCAGTGCCGGTTTTAGATGAGTATGGCTCACTCACCCCCATGCTCAGTGAGCAACAAGCGAAAACAGAAATGGAAGGATCAACCTGGCTAGACAATAAGTACGTATGCTAGAATATGAGTGCTGACCCGTCCGATGATGAACATCAACACCTTTCCATCCTTCGGAAGATTCTCCCGTCTTGCGCCAGGCAGACGAGGAAGTCCCTTCATAGTCTCTGCAAGAAGCATCCCGGTACAAAGGACATGTTCAACAGAAGCACAAGAAGCGAACACTGACGCCACAACACCAAGAGCCAATCGCACCAGGTACTAGTCTTCTTTAGCCAAGGGCCTAGATGATTTGGGGACTGTTCTGTACTCACCTTAGCACCGCTTCGACATCTTATCATATCCATAACAACAAGCATCAAACTAACGAGCGTCCCCTTCTAACCACTCTACTGACCTGCTCTTGAGAATCTGAGTCGCCCGGATCATAGTCGGGATCGGAGGGATCGGAATCGCGGGTCACGGTGCCTTCGCTGGTCTGTTCCTCCTGGGCATCATCTACCTTGCGTTCAGAGTGAGAAAATCCTGACGCCACATGATCCTGACCAAACGTGTTGGAGACTCTACCAGCCATTGGACCTGTCAACAAATTAGCAACAACAGCCTATAGAGTCACCGTTGACACATACATACCAAGGGCCGCAGCACTAAGACTGTAGAGATTATGGGCACCGCCAAGCAAGGTCTCGATATCACTACCAGAGCCGTCGCCCGTGGAAGCCACTGAACACTTGCGAGACGTCCTGCGGGCTGACGCGAGTGCTCGCCTGGCGTTCCTCCTGGTCTGCGTCGTGGACTCTTTCTTAGCCTTAGCCTTCGCCTTCTTTCCCTTCGCCTTCTCCGACATCACTAGGTCTTCCTGACGTACGGGGCCTGTGTGAAGACGCCCGCCAGCACGATGGGTACGGAAGCAGCCGCGCGCGATGGTGCAAGGGTGACACGACTGCCAGCCGCAGGACATGCAGCGCGACATGCCCTGGCTGTTGCGCTTGTTGCAGAGGTCACATTTTGCCGTGTGGGCTGCGACGTTTTCGAACTCGGTCAGAACCACCTCTCTATCAACGCGGGCGATCAGCTCGTTCTCATTGGGGGTGGGTTTCTCTTTCTCCTTGTTCTGCGCAACGGGCTGAGGCTCGGGCCGTGGGGGACGGCTGGGTGGAGGCATGTCTCCAGCTCTGGGAGGGTGTCTGGCGTATATGGGCCTGGTGAAGCCGATGGGCTGGGGCTCTACAAGTCGCCGCGGGGTGGGAGTGTTCGGCCAGACGGGATGATCGGTGTGTCTGTTGGCGGCGTGTGGTTCACGAGTCGATGATTCTAGCCACTGGTGGAAGGACGCTGTGGATTCGGTCTCCTGGTGATGGGGAGGCTCAAGAGGCGCCGCGTATGAGGGTATCGTCAGTCTCCTGCCTTTTGGGATAGGGTCACCGAACTCCCAGTTGAGCATACGATGGATTGCCTCGCTGGAGAGATTGATGGGAGGAACGCGGTTGTCTGACAAAGGCGCGTTCTCTCTGCGAGCATGGTTCTCCTGGACTGGTCTTGTAGAAAACAATGCACGAGGGTCCTGGCGGTGGTGGCCGCCCACCTGGGGACTTTGTTAGCTACCATCGTTACTCGGAGGAGAGTGAGTGAATGACAAACCAGTTGTGGTAGGTGAATGATGGGATGCATCGGCTGTGGTCTCTGGATGCGCTGTCCATGGTCAGGGTGAAAGAAAGAGCTGTACTGTTGACTGATGCGATCATGTCCGTCAACTCTTGCGCCTGGCCTAGGGGGAACGGCTTCCTGGGGAGAGGAAGGGTTGAGAAGCGCTGCGATATCCATTGTTAGGAAATAGAATGGGCGCAACAACCCTCTGCACTGGGAAGTGAGACCTGAAGGGTAATGCAGAAGGTGAAAGTGGCGAGAATGGGACGAACAGTCTGTTGATGGCGGAGCGTGTGTGGGCGTCGGTGAATGAGAGGTGGTAAGCGAGAAAAGAGCATCTGCAGTATGTCCTGATACAAGTCGAAGTGCTGGTCATCAGAGAGTAGACGGAGGGGATGGGAGAACTGGAAAGAGAGGTGCACCATCCTGTCGCTACTTTTCTCTCCTTTTAAACCTACCAAGCAGGAACATGGGAGCATTATGAATGACATTGAAATGGGAGCCAAAGAAAGGTTTCTTTTGAAAAAGTGTACGATGTCTTTGATGCCATTGTCTCGTTCTATGTCTCTATCAAAGAGCGCGGGCGTAGTTCTACAATGTCAAACTGGATGTCTCTGATGAATGGCCCACCAGGTGAAGACAAGAGGACAAGAAGCTTGAAGGGATCTGTTTTCTCTCCTAGTCCACCAGAAGTAAAAGTCTCAGACTCTACAGTTATGGTAGATGTGATGGAAGATTTGAAAGATGAAATAAAGCAGTGATCAAGACGAAATCTGCGATAATAGTCTACTTTTAACTGTTATGAACTGCCATAATACCATTCCTGACATGTACACCATAGCAAATGTAGAGCTGGAACATCTTTTATCAGTATGTAGAGAGGTTTCATCTTAAGGCATTCCTTCATTGACATTGTATTAACCGATGCAAAGCAAGAAGTCGTCAACTAAACCATCATTCCCAAAATCATAACGTTTTGTCTACTTGTGAGCTATTATACGAAGAAACTGTCAGCCTCATTCTCGATCAACAATCAGTTCAGAGACGAAAACTTACCAATGCCCTCCTCAGGCTGGGGTTGAATGCCAACCACCTCAGCGGCCGTCTTGCTGCCCTCCGCCGTCTTGTCCTCCTTCATGAAGGGGAAGGCCAGGACCTCCTTGATACTGTAGTTGTCGGTGAGGAACATAACCAGACGGTCGATACCCATACCCCAGCCACCGGTGGGAGGCAGACCGTACTCCAAGCTCGTGCAGAAGTTCTCGTCGATGAGCTGGGCCTCGTCGTCACCCTGGTCCTTCTGGCGGGCCTGCTCCTCGAAGCGGAGACGCTGGTCAAAGGGATCATTCAACTCAGTGTAGGCGTTGACAATCTCCTTCTTGCAGACGAAGGCCTCGAAGCGCTCGCACAGACCGACGTCCTTACGGTGGTACTTAGCGAGCGGCGACATCATCTGCGGGTGGCCCGTGATGAACGTGGGGTTGACACAGGTCTCCTCGATGAACTCGCCGACCAGCTTGTCGAGCATGCGGGCGTTGGTCATAGGGGGCGAGCACTCGACGCCGGTCTTCTTCAACACGCGCTTGAGGAACTCGCCGGTCTCGGCGGTGTGCAGCTGGTCGCCCGGTGGGAACTTCTCGCCGGTAGCCTCCTCCAGCGCGGGGATCATCTCCACGCGGCGCCAAGGCGCCTTCCAGTTGACCTGGTACTCCTCGCCGGTCTGCGTGTGGAAGGTGGTCTCGTAGCCGCCGGTGACGTGCTTGACCAGGCCGGATACCAGCTCCTCGGTCAGGTTCATAACATCGTACACGTCCGCGTAGGCCCAGTAGAACTCGCAGGTGGTGAACTCGGGGTTGTGGGTAAGATCGATACCCTCGTTACGGAACTGGCGGCCCAGCTCGTACACACGCTCCAGACCACCGACAATCAGCATCTTGAGGTACAGCTCGGGGGCGACGCGCATGAACAGGTTCATGTCGAGCTCGTTGTGGTGGGTGACGAAGGGCTTGGCGGTAGCACCACCGGCGATAGCGTTCATCATGGGGGTCTCAACCTCAACAAAGTCGCGGTTGTCGAAGAAGTTGCGGATGTAGCGGACGATCTTAGAGCGGGTGATAAAGACGTTGCGCGACCGGTCGTTCATAATCAGATCCAGGTAACGCTGGCGGTAGCGCTGCTCCTTGTCCTGGAGACCGAAGTGCTCGGACGGGATAGCGTGCAGGCAAGGAGCCAGGAGCACAATCTCCGTCGCGAAGATAGACAGTTCACCGTCCGCGCGGTTCTTGGGGCTCGTACGGCCGGGGTAACCGACAATACCGATCACATCACCTCTCCGGAGGTGCTCGTGCTGGGCCTCGAAGGGAACCTCGCTCTTCGAGTTCTGCGCCTGACACACCACCTGCACCTTCGCACCTTCGGCGCGAATGTCGTAGAAGATCAGCTTAGCGCCGGACGCACGCTTGGTGAAGATACGACCGGCGATCTGGACCTGAACGTCGGGCTTCTGTTCGCCCTTGGCAAGACCATCGTACTTCTTGAGATACTCGCGCAGATCGTCGGTAACCTGGAACTTGTGGGGGTAGGGGTCGGGCTGCTTGGTTTCGCGAAGCTTGTTGATTCTCTTGCTGCGGATTTCAAAGTATTGCTGCGAGGGGGTTACAGATTAGCTTTTTGCTCCATTTTTTCGCTCTTCGATCGGTGTTCTCGGAATGACTCACGTTGGGGGTGAGGTTAGCCTCCTCCTCCTCGGCGGAGACCTTCTTCTCAGCCTTGGGAGGAGCATTCGCCTCCTTCTCCTTCTTCTTGGCCTCCTTCTCACGCATCTTCTGACGGCGCTTCAGCTCGGACTTGGAAACCTTCTCGCCGGTGACCTCATCGAGCAGGAGGTTGGCCACACCGGCCTCAGCCTCCTTGACAGCGTTATCAGCCATGGTAGGAACACTCGGGTTGGTCAGAGAACACTATAAAGCGCACTTGGAGGGAAAAAATGGAGGAGACGGAGTTGGTGGGAGGGAGACCGGAGCTTTCAAGAATTTTGGGCGGGAGTCATCGCGGCCCGCCGCTCAGTACTAATTGGGCTACCCCACGACTGGACCAGCATTCCGCCACACCGAGGGCGTCCGATGTCTTACAAGTATGATGACTGCACTGTATGAGTCAGTGCTTTATAAAGAAATGATATCTACATAAATTGTGCCTTCTACAGCGCGGTTCACTCTTCTTGCCCTGCACGAACTGCAAGTCAGGATGTACCCTTTCTCCCGCAGTTGGGGCTTAGGGCTTAGGGCATCTCGGCGGGGTTCTGCTACCCCGCCGTTATCGATTAACAGGAGACTTCACGGCATTGCGATATTCCTGATAATACACCATGACGAAAAAGAAACCAAAGACATTGATACACAGATGTAAATCTCCTAGTGGCCGAAATGTGACATGTAGTCCAATCACTCGACTATCTGCTCAACACAATGTAGGCCTTCGTTGGAGCATCAATCATGGTAGAATCTCGACAAACTGCATCCGCAGTCGAAAAGTCAATCCATAGAGGCAAACGTGCGGAATTTTCATGCTGAAAATCAGTGTTGGCGGTACTACATTCTGCAAAACAGAGAGTCTTCGCTGCCATCCTCCTCTTTCTTGACAGTCGAAAGCCAGTGCTGGGCCTGATCGACCTTCGCTTTCTCGCGAAGAAGGTACTGCCGACGATGTTGGCGTTCCGGGTCTTCAGCCATGAGCTCTTGGCAACGTTCAGATGCTAGATTCATGTCCTGTCAGTCGAGCTCTGGTGGAGGGGGTTTTCGCACATACCATTGTCGTTGAAAATGCCCAGAGTTTTCTCGATCACTGGGATCAGATTTTCACGACATTGGATGAACAGCTTGGTGTGGACTGTCTGGCAGATGGAATCCACGAACCTCGAGCTTGCGACATCGTAGTACCCGCGAGTAGCCTATGACAATCAGCATATTCATCCCACAGAGAAAACAAGGCCTGTGGTCAAAAGCTTACAGCCATCATCTTCAATTCCTGTGCGTACTGATCGGGGCCAAGGATATCTTCAGCATTCTTATCTTCGGTGATCTTCTTGATTTCGGCGTCGCGTCTGGGGTCATCCGGAAGAAACTTCCCCTGCTTGTTCAAATACGACTTGGCTCTTGCGTCACGGCGGCGGTCGAACAAGTATTTATGCGATTCTTTGGTAGCCTGCTCCAGAGCGAGGAGTGCCATGGTGAACGGCTTGTTATGTTCAATTTCGTAGATCTCCCGTGAGTGTCGAACATGTTCTTCTGCAATGGATGAGAGATACTCTTCGATGATCCTTTTGAGTTCCCGGTAAAGACTAGTTTTATAGTAGTCTTGGAAGACATCTTTCAATGACTTTGATAATGTGTTCCGCACCAGGCGATGGGTTGCCTCGAGGAATGTCTCCATTGGTAAATTCCAGTGTTCGACGCTCATCTGCTTCATTATCTCAACCGCCTTGGGATCCGCCTGGTCGGGTATTCCAGCGCGGTATGAGTCCTCATTGATGTCCCTGATCTCCCCCCAGGTAAACATGCGAGCCGGTTTGTTAAACTGCTGAAAATGCTCTGTATAGTATCCCGATGACTCAGTCTTCGCTGGCTTCTGTCTAGCCTCTGGCGAGACTGGAGTTGTCTGAGCCCGACGTCTATCCGATGGCTGGACAGATGGCTTTCGCTTCAAGGTTTGTTGTACGGAGGTCATCTCACAATCTGAGTCCTGGTCTTGGGCAACAGGCCAGTGCATTTCTTCGGTGGTTAATAGTTGAACCGTCGGGCGAGTTTTCACAAGGGCTCGTCGAAAGTCCATAGCCATGTGGGTCCAAAGTTTCAAAAGAGGGTATTGAGATGAGCCTCCGTCAAAGTTTGCACGGATCCTATCTTTCAATTCGTTGAGGCATTTGCACAGGATGTATTGAACGTTGGCTGATGGGGGATCGGGAAGAGTCTTGAGCTCGCTGTCGATGCGTGCGGCCTTCTGGTCAATCTGTTCAATAATGCGTGGCAAGCACTGTTGAATCTGACAAAGGAGAAGATTGGACAGGGCGGCCTGGAGCCGACGGGTGCCAAATCTGGGCTGGTAAGCTGCCAGATCTGTTGTCCAAGGGCTGGTCGCAAAAAAGGCGTCTTCCTCGTCTCTGGCTTTGGCGTGCGGAATGGCAGGGTCGTGGTTGTTGCGGACGACGAAGTATCCGTGTCCGAGTGTGAACTTGTCACCTTCCAGAATTTCAATCCACTGAGCGTACGACTCTCCTCTCTGGATACGATCTGGCTTTGTCAAGACACCCAGCGTTCTCTGCTTTGCACCTTGCACGTCGCGCATGATGCGTGCTGCGCTGGAGTTTGTGGCATCATCTGTCATTGGCAAGGCCAGAAGAACAATGCAGTTCTCTTGAGAAATGTACTCCTTGACAAGGTTCTCGACCAGAGCAACAAGGTACTTTTCCTCGTCAACCTCGGCCTGGCTAATAACACCCGGTAGATCGTAGAACGAGAGGGTTGGAAAGTTGGGGGCAGAGATGTCGATACGAACGACGTTGGGAGAGAACTTGACTTGGCAGGATGTGTCAATGCCCTCGTTCTGTCCTGGGACGTAGTCGGTGCTGGGTCTTCCGGGATTCAGGATTGCGAGTTGTGCCCACATGATAGCATCCTGGATGTCGTCTTTGTCATCGAGGGTTATGAAGAGTTCGTCTTCGGCATCCTGCTCAATCCATGGGCCCAAGGGCTTAGACCTCTTCGGCTTGGGAAGCCTCTGCGACTTATCGAACATGTACTTTCTGGACAGATAGACCTTGCAAGCCCAGGGTTGGTCACTCTCCGTGAGATTGATCTCCATCGGACAACGAGTACAAGTCCCAGAGCTCCGCGGCACCTTGATCTCGGACATGCCTTCAATGAGGGAGCTCTTTCCTGTGCTTTGGTCTCCAATGACGCAGACCTTGGGGAGCGCAATGCTATGGTCTTCGACACCGAGGTGGCGAAGATCTTGGATTTTCTTCACCAGAGTCTTCATGTCTTCGGCGATGGCGCTGATAGCGTCTGGAGTTGGAGGAGACATGTTGACAGACTCCCGTGCAGCTGTTGAAGGGTTAGAAATAATATCCCAACAAAAAGGACGGCAGCTCACTTGTCGTACTATCGCAGGGGGATTGTCTGGACTTGGGGCGCCCTGGGGAGCCCGGTAGACTTTGCATTGAAAGATGGTGTGAGGAAGGTCAAGGCTTGCAGTCAGGAGAAACGACAGTGATAGCCAAACAAAGGCGAAGGGTAGAAGGAGTAAGGGTGAGGTGAGGACTGGAGGGGAGAGGAGTGGTGGAAAAGAAAGTGGGAAAGAGAGGAAAGAAGAGACATTGTGTGGGAGGGGAGGAGGAAGAACTGAATATATAGTGAGGCGAGAAGAAACACAAGTGGATTCATGGAGGCAGTTGAGCGAGTTGTGGTGGTTCAACAGGTGAAGCCAAAGATGCGTAGAAGGCCCAGCCAAATAGAGTGAGGCATATACAGAGGGCTGGCTAGAGAAGGATTTGTTCACAATGCCCGTGGGAGTTGGCATTTCGACGACTTCTTGTCGACTATGTTATACAGAACCTTGTGAAGATTCAAATGCCCCTAACTTGATAGAATTTTTCTGTATATTCCTCCTCTAAAGAGAGACTGGTGGTCCATAGCACCTACAGAAGTAGGCCCTGTCATTCCCAAAGCGGCCAAGGCGGTGAGGCGGACCCATGGATCCTCTTCGGGCTCTCCTGATGATTTCCACTCGCCAACTCCGACTGAAGTTGGAGAACTACAGCTATCGTCCCCATTGACCTCTTCACTATTACACTCTTTGTTGGATTCGTTCTTCCTAGGTACTAGACTTCGACGACTACCTTCACTGCCTCTCCACCCACACCCTATCCTCCAACCCCTCTCCACCTCTCCGTCGCCTCAATGCTCCAAGTTCCAGTGCGGGATCACACCAACGTGTCCTCCACCAAGGCCGTGATCTTGGTAAGTCTCCAGATCTGTCGGGTCCGATTTCTACTGACCGGGTTCTTCTCAGGTGGGTGGTCCCTCCAGAGGTACCCGCTTCAGGCCTCTGTCTCTGGATGTTCCCAAGGTGCGTTTGCCCCTCATTCTCTCCAACTCCTCACCCGTCATCTAACGGTTACTTCTACCGCCACCAGCCTCTCTTTGAAGTCGCCGGTCACCCCATCATCTACCATTGCCTCAAATCGCTCGCCAAGATTGACGATATCCGGGAAGTCATTCTGATCGGCTACTACGACGAATCCGTCTTTCGCGATTTCATCAAAGACTCGTCCAAAGAGTTCCCTCAGTTCCGTGTTCAGTATCTCCGGGAATACACTGCCTTGGGCACAGCAGGAGGTCTCTACCATTTCCGTGATGCCATTCTCAAGGGCAAACCGGAGCGCATCTTTGTGCTGAACGCCGATGTCTGCTGTTCTTTCCCCCTGGGCGAGATGCTGAAGCTGTTTGAAGAGAAGGACGCAGAGGCGGTCATCCTGGGTACTCGGGTCAACAACGACGCCGCGACCAACTTCGGTTGCATTGTGTCTGACTCACACACGAAGCGAGTGCTTCATTACGTCGAGAAGCCCGAGTCGCACATCTCCAATCTCATCAACTGCGGTGTCTACCTCTTCGCCACCGAATGTATCTTCCCCTCCATTCGCAGCACCATCAAGCGTCGCACCACCCGGCCCCGACTGCTCTCCTACCCATCCTCCGAACACCTGGAGACCTCCTTCGTTGCCGCCGATGAAGACTCGGAGCAGAACGAAGTCCTCCGTCTGGAACAGGACATCCTGTCCGATCTGGCCGATAGCAACCGCTTCTTCGTCCACGAAACGAAAGACTTCTGGCGCCAGATCAAGACCGCCGGGTCCGCCGTCCCGGCGAATGCATTGTACCTGCAGAAGGCCTTCCAGGCCCAGTCCGATGAACTGACCCCTCCCTCCGCCACCATTGTACCGCCCGTCTATATTCATCCCTCCGCGAGCGTGGACCCCACCGCGAAGCTGGGCCCCAACGTCTCCATCGGACCCCGCGCGGTCGTCGGGGCAGGTGCCCGCATCAAGGATTCCATCGTGCTGGAAGACGCCGAGATCAAGCATGATGCATGCGTCATGCACTCCATTATCGGGTGGAGCAGCCGCGTGGGCGCCTGGGCCCGTGTGGAGGGCACCCCGATCCCGATGGCCAGCCACTCGACCAGCATTGTCAAGCACGGCATCAAAGTGCAGAGCATCACTATCTTGGGTAAGGAGTGTGCGGTTGGCGATGAGGTCCGCGTACAGAACTGTGTGTGTCTGCCGTACAAGGAGCTGAAGCGGGTAAGTTTCCTAGTTGTCCCATGTCGTCTTAGGCACAATTACTAACCGTCTGCAGGATGTTGCGAACGAAGTCATCATGTAAGATGTTGATTCAATCTCGATATTTGGATTTAGCCGTGCATATTCGCTGTGGTTGCTACATTTCTTATTGTCATTAATATAATACACATCTTACTTGCGTCTGTGTGGCATTTTTCTAATTTATATTTCCAAGAATTTGGCATTTGTATTCCTGAACCTTTTCTACATCTAGATTCCTATCTAAGAGGCTAATGAAATCGCTTGAAACGGCACATCCTATCACGCCCATGGCCTATTGACATTGCAAATCGTAACACATAATTGATACATGCAACAAATCATCGCAGATTGTATTAAAGACAGATTTCAGACACGTCCACGAAGGAAGCCTTGTTTAGCTCACTCCTCACCGATACGCTCCAGGATCATACCGGGTATCCTCACCCGGATGGCCGTACCCGCTGAACCGCACACGCGGCCCATCCCTCTCACTGCGCACCGGCGACACATCCCCGTAGTAGTGCTGGGCCTCACCAGCATGGTGCTGCTCCAGCGGGGCGGCACTCTCATAGCTCGGCGGGGCATATCTCGACTGCCGCTCCGCGGGGTCCGGAATATCGTAGAAATCCTGTTGGGAGGGGTGGCGCTGGTGGGACGGCGCCGCAGCATGGGGGTACAGCGGGGAGCGGGCATCGTCGTCGTAGTCCTCAGGACGGGCGCCGGGGTGGATCGCGTGCGGATGGTCGGCCATCATGTACGCATTTTCGGCGGGAACGGCACCGGACATGATGCTGCTGGAGCGGTCGTGGGTCTTGTAGTCGGGCAGGGCTGCGTTGCTGGACATGGGGTCGTAGCGGCCCAGGCGGGTCTGGCGCTTGTGGACGATGACGTCGAGGGCGATGGCGGCGACGTGGGCGGCGGCGCCGACCACGGTGAAGGAGAAGAGGACCTTGTAGATGCGGCAGACGGCGATGCCGGTGGCGGTGGCCCAGTAGGTGGCGTTGCAGGTGGTGGTGATGGTGTTTGCCATGCTCCAGCTGAGGAGGCCGAGGGAGATCAGCCAGAGGATGAAGAGGATGGAGTTGCAGACGAGGGAGAGGCGCGGCGAGAGCCCGGAGGTGCAGTGGGTGATGGCTGTGAGGATGTAGTTCAGGAGGGAGAGGACGGAGGTGATGAGGAGCGGAGAGGAGGTCAGTATGGCTGAAATTGCATTTTGGTTTTGCGGAAATGCTTACAATGAGGAACGCCCAGGGGAGTTTGTGGCTGTCCTTTGCGAGGTGGTAGATGAAGACGGCCAGGATGATGGCGACGATGAGGGAAGAGAGGAATCCGAGGGCGCGAATGAGATGGAATGGGAGGGCCGGATAGGCCGACGGTTTTACAGATGGTGACCGCATGGTGAGAAGTCTCTGTGCGTTGGGAGGTCAACTCCCAAGCTGTGTGTGCGTGAGTGAGTATATAGCGAGGCGGTTGATAAACAACCGATGCGGTAGATGCGGTAGAGACTGATAAGATCGGCGGATGCCGCTTCCACGTTTCCCTATATCCGGACTTGGAAACCCGGAGGAAGATGAAGAGAAAGATAAAAGGAAAGGAGGAGGTCAAGATGAAGATGATAGAAGAGACACCGTGAGAAGAAAAGCAAGAAAAACACGACAGCCTGAGTAGGCTGAGCAATCTTGGCCGATCTGCACTCCACCGCGGGTGTTGCTAAAGAAAGCCAGCAGAGGATGACGCGCCCCGGGTAACGGGGCGAAGTTTATTCTAATTTAGGAGCGACTTTATTTTCCACCTTCGCCTCCCCATCATCAGATCCACCTCTATCACCATCACCACACTCCACCAATATGGCCTCCATCCTCGCAGGCACCCTCCCCTGTCATGAGGGCGAACGGACGATGCATAGATTGCTTCGTGTCCCGCCAGGAGACAATCCTACCGTTCCCTTCCTCAGCCCAGGCGCCAGTCTTCTACTACGCAAATCCCCATTACTGGCAATCGGTGCCATTGATCGTGATGGGAGACCGTGGTCCACAGTCTGGGGCGGAGAAGTGGGTTTCGCGAGCCCTACGTCCGCGTCCACCGTCGAGGTCAAGACTCCTGTCGACAGCAAATATGACCCTCTGGCGGAGATCTTGTTACATGATGAGGATCAACTCCAATCCGATCAACCACAAGGCTTCGGGTCGCTTCTCTCCGGGCTGGTGATCGACCTCGAAACCCGACGAAGAGCAAAGCTCTATGGTCAAAAACTCTCGGGCTCCCTTGCGGAGAACGATGCTGGCGGAATCGCTCACTTAGTAGTGCATATTGATGCCAGCCTAGGTGAGCATCAGACAACGCACTAACTAACTTTCAAACTCATCAACTCAGGAAACTGCCCAAAATATCTCAACATCAAGCACATTCTTCCAGCAAAGCCGGAGCCCAGGCTGATATCAGACTCCGCTCAACTCCCAGACGAGGCCGTCGGGTTGATCAGCCGTGCAGATTGTCTCTTTGTCTCCTCACGACGAGATACAGTGGACATGGACACTAACATTCGCGGTGGGCCTCCTGGCTTTGTCCGTATCGTATCCAATGATCCCAGCGGCGCCGTGTTCGTCTACCCAGAATACTCCGGGAACCGATTGTACCAGACGCTGGGTAACCTGCAAATCACCCCATTAGCTGGGTACGTCTTCCCCGACTTTGAGAACGGAGATGCACTCTACATTACTGGGCAGACGGAAGTGCTCATTGGAAAGGATGCGGCTGTAATACTGCCGCGATCCAATCTTGCTGTCAAAGTGACCGTCACGGTTGCACGCTACGTGGAGAAGGCTTTGTCGTTTCGCGGCATCCCAGGAGCACCATCGCCTTACAATCCCCCCGTGCGATACCTGACGACAGAAAAGCCCAACCTCGCCATTCTGAAAAATGACAGTTCGGTCACCGCGACCATGATCAAAAAGGAGATACTTACTCCGACCATTGCACGGTTCCGCTTTCGCATATCCGATCCTGCAGCCATCGGGACCTGGATGCCCGGACAATATGCGACTTTCTCCTTCCAGGAAGAACTGGACATGGGATATCAACACATGCAGGATGACGACCCATCGAGCCTGAACGATGACTACGTTAGAACATTCACCATCACATCTCATCCAGCAAAGGGCCTTTCTGCAGCAGAATTCGAAATTACAGTCCGTAGAAAAGGAAACGTGACGAACCATCTCTTTAGGACCTACGAGGGAGCCGGTCTGGAGGTCCCTCTGAAAGGATTCGGGGGCGACTTTCGATTGGAGATGCAAGGAGATCAGGCTATGCTCCCCTTCGTAGCGGCAGGGATTGGCATCACACCGCTTATCGCGCAGCTTTCAGACCTCGATACTGACCGACTGCGACTTTTTTGGACTATCTCGGTCCGGGACATCGGTCTCGTCTGGGACATATTCCAGCAATTCCCGCGCTTGCCCCAGTCTACGACGCTGTTCGTTACGGGGCCCCGCCCTGAGGAACAGGAGACTATTCAAAAGCTAGATACGGTCGCCTCATCCGGGGCCAGAATCCAACACCGTAGGATGGAGTCCAGTGATCTCGACCTGTCGTTGGGGGACGTCTGGTACTTCTGTGGGAGTCCGGCTTTGAAAGCCCCAGTGCTGAACTGGTTGACTGGGAAGAGCGTAGTCTACGAGGATTTCAATTATTAATTAAGTAGGATTATCTGCATAGTACGTATGATAGTGGAAATCTATGGAATTTGTATCTCAGTCAATGAACCAAAGCAACGCGTCAAATGGCTGCCTCCGCATCAGCCCAGCCCAGCTCCACTCCACTCCACTCCAAATCCGACAATCTCCAACTTCCCTCTCGTCCCTCAATTGATTTCTCCCTTTCCTAAACACGACATAAACAGCCTGCCACCTACGAAAGGAGAGTACAGGAGAGCACAAGATTCTGCAGCGACGCACGCTGTACGACTCAACGTACAAAAACCCCGCGCCGCCACCGCCATCACGAACCCTCCCACCTCCAAGCAACGACCGCGCACACAGCAAGATGTCCACCTACGAAGGTATCCCATTCCACCACGGAACCCCCAAATAAGTGCAATCGACACTAACCACCCTCTCTCTCAGTCGAACACAACACCACCGACCCCTCAACAGCGCAGACCAACCAACGCCGCCGCCGCCCCGACCTCTCCACCTTCTTCGCCACGCTCTCCGAAATCAGCCCCGATGAAGCTCGCTCGCGGCCGCACGCCGTGCCCGTGCCCCGCGACATCAGCGCCGCCTTCTACACCCTCGCCGAGGCGCTGGACGTGATGCGCCGCGAGGCCGGGTCGGCCCCCGACAGCACGACGACCGCCGGGAGCGACGAGTCAGACCTGTTGACGCAGATGATCCAGACGCTGCTCGCGGAGGCTGAGACGCCGCCGCGGGAGGTTGAGGGCGTCAGCGAGGAGTTCTGCGACGGTATGTAGTAGGCATTTTTGTCTTATCTCCGGGGGGGGAGTCTGTTAGTGCAGCCCGATGCTAATGAGCCTGGGCTAGTTCTCGATCGAGTCCCGCGCGCCGCGCTGAAACCAGACCAGTCCTGTCCGATATGTAATAACCCGTTTCTGGAGGATAAGTACCCGCTCGTCGTGCGGTTGCCCTGCCATCCGACTCATCTGTTCGATCTGGAGTGCGTGCGGCCCTGGCTTCGTCTGCGGGGAACGTGTCCGCTTGACCGGACGGATTTTGCGAAGCAGGAGCGGGAGAAGGCTGAGGCGCGGAGGAAGAAGCCTGTTGAGGATGATGAGGAGGAGTGGGACGGGATGTATGGTTAGGTAATGTGTTCGTTCGATTTTACGGATGAGATGTTGCATGGCATGATTCAGAGTAGCTGGGGTATGGCTTGATTCGTATGTTTCGTGTCTATGGAGCTATTTACTTCGTAAATTGAATGACTGTACGCTCTTAAGAGCTGCGTGGTGCAAGTTAATATGTTGAGAGTCTACCGCTTCTCGGCGGTGTTCTCCTTCGGGCGGATGGCCAGTTTGCCAGTCTTGTCAATCACCGCTTCGAATCCGCTCTTCTCCAGCAATCCTCCGTCGTCCTTGACCACCTCCCGCGCTTCCAGGTCTTCCACGAGTTTCTGGTTCTCCTGGTTGCCCTCGAGAAGGAACTTCAGGCACATCACAGCGTGCTCTTTGATGTACGGGTTGTGCGCGTCGAAACTAGTGCAGGACAGAATAGTCTCAACACCGCCGTAACGACGAATCTGGTCCTGGACCTCTGGGCACTTCCAGACTAGGGACGAGAGGACAAGGACGACGAGTTTCTTCAAATTGCGCCACTCGAACTCAGAAGGATCCTCTGTGATCGGAGGCGACTCGGCTCTGGATCCGGGGCCCGCGTCGACTGGGTCAGGATCACTTGGGTCGTACGGCCGTTCCACAGCGACGGGTCCAGGAGCAGCGTCTTGTGCGTGATCTTTGGCGGGGCTGTTTCGGCCCAGAGACAAGGAGCTCAGTTGACCCTTGGGAATGCTGGCTTCCAGTTCCTTGATCAAGGTCACTAAATCATACACAATCTCCCACTTGACCAATAGGTTCTTCCAATCGTTGTTCTCGGTGAGCACGGCAAAGAATTCCAGGAACTGATACACGCCCTCGTACACCCGCTCCATATCCCACAGATTGAGTGGGAAGTCTTCAGGGAGCGCTCGTCCAGCCCGAATCTGGCCTTGGAGATAGATCAAGGCGCAAGTCTCCGGAATGATGTTGCCGCGGAAGATCGTGAAGATGTAGCGGACTGTGAGAATATCGACACGAGACAACGGCGCAGGGTTCTTGCCGGATTGAGCACCGCCCACAACCGACGCAGGGGAATATTTGGCTCTGAAAATGTGCGTGAGGATCTTGACGACAACTGCCTGCGCTGGGGAGATAATGTCCTTCGGTTGACCGAAATCAGAATAGGCGTGGGACATGAGACCGTTTCTCAGCACTGCATCCATAATCTGCACCATCATCTTGAAGTACAACTCGTCATCGGGGAGATCCCATGCAGCAATGAAGATCAAGAGCTCTCGGAGGAGGTTCCGTCCGGTCTCCTGGTTGAGCAAGATGTGGCATCGGAGAGCTTGCATGTTCTTAGACCCAGACCTCTCACCACCTTTGAGCCCGAAACTATCCACAATACCGGCCTGGATGATCATTGGGAGAGCCTCAATCTCCGCAGGGCCTAGCACGAGAGGAATATCTGTCAGTAAGCCACGCTGTTGGTCACCCGGACGGCCACGGTAATCATCATCCTCGTCCTCGTCCTCTTCCTCTTCTTCCTCGATACTCCCATCAGCAACAGCCTCCAGACTGCGCGAGTCGTCATCGCCAACCGTGCCCGCGTCACCGGTATCATAGTCCTGGTCGCCGTCTCCCATCTGGGATGACTCCTGCAACCGAGCCATCAGTTCATCCTTCGCTTCCTGGAGGGTTTCTGCAGCGGTCTGCGCGGAGCGTGGCATGCTGGTATCCTCTTCCAATACGGCTGCGTCGCCTGCCGCAAGCGCGCTGTACTCGTTCAGATCGGGCAGATCAGACCAACAGATTCGTGGGAATCCAGTGGTGGCGCTGCGATCGATTGAGATAATCGCTTTCCTGCGCGGGGGTTCATCTTCCGGAAGAGCGGGTGGTAAATCCTTCGCACGGTCTTGCAGGTCAGACCATCCATCCACCTTCGCCCCAAGGATCGCAGTAAGAGCAGCGCGGATCTCCTTGACCTGCTCGGGATCCTTGCCCATTTCTTGGATTGCTGTCAGGTCACGACCAAGTAGCTTTTCCATGTGGTCTTTGATATTGGCCAAGAGCAGCATCGCCGCTTCCTCCTTTATCGTTGCAGGTTCTCGTGGGAAGTTAGAGATAGTCTCTAGAAGCAGATCCTCTGCAGTCTGGTCGTAAAGCGCTCTGATCGGAGGGTTGACGATCCTGTCACCCGTTTTCACCACAGGTGCGGCTCCCTCGGGTTGACTGTTGGCGGGGTCGAGAGGGTCCTTTGGCTGTAAAATGTTCGACTCGCCGGTGGAATGGTAGCCAAAGAGATCCAACCAGAGCACCATCTTTCGCTGTTCATTATGCATGATGAAGTTGTGCAAGAACTGGAGACATGTGATCAAGAGTCGCTTGTAGAGATTGACCACTTTCTGCCAGCGCTCTTCGTTCCGTGCATTTGTTTCTCCGTCGAATCCCCGTGCCGTGACCCTCACGCAGGTGTCCACCAGAGCCAAAATGCGTTGGTCGAAGCCCTTCTCAGCGGCCATATTCTGCGCCTTCTTCGTCGTCGCGAGGAGGTTTCGTGCGATGGTGCATAGATCATTCAAGCGCTCGATATCTTTGACGAGTGAGAAATAGTTATAAGCGATCAGGTTCGAGGAGGAGTGGTCGTAATTCGCAGCCGGAGGGCACTTCCAGGCAAATGACTGAGACTCTAGGACAGGAATTGCCTTCGTCAAAACATCCGTAAATCCTTGCCAAATATCCGGTGAAAGGCCTAGGTTATGTCTTTGATATACGTCAGCGTACGAGTTCTCATGAGACGAGGGAAAGCACGATGGGAACGACTCTACCTCACATCACTTTCCTGGTGCGTCTTGTACAGAATCTGCTTCCCCGCAGACAGCATATGCTCCAAGCGTTTATCGTCGATCATTCCACGGGTCTCATAGTGGCTCAAAGTTCCTGTTAAGATAACCTTAAGCATGAGCTCCGCGGGGGTGCACTTTGGCTTCGTATCCGAGGCTGGTCGGTCCGCCATGTTGGTCGTACTTGCAGGAGCCCTGCCAGTCTCGAATTTGGAGGGCTTGGGCGAAGCTGTAGATTCGAAAAAGAAGGCAAGTTTTGCGGGGAGTAACTTTTGCGCTGAAGGGTTATCCGGGAAATCTTCCGGTCCGAAGGCGGTGACTAAGATTACCATATTTGGTAGTACGACTACAACAGCAACTTGCACTCACGAAATCCATATGATCAATGGAGTTATTGATGATATTTACACGTGTGAGAGTGCTGTATCCCAGCCTAGTCATGCGCTAACTTTCGGCTGATAGGCCAGCCGAAAGCATGGCGTAAATTGTTCCAGAACCCGAGATCGTAGATATTGTCGACCTCGCTGATATTGCGCACGCGGATCCATCGCGGGTCGATGGCGGCATCGGGCTTCCTCGGCTGGTATATTTCGTTGGAGTTGGGGCGGAGCTTGCATCCTTCTCTAGGAGGCTCACCGTCCGTAAGCACGAGGACCTGGTCGCTGCTCACCGGCCAGGACTGCGGCTTTCGGTACTCGCCCACCAAAGGAGAGCTACCATAGATCTCGGCTTTGGTAGACCTGAACACAAGTCCGTCGTCAATATCTTCCTTCCAGTCTGACCACTTTGCACTCTCATTAGTCGTTGTACCGGCCCAGATGAGGTAGATGTGGTACACCAGAAAGGCCAGTGCCAGAGGGGTTGTCAAGAACATCAACAATGAAACAGCGCCGACTCGGATATCGAGTGATATCACATATGACCAGACATTGAAAAATGTGATCCAACTCTGTTTCGACGTCCGCAATGGTGAGCGTGCCGGCACTAAACTCTCCCATGTTTGGCACAATAGGGAGTAGCCCAGCAATGAGCCGTATATGAGCATGACGCAGAGCGAGAAGATCAATGAAAGGAAATACTGGTAGTTATTGGCTCCAACGCAGTTTGTCAGCCAGGCGCAGTGGTGGTCATGTCGAGAAACGCATGCTTTACAGAAACTGCAGTGCTTGCTTCGAGCCGGCTTGATAAAGTGACAGGTTCGACACTGATGTCCGGGATGGAAGATGACATGATCATAAGGATATCGCTCCAATTCTTCTGCGTGATTCTTTGGTGTGATAAAAGGCTTGGTGACAACAGACAGATAGAGTAGAATGTATGGTGCGATCGCAACAACAGGCACACACAGTCGGTGGGTCAAAGATAGCCTAGCCCATGCACTAGGGATGAATGCGCATTCGCCTGCCACTAACAGGGAGGCAAAGAAGATCTGGGATCAGTTAGCAAGTGTAACAGGTTGGGTCGAATGTGCACGGCAATCTGACCAGGATAAGGGGATGGTTCTCATGCAACAAATAATTCCCAGATCGAGACCAACAGGCAGTGATTCGACCACCCAGGATGTAGGAATCAATCGAGACAATGCCATTTGGGAGGTAGATACATATGGCCCTGTGGAGGAAACCAATTGGGGTTTTTCTATGTCATCTGTCAGGCACGCTCATAATCAAATCTGGTCTCTATCTCAAACATACCGAAATGCAGGTAGTCTTCCGAACAAGGCGATGAAGACAAATGCAGAAATTCCCAAAATCACACACGCAACAGTCTTTAGGAGGCCCATATTGCTGTAGGGCAATTCCGTTGCGTTGGACGGTTAAGGTCCACAGGAAGAAACAGTCGCAGAAATATATAGCCGTGGTACGGATTACAGAGGACAGTTCCAGTGACTTGGATCATCACCAGACTGCGGACTGCGCGAAATATCCACTCACAAGTGCATTTCCTGCGATGGCACTAGAAGAGACAAAAGTTGTGCCCTGGTGAGGGTAATTAACTGAGCCGAGAGCAATGGAGAGGTGATGATTATGCACGTGATCAGGCTAGGCATAGTCCAGCTTAGCATGCTAGGAGGAACCTGATCTTGTTATTCTTGTATCTAAAACTCGTTTACAATGGTCTCAATGATATGGGCTCCTTGTTCTATGTGGATGTATAGCATATCTTCAACTATTCTTGAGCTACTGTCATGGTTGTTGTGATGGGAGGCGTTGCTTCTTATCAGGAATTACTCACGTGACATAGCTCATTTAGACTTGCTACCAGAACACGTGATTACGCGTTTCTACAGCAAGTGCAATTAGTCTCAAAGTCACCCGCCAGGTACCGTCGATTCGACATCTGCATCACTCAATGTGGTCTGCGGGATGAGTAACGAGCTTAGTGGCAACACAGGCGCAGGCTCCCTGTTCGAAGGGAGGCAGTTCTGGCTGTCTCAGAATGTCCCCCAGAGGACAAGGTTCAAAGAATTAATTCAGGTATGTCGCGCGATTGAACGAAAGAACGCTGGGCTAATGTGCCCAGAAACACGGAGGCATTATAAGATTGCAGGAAAAGGATGCAGATATTAAGCTGGTTGACCATACGAGGAAAAATCTGCCACCTGACACGTAAGAGTATCCTGTGTCATCTGTTCTGATCGACGCGCAGTCACTTACTCGGGTCAGATACTCCTATCGCTTTGTTGAGAACTCCATCCGCCATGGTAGGCTGGAAAACCTAGAACTCTACAGAGCTGGGCCATCTCCCTCCCGACCAGTGGGAGCAACAAACATCCCAACAAGGGGACATAAAGTGCAATACACCCTGGAAGACGATCAGGCACTATGGGACTGGATGCAACCCTATGAAAGAAACCCTAAAGCCCCTATAAGGGGTAACAAGATCTACGAGGATTTCGCTGCTCAGGTATTGTGCCACAAGCTCTACTGCCCCGATATTCGGTCGCCTTGTCTTACCATCTCTCATACAGAACCCCAGACATACATACCAGTCATATCGCGATCGGTATTTGAAGAGGCTCCGCGGACGCCCGCGACCAGGGGGAATGCCACCACCCTCAGAAGCGCCTCCTGAAAGAACCGAAAGAAGAACAGCACGCACTTCAGTATCAGAAGCGAGAGAGCAACAGCCGCCTAGCGGTTCAGCTGACCGTAAAAGGAAACAGCCTGCCGATAGCGGTAACCTTCAATCTACCGGGGTGGAAACTCCTATGCACAAGAGAAGGATGATAGAGAGCACTCCTAAGAGCACAACATCTTCAAAGCCACGCCCTTCGGGGTCACCTGTCGCAACAACATCGGTGGCTTCAACATCCAAAACACCATCGTCCACAAATGCAAACACGAAGAGTACAAAGCATGAGGAACCACTGAGTGAACCAATCTCCTTGAAGGACGGAGACGCGACTGTCGACAGTTTCCTTCTGGAATTACCTTTCTTACCATCCAGCCCGGAGCCCGAATCGGGAGATGTTGACACATGGGTGGACGACTGTCTTCGAACAGGCAAAGCACCCTTGGACACAATCGTTGATGCTCTGCGCTGCACTACTATGGATCCGCGACTAGCAGACAAAGTGCTAGGACACTTGCGTGCCGGCAAGGGCATTCCAGATGACATTCCCGGTGTATGGACCCATGAGGATGACAAATGCCTGGAAGCAAAAGACGGCAGAATGATTGACAAGCTCATAAAGAAGCATGGCAACAAGAACTTTGACGATAGGTGGGCATACCTTCGACAAGCACGAGAGCAAGGATTTGAGAAGCACACTGATGATTAACCTCGTTTCAATATACCCCTTTACCACGTATGGAGTGCACAAACAAATGTCGCGGAGACTATTTAAGATCACATGAGATGTAGAGTTGTTGTAAGCCCAGAAATTGCCATTCACAGTAGGAAACGACAAGATGTAAATAAATGTAGGTGGCATGAACAGGCGAGTCCGGCTCTGGCGAGCCCCCCCGTCATAGACAGCATAGATACCGAAGGGCCCGAGGCCCTGCACATTACCCAAAGAGATTATCTTACACAATCAAAGGATAAACCACCGCTTGACAACCCCGGTGAAACACCCGTTATGCGTTGCGGTCCTCCAACTCCTTCTAGCAGGATTGCTTGTTAAACCCAGAAAAAAGATGCGACAAAAGGGTAATAGAAAGAACGAGGAAGTAGATAGAAAAGGCAAATCAAGCCAATTTATTCATAAAAAGCCGACACTGCTTGTGGCTTCAATTCAACCTTCCTTAAAGACCCTGAAAAATGGTTAGTAGCTGCGCAAAATAGGCCCTATCGCAGGGGATCACCTACAAGTGTTTCTCATAAAATTCGAGCATCTACGCTAACGTTAGTCCCGAAAGAGATATTCAGAACGGATATAAATAACTTGCCTTCCTCGGACATTTGTCGTAGCAGGTGGAGATAGAAACCTTCGATTTCTTGCCATTCGTCCAGTGTAGGTATGCGATTAATGATTGGGTTTCCGGGTCGCGAATTATGGTGTCAACGCCCACAACATAACTTTCCCAGTCCTTGACCTTCTTGGGGACCCAGTCCGGGACGTCATCTTGGGATGCGACTGTTCCAGCTGTGGAGGCGGTATCGGTAGCGGAGGGCTGGGACTTTCGTCGTCTCTTGGGTTCGGCTGAGTCTGGTTTTTGCTTCGCAGCGCCCATCGATTTGCGCTTGCGGCCTTTCGTCTTCTCTGGCCGGCCTCCCTGCAATTTGTAGTAGTCTTCAACAAGTTCCTTTGCGCCCTCCCTAACAGTGGAGGTTAGCAGGGACTTCCGACAAGCTCCGGGGTGGGTAAGAGATTGTCGTACAGTAGGTTCTCTTCTGGTTCCATCGTCATATCCGCAGGATCATCGTATCCCTTCCACTTGACCTGAAGCAGAAGTTTGCCCTGTCACACAATTAGCGAAGGTCTCGATATACCGATTGATCACGGTGTTGCGCAAAAGCGAGCGTACATTCTTAGCGAACTCATGGCCGACAATCTTTTCAACAACGTAACTGTTTATGTTAGGATAAGAGCATAATTGCCATTGCGCATCATTGAACTCACACTCCTTCGTCTTCGTCCTCATCCTCATCCTTGACGCTGCCCTGATCGTCCTCGTTGCCCTTCTCTAGATTCTGTTGCTCTTCTGCATCGTTGTAGGGAATCGACGATCCCGTCGACTCATCATCCGAAGCTTCTCCCAGCGGCGCTATGCGACAGTTAGCTTGGTGTGGTGTGGGCGGTGAGCGCGACAAGAGCTAAGGTGGATGACTTACGAGGCATTGGTCTGCGAGGGGAGACGAAATTGAACAGACGAGAAAGCAACTTGACGGTATTTCTTTTGGAAACTATGGCTAAGCGTAGGTCGGATTAGTCATATAGCATAGGGATCGTGATGAAGTCAGCGATTGAGCCGGATGCGAAGCAGGTTGCAGACGAAGAGCGATGCCTCTGGGGATTGTAAAATGCCTCCGAGTCGCGCAGGCGCGTGCTTTGCGATAACACGCTATACCCCATTAGGCAACCAGCTCACTAGCCCCTTTTGGGACATCTCCAGAATTTCTAAAAAGGGCCCCGTGCGGTGTAAAAGAACATCATCGGCTGCTTCCAGCTCCTCCAACTCCCCAACTCTGCTTTGTGTGTCATTCCTAGGAGGCTGTCCGTCCTTCTTTCTTCTCTTTTTTCTTTCCGCCGTTTGATCTAAGTCTCCTGCCGTGTGGCAGAACCGTCATCATGGCGATGCGTATGTCCCAGATGCCCCTCATATCCGGTCCCCCACTGACACTTCTTTTCTCGTCTTGCAGAGCTTGATTTGTCTCAAGGTACATTTATTTCATGATCCAATGGCTCGTTATATCTCGATCTTCTCCGCTGACACCCCGAATAGCTTCTGTGATGAAGGATGAGCAGGGCCGCCCGTTCATCGTTGTCCGAGAGTACGTCGCGATCCCAACACTCATACAATCGGTAGACACTGCCTAGGACTTGCGGCTGATATGCTTTACTCAACAGCCAGGGAAAGAAGAAGCGGATGCATGGTAATGATGCGGTGAAGGCTCACATCGTTGCGGCTAAGACTGTCGCCAACATCGTCAAGACCTCCCTCGTATGTCCTGGCTGTCGGAGATGGCATTTTTGAGTAAGGTCTAATCAATGAGCAGGGTCCTCGCGGTCTCGACAAGATTTTGATCTCTCCCGACGGTGATATTACTGTGACCAATGACGGCGCGACTATCCTCGGTCAGGTTCGTCTTTCGCTTTTTTACAACCGCATCCACCTGGACGATCGCTAATCGGACGGTCTCAAAGATGGAAATCACAAACAATGTCGCCAAACTTCTGGTCGAGCTGTCCAAGTCACAGGATGAGGAAATTGGTGATGGAACAACTGGTGTTGTCGTCCTGGCGGCGGCCATGCTGGAGCAAGCGTCGGAGCTCATCGATAAGGGCATTCACCCCATCCGGATTGCCGATGGCTACGACCAAGCCTGCGAAATCGCCGTTGCAGAACTCGACAAGATCAGTGACGAGATCCCCTTCAGCAAGGACGACACTTCGAATCTGTTGAAGGTTGCCAAGACTAGCTTGGGTAGCAAGATGTAAATCCGGCAGATGGTTACCCCTGACTTGATAGCATCATGCTGACTACCTTGCAGTGTTTCCAAGTCCCACGATCAGTTCGCGAAGATCGCCGTCGATGCTGTCCTCTCGGTCGCCGATCTCGAGCGCAAGGATGTGGATTTCGAATTGATCAAGGTCGATGGAAAGGTTGGAGGTGCCCTTGAGGACTCTCTTCTGGTTAAGGGTGTTATTGTCGACAAGGACTTCTCTCACCCTCAGATGCCGGATGAGGTCACCGATGCCAAACTGGCCATCCTGACCTGTCCGTTCGAACCTCCCAAGCCCAAGACGAAGCACAAGCTCGACATCACGTCAGTCGACGAATTCAAGAAACTGCAAGACTATGAGAAGGAAAAGTTCACTGAGATGATTCAACACTTGAAAGACTCGGGCGCCAACTTGGTCATTTGCCAATGGGGTTTCGATGACGAGGCCAACCATCTCCTTCTCCAGAACCAGCTCCCTGCTGTCCGGTGGGTTGGTGGCCCTGAGATCGAACTGATTGCTATCGCTACGAATGGTCGGATCGTCCCTCGCTTCGAGGATCTGAGCTCAGACAAGCTGGGAACGGCCGGCCGTGTGCGCGAGATGACCTTCGGTACTACCCGCGAGAAGATGCTGGTCATTGAAGAGTGTGCCAACAGCCGCGCTGTGACGATATTCGTGCGAGGAAGCAACAAGATGGTGTGTTCACCCGAACGTGACTGGAAGGAACTAGTGTACTCATGTCTTATTTAGATCATTGACGAAGCCAAGCGCTCTCTGCACGACGCGCTTTGTGTTGTTCGCAACCTTGTGCGCGACAACCGCGTTGTGTATGGTGGTGGTGCTGCTGAAATTGCCTGCTCTCTTGCTGTTGAAGATGCGGCCGTCAAGGTATGGAACATGCCTGGACACGTTTTATCCGGAATACTAACAACATCCTACAGAGTCCCGGTATCGAACAATACGCCATGCGTGCCTTTGCCGATGCCCTGGATGCCGTGCCGTTGGCACTGGCTGAGAACTCTGGATTGAGTCCCATCGAGACGCTTGCAGCCATCAAGTCGCGCCAGGTCAAGGAGAACAACTCTCGTCTGGGAGTCGACTGCATGCTGACCGGCAACAATGGTATGTGGCGGTATTCATAACCTAAGATCTAGACTGACGATTTCTGCTCCAGACATGAAAGCGCACTTTGCCATTGATCCTCTGATTGGAAAGCGGCAGCAACTCCTCCTGGCCACCCAGCTTTGCCGCATGGTGTTGAAGGCAAGTTCATCGAGACCTTACTTGGAATGGCGGGACTAACATCAGATAACAGATCAACAACGTCATCATCTCCGGTGACGAGGACCAGGAGTTCTAAGCTTCTTGTATACAGTATTTTGATGGCCAAAATTGACTCCATTGTTGCAGTCATTGATACAATATACAGTTATGTGATGGGTGATTAATGGTGTCTATTAAAATGTGCGCGGTCTATAGACAGTTGCAATGAAAGAAATGAACATGAGCTACTATGACTTGGAGATGTACGTGCCAGGAACGTCGTCGTCTACTTCGTACAACTCGCATCACACTCCGGAGGATATCGCGTAGACCTGTGTCTTGTCTTTTTCCCCCGTCCATCCCTCAGCCCTGAATCCACGAAACCCGGCAAATGCACCCGGTACATGCAACCCGTGTCAGGGTATACTACAGGTACATTATACCATGGAGCGAGTGCAACCCCTCAAGGCCACACAGCCACAAGTTTCAACCTAAATCCGCCGCAACCTCCACCAAATAAGCCAAGAGACCAACCCCCCGGTCAGCCATCGACCTGTCGTGAAAGGCACGGGGGATTATCGTATTACGCTGTACTCCGTAGGCTCCAGTGAAGACACGATAGACGAGGCCAGTCATCCGATCAACACCCCCAACGCGATGACACCTTTAGTCGATGCAGCCAGTCCCAGGGCACCGGGCGCGTTGGGCCAGTCGGCCGATCGGCGCTCTAAGCTGTTCTGGTCGCTAGTTCTGCTCATTTGGGGGCGTCTTTGACATTCCAGGTCAACTGACAGGGGGTGGAGATTAGGTACTATAGGCAGGGTAAGGTACTATCTAACTAGGACTTGTCCCGGCCGGGAAGACGCCCGTCAAGCCGAGGCGTTTTCGATCGGGACTTCCGTGCTCCATGGAGATAGCACCTTGCGATGGGAGCGTTTTTGCTTTTCCTGGGGGACCACATGAGAGTACTGATTACGAGGAGGGAACGGGGCGGGCCGGAGACAGGACATCTCTCGTGTCTTGCTCGGAAGTTAAGAGTCATGCCTCTGGCCTATTGATCCTGTCATCGGAGATGATGGGCGCACAGGAAGAAGTAAACTGCGCAGTCTGGCTGCTTCCAGGGCTGGGTTCAGGGGCAACATGGCTGCCACATCCCATCACATGAGCGTATCGGGTCAGATTGTCTCGGCACGTCGATTTAGAATCTGACATCTGAGGCGAGAGACACGGGAGCAAGGCGGACAGCTCATCGTGGGTTTCAGCTCGGAATGTAGCTCGACTAGTAGCTGATGGGGCGATGCTGATCCCATCGTGAGGCTGCATTCTGTGTGGAGTTGGCGATCCCTATTTCCATCGAACGCCATGTGACGATAAAAGATAAGGAGATCGAAAGAGCTAAGAAAGACGGGGACGGAACATGCTGGGCGAAGACTATAGTAGCTTGTCCATCGTGACAGCCTGACAGGTGATGGCCCTGTGCCGTCGCCTCGGTATGGGCGGGCGTCAGTCGATCAGCGGCGTTCATGCGAGAGGAGCACCGGGGGCGGAGGGCGGAGTTGACAGCTCAACACGACGTCCGTCGGATGAATCAGTTGAAGCCAAAGAGGCGCGAGTGGGTGCCAGCAGAGAGCTAACTACGGAGTATGTACTCCGTGGGTACGTAGTTATCGGGTGTACGGAGTAGCCTGTGTTGACACTTAGGGCTTCGCAATAGCGCCCAAGTCGACGATCAATCACAGATAGCGGATATTGTTTCCCGACAGAGCCCCGTGCTGAAATGATCCATCGAGTCAAGGGGAAAGCGAGAAAGTGATCATGAGTGGACGAAAAACATACGACAAGATAAGAATAGCACGGCGGTAAGCAAAAAGACCAGATGACCGCATGTTGGCTGATGCTCCTTTTTCCTCCATGTGGAACGCGGGATGTAAAGCATCTATCGTTGGTGTTTCTTTTCTCCAGCTTTCTACCCGCTCCTTATCACATGGCCGCAGCGGCATTGACGTGGCTCGACTTTGTTCGCAGCGCGGGACATACAGAGAAATTCTTCACCTTCTCGTGACAAGCATGTACCGGTACATCCGGGCGTCAAACGATGCGGTTTGCAGGCGTTGTTGGGCAATCATCTGGTGGTAGATGGTCCTGGGGGTTCTTCGCTGTCTGTCAGGTCATCATCTACTCACTCGCTATACCGCTGTTTGATCATCGCGCCCGCCCATCACACGACTGCGGTGAAGGATTTGCACCATCTGATGTCTTTGTTTGGGCTGTTCTGGCCGCTCTTCTGCGACTTTCGACCTTACCGTTCGGTCGTTTTGCCTTTAGTCTTGTACCCCAACTTACTTTTTTCTTGTATCCTACAGTTCGCTTCTCTGAAACGTCTGATACCGCGAGCCAGTGGTTTTGGTTATTTCGGACGAGCGTATTGTGTTCTGTGATAAAGTACCTTGGGTATCTTGATTTGGTGTGGCTGGAGGCTATTGTGCCGTTTATATATTATGGCGTCCACCTAGTTGACTGTTTTCTATAGAGGCGAGATATATCAAGAACAAGGGAGCACCATACCAGATGAATGTCGTCTCGAAATTTTAATAGTAGCCAGGGAATAGAAGCACACTCAGTAGTTAGTGCCACTGTCCTAGAAATTCACCATGGTATTCTGTCTACATCGAACATTGGATAAACAGCCACAGCTGAGCCGAGGACCAAGTCGAAAATGAGGCCATGATCTCAGAGATTCTATTCGACCCTCGTTCATCTACTCGTAAAAAGGAACAACCAATAGGCGGCGCCATCCCCAACAAACAAGCTAGTCGAATATCAGAGCCCATCCAATGATTCAGCCTATGTAAAAGAGACGCGAAACGCCGGGAGCGCCATTAACTCGACATGGATACCTTAGCGCCAACGATCACATGGGGAGACGAGTGTAGTCAATAATTCGACGGCGAGGTTATATGGCGAGAGTGTATACAAGTCAGAAGACCCAATAGCCGCTGCCTTCTTGCCTCCCCGGGTGATTGTTTTTCGCTGCTGCTTGTGCTGGGTTATCGCGGATGTGAGCATATTCTGGCATATTCCTTTTTGCCCCATATTTCTGTTTCATGGGGGCGGGCGAGCTGCTTTTTCCCTTCGCGGTGTAGTGTACTAGGGACTGACGTTGTCTTTATCCAGTCAAAAGAGGCGTCAGCCAACCAGCCCACTGCGGCGTCAGCCAGTGTAACGGACCCTGTCAACAGAGCTGTGAATAAAGAACAAGGTTGTCGACGGACGGTGGGTTCTAGAATAAGCCCCGGACTTACCTCAGATCCAGTCTGATGGCGCACATGATCCGGCCACGGCCAACAAGGGACTTCATTCGGAGGCGGATGCTACTGTGGTACGAACCAGCGTCTGCGCGAGACTCGAGTTGGACGTGGCTGCGCTCGAAAATGTTAGACATTGCCATCAACAGGCCGGCGCGCGCCATCCAACAATGAATGAACACGCCGGCGTGGAGACGACAAAGAATGATGTTCTCGAGGGTTCTGGTCGCGAGCGAAATACCGCACGCATCATACCGCTCTTACGGTACAAGTACGATCCCTGCCTGGGTACATGGATACATATGCAGTCAGCCTACTAAGTCGGGGCATCTCGGTCATGTAGCACAGGGTCTATGGCGATACCCTGCGTACTATGCAGATAGCTATGTGCGTGATGGGAGGAGCAAGTCAGTTGAGGATCCATGGCTCTGGGGTGATGCTGGGATCCTGGCGGTCTGGAAGTCTGTCGATGGATGAGATACAGGGAGTGGTTGTTTCTTCGTAGTCTACTAAATCACAACCATGCTTGTAGATCCCAAATACCTGTGAACGGTCGATGGATGGAACCTCGAGGGGACTCTGATGCCTCCCCAACGGGATTACATCCAGGCATGTGTGCAAGCATCTATTGTCTTGGATTTATTGATTTCGTTCCTGACGTCGCAAAAGTACCTAGGTATCTCCTTGTACCTGAATCAAGGGAGCTACGTAATGTACGCACCGACATAGCTCCTCGATGATCGAGCTCGACCTGCAACCCAGGAACTCGTCGAGCTTTATTCCATGACCGCCATTCCTCCACGCTCGCTGATTGTCTGGGGAATTTCCCCGCGAACGTGCGGCGTCCATGCATGGTGGAATGAACAACCAGTTTCTGCAGCCGCCTACTACACCGATCATTGCTTTACTGCCTTGCAGCGAGTGCCAGTTTGACGCCATCTGCAAGAATGCCCTCATCAATACCTGGTACTTAGCTCTTTCAACCACTCTCTACGCCTCATTATGCGCCAAAGACCGCTACAGAACCTACCCGCGAAAGGAGGCGAAAGGGAGGTACATATGAGCCGCCTGACCAAGCTGTTCTTTGTTCGGGGGTGCTATCCGCGAGCCGCGTAACCCTTGCGTTCAGGACCACATCCCATCCCCCTTGGGGAGAGGCTACAGGAAGATTGCATAATCCGCCCACTAGTCCAATGCCCCGATAAAAGCATCGACGGGGTTTAAGCTGGCTGGCTTGGCTGTTTGCCAGCCACAGACCCAGCTTCCCGGTTGTCCAATTCACCATCGGTCCATCCCTTGGGATACCTAAGACGGTGTACGCCATGGGCGATGATCTTCAAGGGCGCGGTGGTCGGGGATGCGGGCCGGAGGGGGGAATACGGAGGGGGAAGACGCGGAATGTGACCGGTACACAGGCAGGTACTTCGTGCCAGCATGCTCCCGAGTCCTCGACGCAGGGAGGGAGATCTGAGGATTTGACGAGACGAGACGAGAAGGGATGAGTAGGTAGGTAAACAAACAAGAGGTAGCTTTGGTCTGATCTGGGGTCGACATCCGGAATTCCACCCGGTCTTTTGACTACCCCCTTGTAGTTACATGGTCAACGACGGAAGGGACTCTGGTGATCCCGATTCTGACGTCTGTGCGCGGTTCAAGCTTTAAACTGTGCAGAAAGAATCCAGATTCGGATTCCGGGCTCTCACGGGGAAGACATCAAGGGTTAAGTCGACACCAGTGGATACATCCCAGGGTCTATGCATGCACTCTCGTTCAAGCATTGCAATGTTGGAGG